GTTTAACTCTGTGTTATTGTTGTTACTTTTGTGTCTCATCTGTACAGAAGTTTTACTCTGTGTTATTGTTGTTACTTTTGTGTCTCATCTGTACAGAAGTTTTGCTCTGTGTTATTTTTGTTACTTTTGTGTCTCATCTGTACAGAAGTTTAACTCTATGTATTTTGTTGTCACTTTTGTGTCTCATCTGTACAGAAGTTTTACCCTGTGTTATTGTTGTCACTTTTGTGTCTCATCTGTATAGAAGTTTCACTCTATGTATTTTGTTGTCACTTTTGTGTCTCATCTGTACAGAAGTTTTACTCTGTGTTATTGTTGTTACTTTTGTGTCTCATCTGTACAGAAGTTTTGCTCTGTGTTATTTTTGTTACTTTTGTGTCTCATCTGTACAGAAGTTTAACTCTATGTATTTTGTTGTCACTTTTGTGTCTCATCTGTACAGAGGTTTTACTCTGTGTTATTGTTGTTACTTTTGTGTCTCATCTGTACAGAAGTTTTACTCTGTGTTATTTTTGTTACCTTTGTGTCTCATCTGAACAGAAGTTTAACTCTATCTATTTTGTTGTCACTTTTGTGTCTCATCTGTACAGAAGTTTTACTCTGTGTTATTGTTGTTACTTTTGTGTCTCATCTGTACAGAAGTTTAACTCTATCTATTTTGTTGTCACTTTTGTGTCTCATCTGTACAGAAGTTTTACTCTGTTTTATTGTTGTCACTTTTGTGTCTCATCTGTACAGAAGTTTAACTCTATGTTATTGTTGTTACTTTTGTGTCTCATCTGTACAGAAGTTTTACTCTATGTTATTGTTGTTACTTTTGTGTCTCATCTGTACAGAAGTTTTACTCTGTTTTATTGTTGTCACTTTTGTGTCTCATCTGTACAGAAGTTTTACTCTATGTATTTTGTTGTCACTTTTGTGTCTCATCTGTACAGAATTTTAACTCTATCTATTTTGTTGTTACTTTTGTGTCTCATCTGTATAGAAGTTTCACTCTATGTATTTTGTTGTCACTTTTGTGTCTCATCTGTACAGAAGTTTTACTCTGTGTTATTGTTGTCACTTTTGTGTCTCATGTGTACAGAGGTTTAAATCTGTTTTATTGTTGTCACGTTTGTGTCTTATCTGTACAGAAGTTTTACTCTGTGTTATTGTTGTCACTTTTGTGTCTCATCTGTACAGAAGTTTGTAGAATTCACATGATCATCACGACAACTGAAAATCATACCATTACTATCTATAACTTTTCCACCTGTTGATAAAAATTGTAAGAATTATTTATGGTCACTGTGATGGGATTGAGTTAAAGTCATATTCCTTATAAAATAAAGTAACTCTTGTTTTGAGAACATTACTATGGTCACGTGGCCTAGATTTTCATTTTATACTTTTAGAACAACTTACTCAATTACCCTTGTTTTTGTCTGTGGTCTACATGTAAACCCTTGGTTTTGGTCACATTTTGCCTCCTTTTCCATATTTTGTCCAAATTTTAGTCCCTTTGTTTGTCAATCCTATAATCTCCGTTTTTTTTTTTAACTTTCCGTTCTTAGCTAAAATCTTTTTTCCATTCCGCAGGCAATGATAATAGGAAATTTGGCTTTATTTAACGCGTAATATATACACATTTGTACCACACCTGGACTTATCCTAATGCTATAAACACTGCAGAAATCACAACCGTCTGGCACATTGCCACAGAAAGTTAACCATGATCTCCCAATAGTGACTCCAATGCTATAACTGTCTTGTTTTGGAAACAAAACAAAAATAAAAACAAACCTACATCTCTCTAATCACATACGGTTTATTGTTTGACATCATGCTAAACCATAAATACATTTAAAGAGTAAAAGCTCTACATGAATTCTTTCCCCTGACATCATTTGGGGTCCCTTCAGGTGAGATATTCATATTCATATTATGCATTTCAATGATTAAGAGGTATAGTAAGGGAGACAACTCAAAACGTATTCTCAGTTACATCTGATTCAAACCAAAAACATCAGAATGTATCCATCTGGTGTTTACTTTTAACATTTAACATTTCCATGTGTTAAATATTTATTATGAATAAGGTCATTTTTTTTCTTCAATGCAGAGATCAAAATAAAAATTGATCAGACTGACTGAAAAACTAATTGGTGAGTTGCAAAATTAGTCTGTCAATCTCCTTACAAGTAGTTCTTGTATTGTTTGTGGTGTCTGATGGACTTTCCCATCAGACCAGGTGAGCTTATCATCATCACAATTTTGTTATTACTTACACTCTCAAAAAGCCATCAATCTATTGGGACAAAATGTTTGAGAATTGTTGTTTAGAAGAAGCCAAAATTTGTGTAAAATATCTATTTCATGGCTAGGAGTATTAAACACATACAATCTTCTAAACAGATAATAAAAAATATGTATTTCATGGCTGGAAACATTAAACACATACAAACTTCTAAACAGACAAGAGTTCCTCGGAACTGTATGTATTGTCTGCATAAAGTGTCACGGTCACCCAGAAATAAAACTGGATGTGCAACGATCAACCATAAAGTTATAATACCAAATTTCATTTCTATAACTTAAAGCATAAAGGGAAAACTGCACAAAGTAATATTCCTGAGAAATTTACCAAGTTCAAAGGGACATATCACTGCCAAGAAGGGTTACAGACAGCATATAGCAAATGTCATTTCTCTAACTCAAAGCATAACCAAAGAAAGTCAAGAAAACAATATTCCCAGAGAATTTTCTAAGTTCAAAGGGGCATAACTCAGCCAAGAAAGGTCACAGACAGCCGGAAATCAAAGTTAATCTGTACCCTTGCAAGAAGAAGCCATATACCAAATTTCATTTCAATAACTCAAAGCATAAGCCAAAACAGTCCGGAAAACAATATTCCCAGGAAATTTTCTAAGTTGAAAGGGGCATAACTCTGCCAAAAAGGTTCACAGACAGCCGGGAATCGAACTTAATCTGTACCCTTGCAACGAAAAGCCATATGCCAAATTTCATTTTGATAACTCAAAAGCATTACCGAAAAATGTCCGGAAAACTTTCGTACGGACACCATCGACGACGCATGACGATGGACAAAGTGATCCCTAAGTGTCCGCGAGCTCTACAGGCAACACATTAAGAAAAATATGTATTTGATGGCTAGGAATATTAAACACACACAATCTTCTAAACAGATTATAAAAATATCTATTTCATGGCTAGGAACATCAAACACATACAATCTTCTAAACAGACAATAATGATAATAAATAGAAAAACATGTTTGCAAGATGAAGAGTAGGACAAGCTACATGTATATAATATTGACTTAATACAGTTAACAGCACTACACTGTTCTGGTAGTAGTTGATGTAGCCAGAGTTTGTGTTACACAGTGACACAAGAAATAATGTAACATGACATTTCTGTGAGACAGCAGCCTATCAGTGTGGTAGTACTTGAGAAGTTTAGGACAAGCTGGATGTCAAATTTAAACTCTTGTAAAATAACTGTTTATTTACTTAGCCGACACAAAAGATATCTAAAGTGTCAGTTTTTACTTTGTGTTGTAATAATACTAATATACAGTTAGTACATGAATTCATCTTATGGGCACACTCCAAAATGTACCACACTGTCAAGCAGCCAATCATATTAGAGGTCAGAGGTTACATAAACAATTCATCACACATACCATTTTGATTGGACAGTGAGGATGAATTATAATATAACAATAGATTAATGACAGTTTGTTTTCTAATTTAAAATAAATAGAAATAACTGCCAGTAATTAAAACCACATCTGCAAACTGACAGATCTGAGTTTTTTTTTTTTTATTATTTTCTTTTTAAAATTATTGCATGTGATGTTAAAATGCATTTAATCTGTAAGATTCAAATTGTAATCAACAGAACAGGTGTTTGTATCCTAAAACAGTCCTGGGACTGTGATCACTTATCACCTCTGTACTGTTCATCAAGTGATCAAAATCCGTAGAATTCCTGGATGTGGTGTTTTAAGCTCGGTTTTTTTTGTATGTTTTGGACATTATTCAGGGCTTAATGTGTCCAGGGTAGTTATATGTGTTCAGAGTAGCATGCAGTGTTGTCAAAGTCATGGTTTAATACATTTATTTGTCAGTGGGTCGACTTTCAAAATATTCGTCAGAATGCAGTCAAATAATTGGATTATATAAGATAGTCTGCAAAATGACATATAAGTGTATAGGTAGTTAGACTTTTACATAAACTGAATCATATCTTACAATATTTGTTTCCTCTAATATAATATTATATTAACATCAGTGCATTGTGTTGTCATCAAAGGAAAGCAAATCAGATCAGTCCGATAAAAAACTTGTTTTCGGGAATTTTTGCCAATAAATTTTGAAAAAGTTGGTTATGAATAGGATCTTACATAGATTGCTTTTTATAAGAGATTCAAGAAACACATCACAACATTTAATTTTGCCTTGAATGGGAATCTGACAGTTAAATGCAAAAATTATCCAAGACTTTCATGATTCTTAAGTATTATAAAACACTTGTAAAAGTATGTCTTTGAATTTTATTTTTTCAGTGTAAATATATATATGTGCTGTGCTTTGATTTCTTTGAAAGATCTTACAGCTGTGTCTGAAGAAAGGTCAATAACTGTGTACTCATAGTGCCTGAACACAATAAGCTTGAACCATCACACCTATTCTTTTGATTACAAGATAACCTTACTATTTCTTTTTCTTCATTTTTTCTGTGTGTTTACATGGCTAACCACAAAAGCATCAATATTTTGATAACATATGGTTGTTTTCTCAGGATATTTTAGTAAATTTTAGAATGCCATTTAGAGAAATTACAAATATATTATTTTTAATAGAAAAAAAAATCACTAATTTCAAAATCAAGCCAAAAGTTCAGTATGCAAAAGGCATTATATCTGAAACAGGAAAAGGCAAACAGCCATCATGAGATTTTAAGCAAAAACATCAAAAATATATATAGATGACCGTTCCATTAACCAGTCTGTCTAGTCACTAATGATTGACAAGAATCAGACCAGTAACAAAACCTCCTATAATCTACTGATGCTCATTAGCAGCCCCGTAAAGCACATTATTTATCATTAGGTCTGCACCACACAAAAACTGGCTACTTCTTTATATTTTGGTTTTTTAAAGCTTTGTTTTTTTAAAAAGAAGAAGGTACTACTGTTATGATCGAACAGCAAAGTGACAACCGAACATCATACCAGACCACAATAAATCATCTAAATAGGCTTCATTATCGTGTTAACCGTAAAATGGTTGCAGGATTTTTGTATGGTTAGATATAAACGGTTACTTATCCTAATACTGTTACGCATCTATAACAGCAGTACACACTTCCCCAGAACAGCGCAGAAAAGTATATATATATATAATGATGATACATATTTACAATTAAAAATAAAACAATACTAGCACAGGAACTACAAACTGGGACAAATATACTTAACTATAGTTTAAAAAAATATAATGCATATGTTTGTCATGTAATTATTTTGCTGAATTTTAAATCTATATATTTTCAGTTTGAAATCAATTTGATCTCTTCCTGGCTATACATTTAAATAAAATACTAAAATCCATTCAGGAATGATATTCAATAAAGTTGATTCATCAATCTGATGCTGAGAAGATATCAACAAAACAATATCCTGAAGTGGTCTGAAGTTTCAATGGGGGTAATTTGTTAATTATTTTCAAAAATTACCACTGAAATCAACTTTTTGAAACACCATAAGACATCATAACTGAGAGCTAGAACTAAAAATCTTGCACATCATAAAAATGATCAGTGACATTAGTAATCTAAAGGTAATGCACTACTAGTTATAACTTTTTAATAATCAGTCACTCTTTTCAATATCAATAAAGCATTTATCTCTTTCAAATTTCAAATCAAGTTGAACAGAGAGTGATTGAATCTACCTTGCAAAGAAACATTTCTTCATTTCACACTTGTAAAGTATAACAACTACAAAATAAAACTTTTAAAAGCAAATTTCTCAGATCAACATTCCAGTGTAAAAACAAAGCATAATTCAGTAAGAAGCAAACCAATAACAAGCTCAATGTTTGGTAGTGTCATGTACAGACACATCGGTTCTCAACTTGTCAGTCATGTTAATGACTTCGTCACCCTGGGGCGCCAGCGCCTGTTTCAATGCAACATCCTCCTCCTGGTCATGTCTGTAATTACGAAGACTCTCTGTGTCCCCGATAGTATCAGGAAGTTTTTGTCCAAGAGTTTCTGGGAGAAGAAGGGTCATGAATCCGGCAATCAATGTGATTGAACCAAACACAACAACAGATATAGACTTGTGGGTAACATCCCCCTGTAAAATAAAAATAGCGTAACTCGTCATACAAGATTTGAAAACTGACAAACTGACTTGGCAGTATTTCTCAATATTTCATCAACAGCTGACTTTCCATGGTATAAAATTCTAAAAAATTGATTGACACTAAAAAATGTTGGTATTTAAGAAAGACATATCAGATATCGGATAACCTATTTACATCAGATAATATGATACCCACTAACCAATACAATATACAGGTTTTCGTTAGTATTTTTGTCCCAGTCATTTGCCCATCAATCTATAGAACCTCTTTCCCTCCAGCTTGATCTAATGCGGGGTATATTTTCAGAGTATAAGAAATCTTACCAGCATAAGGACAAGTGGCGCCACTACTCCACCAAAACGGGCCCAGAATGCACAGCTCCCCATTCCAATGTTTCTACAAGTCAAGGTCAAAGGTCACTATGAAGTCATCAGCACGAAGTGTTTATAAACTTTTAAAGCCATTTTACATGTAAATATACTAGATGAGATAAACATGTTAAAAGAAATTTACAGTTACATAATATTCAGGTAAACCTGTCTACAAAGGACACTCAAGGAAACATGAAAATTACTCTTTACTGACAGGTATCTTATAAATATAGGTGGTTATTAAGACAGGTTGACTAGTCAAACTACTAAAATTAAAACAAGTGGTTACTGAAAGCTTGAAGTAATTTTGTGGTGAAACCTGTCTAATCCAATCGTGTGAAGTCTAACAAACTACCCGGATAACAAAAGGTCATAATGCACAGGTTTTCTGTTTTAGCCTTTCGTAGTTTTTATATGAAATGTGATTACACCTGTATAAAAGATATAACAAACTGTAAAACACTGAGATGTTAGATAGGTATTATTCTACTTATCCCCTGTAAATGATCACAAAAATCAGTTAAATATGCATCAAAAACGGTTGAAAAAATCTGGGCAAACCCTAGATATCTCCTACCTTATGACAGTGGGGTACAGCTCGGAGGTGTACAGGAAGGTCAGACTGAACACACCGCCCATACCAAACTTTCCAAATACAGCAAAACCAGTGGAGAATTGCGACATCATGCTTCCTATTGCATAAGAAATAAGGATATTATAATGATTTTATTGGATATAATGCTACATAAAGGCTTCAAGTACAAATGTATGTATACACAAGGAATATTTTTCTTAAACCTCTATTTGCAACTTTGACTTTCGATCTAATGATATACTCTTTTTGGTAGGATACAGAAGTAGGCACATTTAAACACAATCTATTTAATGATCTGACTTGGTGTAAAACTTCTTCACAAGAAGAAAAGCTGAAGAAGACCCTTGATTTCTGAAATATTGATAGGTAAAGGGAGAAAATTGCAACAGAAACTAATTCAGTAAATGGGTATTATAAAGTAGATTTATAGGTTTATAATGTGCTTTACTCCAAGCCATATATCTGGCTTGGTGAAGGTTTTCAATAATACACCATTTCAAAACTCAAATGAATATTATATGAATGTTGCAGTGATGTCTGATGTCTATGGCATTGATGAGTGTGAAAAGATGAAATGTTCAACTGATTGATGATGATTGTGCCATAATGAAATTAATACTAGGCTAACATATTGAATAATTGATGATATCTAAATATACTTCCTATCTGTGGATGATTGACCTGTTGATGATGTTTGAAAATGTGTGATTGTTGGCTGATAGGAAATCAGTGCCTACAAGCAGATGATTCTGAAGATGATTATGCTATAAGATAGGTTTTTGATGATAATTTCGATGAGGATGATCATGGCAATGATAGGGAATTTGATGATTTTAAGTGTGTATGATGATGATGATGAATGCAGGATGATGATGATGATGATGATGATGATGATTGAGGGATTGAGTGAGCCTATAAGTGAATCCATATTATGTACTGTTATGTTTTGTCATGTGTGGTTTGAAAAATAAAAAAAAATACAAAAAAAAAAAAAATGAATATTCAACTTAACATAATATATGTTCATGCAAATATGTCTGTGGAATATACTGTGTAAGTTTTTTTTTGAGGATGGATTGAAATTGAAAAAAAAACCCAGTTGATACCTTAACCTGAAATTAAAAGAAGAAACCTGAAGCACATTAATGACTTCCCTTAAAAACATCTGTTATGCTGTAAGCTAATGCATTGACAGCTGTTTTAGAGATATATCAACTACTGGTCAGATGCCAATTATAATATGGGTGGAAAGAAATCCTACCTTGCTCACTGAAGAATGACAGGATACCAGCAGTTATACAAGACAATGCTCCTACCATGAAGAAAGCCGCCAGTGACCTCCTTCTTCCAAAGCTGTAACATGTTATCATGATCATTTTACAAGTATTTTCCTTTCACATCTAAAAAACATATATCTATTATACATATACATTTTCCTTTGTTTTTCAACTTCTGACTAAATAATTAATGTTTGATAAAGACATCAGTGATCTCTGAGCTATCATTTGATGATTGGCACTAGACATGACTGACCTCTGACCTATCATCTATTGACTGATGTCAGACGTGATTGACCTCTGACCTAATATATGGGTGAGAACAGACGTGGATGTCCTCTGACTTAATATTTAATGAGTGATGATAGATATGAGTGACCTCTGATGTTTCATTTATTGACCGATGACAGACATGGATGACCTCTGACCTAATACTTCAGTAATGAAATACAGGTGACCTCTGACCTGCTGCTTAATGACTTATCATCCAATGATTGAAGAGACACATGAGTAACCTATGACCAATCATTTAAACACTGATAACACACATAAGTGAACTCTGACCTTTTATTTTTTGGTTGGTGACAGACATGTACGACCTCTGCCCTAACATTTGATGGCAAATGACAGCGGATTAGAATTGAGTGATCTCTGACTTGTCATTTGATGGCTATTGACTGACATGTGTGCCCTAACATCTAATAACTGATGACAGACATGGGTGACCTCTGACCTACCATTGAATGATGATCACCACCAGGATGTAGGCCACCAACTCAACTGATCCACCAGTAGCAAAGTTAAAATATTTGTTGCCAGGGAGACTTGTCACACTGAAGGAAAGCCCATAGTAACCAACGGCTACGGCAAACCTGCAAACATTAAACAAATGGAACCAAAATTATCATCTCAATAAATTTCTACTAAACATCACTCGTGATTTGTTTATTTCAGAATGCTATCATTGTAAAATCCTTGATTACCAGAGGTAAAACAGTACGAAGCTGCGAGTCCTGATTCTGGGTGTGGCGACCAAGTCCAAGAATGTGTACTGACGTGCAGACGTAGCCTCACTTTTGTCCAGATGGAGCTTGATATCCTCCATCATTTGGGACGGGTATTCCAGTTTGTTGTACTTGGTCATCTTACTTATCCATTTCTCCGCCTCTTTGAATCGGTGTCTTGTCAGCAGCCAACGTGGTGATTCAGGAATCAGCCTGTTCAGGGAAACAAGGTACATAGATACAACTGTACAAGGTCAAGGCGAATCAATAATATAACATCACATGTAATTTTTGTTGGGAATTTTTTGTTCTTTTTGTGGATGCGAAGAGTAAAAAATGTGTGGGATACAACTGTACAAGGTCAAGGTGAATCAATAATATACCATATAACTATACACCTGATTATTTCCTCTTAAATCTTAGTCATTGTATTCTATTTTCATGGTCTGTCAATAACTGTGGAAGATAACAAAAGATTTGAAAATACAATGACTTTAACTAATTCAAGCCAAAATGGGTGATTCTTTGTAAATATCAGGATACTGACAGTAATCAACAATTATCTACCTTGTATGCCCTCTCTAACACTGAAATAAAGAGACCCGAGTTGTCTTACCAAAAGTAGGGAAGAGTCAGGAGGCTGGGTAGAGTTATAGCCAGCTGGATGTACCGCCAGGACTGAAACAGGTAAGCAACCCCTGCTAGCGTCACCACATTAATACCCCAACACAACTCCAGTACTGCTCCAGCTACACCTCTGTACTGGGGCAAGAACAACTCCATAGCAAGGACGAAGGTAGATGTCTGCAGACCCTAAAATTATATCATGGTACATCTTGCAGGTTATAGATACTCTTACAGTTGTATGTTATAGATACTCTCACAGTTGTATGTTATAGATACTCTCACAGTTGTATGTTATAGATACTCTCACAGTTGTTATAGATACTCTCACAGTTGTATGTTATAGATACTCTCACAGTTGTATGTTATAGATACTCTCACAGTTGTATGTTATAGATACTCTCACAGTTGTATGTTATAGATACTCTCACAGTTGTATGTTATAGATACTCTCACAGTTGTATGTTATAGATACTCTCACAGTTGTTATAGATACTCTCACAGTTGTATGTTATAGATACTCTCACAGTTGTTATAGATACTCTCACAGTTGTTATAGATACTCTCACAGTTGTATGTTATAGATACTCTCACAGTTGTATGTTATAGATACTCTCACAGTTGTATGTTATAGATACTCTCACAGTAGTTATAGATACTCTCACAGTTGTATGTTATAGATACTCTCACAGTTGTATGTTATAGATACTCTCACAGTTGTATGTTATAGATATTCTCACAGTTGTATGTTATAGATACTCTCACAGTTGTTATAGATACTCTCATAGTTGTATGTTATAGATACTCTCACAGATGTTATAGATACTCTCACAGTTGTATGTTATAGATACTCTCACAGTTGTATGTTATAGATACTCTCACAGTTGTATGTTACAAATACTCTCACAGTTGTATGTTATAGATACTCTCACAGTAGTTACAGATACTCTCACAGTTGTATGTTATAGATACTCCCACAGTTGTATGTTATAGATACTCTCACAGTTGTATGTTATAGATACTCTCACAGTTGTATGTTATAGATACTTTCACAGTTGTGTGTTATTATAGATACTCTCACAGTTGTTATAGATATTTTCACAGTTGTATGTTATAGATACTCTCACAGTTGTATGTTATAGATACTCTCACAGTTGTATGTTATAGATACTCTCACAGTTGTATGTTATAGATACTCTCACAGTTGTACGTTATAGATACTCTCACAGCTGTTATAGATACTCTCACAGTTGTATGTTATAGATACTCTCACAGTTGTATGTTATTGATACTCTCACAGTAATTATAGATACTCTCACTGTTGTGTGTAATAGATACTCTCACAGTTGTATGTTATAGATACTCTTACAGTAATTATAGATACTCTCACTGTTGTGTGTAATAGATACTCTCACAGTTGTATGTTATAGATACTCTAACAGTAATTATAGATACTCTCACTGTTGTGTGTAATAGATACTCTCACAGTTGTATGTTATTGATACTCTCACAGTAATTATAGATACTCTCACAGTTGTATGTTACAGATACTCTAACAGTTGTATGTTATAGATACTCTCACAGTTGTATGTTATAGATACTCTCACAGTTGTATGTTATAGATACTCTCACAGTTGTTATAGATACTCTCACAGTTGTATGTTATAGATACTCTCACATTACAGATACTCTGTTGTAGACTTGCTAAGTGTATAGTCATTACTATAACATATCCAATACAGTTTTCATCTGATTCTAGGACATGACTACTAAAATTTGATTTCTTTGTTAAGTCCAAATAAAAAAACTAAACTAAACAAGAGAGACAACTGGTGATAAGTGGCCATTTTTTATTTGTAGTGTTTCCGAATGATTCCATGAAACAATGATCATTTTACCTTCAACAATGATAGATGACTTATAAATGCTGCCTAGTTTTATTTCTCTTTTATCTCAACATCAGTAAATAACATTGTTTGAGAACTTGTATTGATTGAATGTAAACTTTGAAGCAACTTCCAAAGCTGTATATATTACCTGCAAAATATATCTCTGAGGAAAACCAATTAGAAGCAATACACAATAGGTATTAATTAAACTGTTCCTTAATTCATATTCTGTCTTCTTATGAAATTACTTAAAACTGCCGACATGTTTCAGCCCGCTAGACAGGCCATCATCAGGGCACAATTTATTAGTTTGACTGTTACTTTTTGAAAATGAATAACAGTAAAGGTCATGTGACTAACACAATGGACGATATGACATATTATGTTACCAAGGAAGTAGTAAAGAAGTTACAAGGCATCCCCATGATAAGTAGTCTACCTTATCTCGTTATCTTAATATGTTGTTTCCGTCTGCAGGACCTACTGGTCCTCGATAGGCAGCTCGGAATTGTCCATAAATATAGGGTAATGAATTGTTATCCTTCCGATATCTGGTCCATAGCTTGCGTAAAATGAAACCACAGAGGGTGGTTTTCTCAAAGTTTGTCAATTCTGTTCTTGAATAGGTTTGTTGTTCTAGCTGAGACTACATGTTTGGGACGACTGCACCATGTATCTACCATTCTGTGTGAAAAATTGTATTTTCTGACACTTGGTACAATATTGTTTTACTAGTTTCAACAAATTTCCTCATGTGCTGCTGGACATATTTAATTTCAACAAATCCAAATTAACTTTTTGGTTATAGATTCCATTCAAAATTTTAAAGACTTCTGCCATATCTCCACGCATTCGTCTGGGTAGGTAATTTAGCCATTTTCGACGCTGTTCATAGTTCATGTCTTTCATGTTAGATAACATCCTTGTAGCTCACCTTTGGACATTTTCTACTGTTTCCATATCCTTTTTCTTATAAAGTGACCAGGCAGAGCTTGCAAATTCCACATAAGACCTAACCAGTGCTTTAAAAAGTAAGCAGAACGCTCTTTTGTCTACATATATAAAGCTACTTCTCATAAGCCCATCTATCTGATTTGCCTTATTTACTTGAATTTGTATATGCTTTACAAAAGTGAGATGCCTATCTATGGTTACCCCGACATCCTTCTCGCTTTCAACATTTTCCGAGACTCCTCTACCGCCGTCGCATGAATTCATGTCATACTCAATTTCCTTTGTTGTGGATGGACCTAACACTTATCTGGATGGAACTTTAATAACCATATTTCACTCCTGGGGTATAATGTTAAAAGTCAGCTGAGGTAAGTAGCAGCATCCTTAGAGGGCTTCAGTGAGTCCCAGCGGTTGGGAAAGGATATGCCCCATATGTCATCATATTGTTCATTGTGTCACATAATTTCCAAACACAGGAGTTGCTTCCCTTTCTTTTACCTTAATTCTAATGAAATTGTTAATTCAAGTGAAATATTTATTCCTTATTTCAAATGGTAGGATCTAGTTTAACTAAATAGTTTGTATTTATCAAAGCAATAAGAGATGAAAATGGTCTTACAAAAGTGATTTATGAGGCGTAACTGTTACCTGCATGAATGCACCCTGGAAGAACCTAAGGATGAGGAAGAGATGGTAACTGTTGGCGAAAGAGATGCCAATACCGATGAGGATGGGAACATACAGGGTGATCAACATCACAGGTTTTCGGCCAAGTTTGTCTGCTAGAATACCAAACACTAGTCCTCCCACCATCACACCACAGAAATACACTGTCGTGGCCACCTTTGCCAGGAAAGACGAGTCACACACCAAATCCCACTGAAAGAAAAACATGTCTTATAAATTACGAACATGCATGTCTATACTATATTTTTATCAAAAGTTTGATAGGGATGCATTTTCCAAAATAGGTCATGAAATGGACTATTGTTCTCCTTATGAATTTCTTTTACAGAAAGATAACTCTTTCAACCAACAAGCTTTACATAAGAGTATGTGACAGTCATTCCCTTCAGCTGACTTACTGATATCAGAGTACTGTAAAACAATGTAACATCTAATAATCTGAAGACTTCTATATATTTGTTAAAATAACAAAAACGTAATGTAAACAAAACTTAGATAATTAACTTTGTTAAAATAATCACTACACTTAACATACATGTACCGATACATACATATAAAAAATATCTTCTCCACTGACACTAATCTTTATATGGCTACATCAATATGGTATGTTATATGATGAGAGCAAAAGTCTGAATCTGTCAACTGATACAAAGTACATTGTAATTGATTAACTTGTAAGTTACACATAAGATTTCAACACAAATATTTTGAATAAGCCTTTGTCTATATCAAACAGTTGAATGCCATGTATTAGTAAGTTCAGTACTTCTCTCTGATTTAGGGCGATAATGACATTGACTGTTTTAAATTAAGTTTATTTTCAACAAGTACAGTATTGCATTATTTCCTATTTTTATAAGACAAACTTAGACGGTGGTGGGGAGTTATCTGTCTGAAATTGTACCTTGTCTCACATTTTTCATTTCTTTCTAGTAACTACTGTTATACTGACCTCTGTTACTATAGTAGACTCCCGTGAGTTCTTCATGTAGACCCACTCGCTGGTGACATCTGTTGTACAGTCAACAGACACGTTAGCTCCACCCTTTAGATAGTAAACACTGCCACATTGATCATACTTCACACTAGTAATGGTCCGATTAGCCACACTATACCTGTTGTCGGCTACCCATGACTGTTGGTTTGAGGACTGCTCTGATGGAGATTGGGGAGGCTGAAGAGCTGGATTAATACAGAAATGTGAAGGAGTAGAACCATAGAAAGCCATCACAAGGTGATTGAAGGTTATCGAATTGTAGTTAAAGGCTAGCAGAAAGAATATCACTACTTGATACCGCCCTGGGTTTCCAAGCTGTTTCATCAACGTCTCCGTCTGGATCCACATCTTGTCCACAATCTGCTTGATTACTGTAGAATAAAGCTAATTGTTGGTATTTTTCCTACTGTGGTATGGTTACTCCCCCTGGTAGTGATGACTTCAGTATAATCTTGAATTACTCACTTGGTAACTAAAAAAATAAGAATATCATTAAATGTTTAGTAAACAAAATTATGTCAATAATCACTCAATCAATTACAAAATATGAAGTAGTTTACCAACTTCACCACACAAACACTAACATAATACAGCTCATATTATCATTTAACGAAATTGTCACACAGGTTTCGATTAAAATGTATCTTGTAATGAATGCCAAATCAATAAATAAATGGTGATCCAACACTTCTAATGTAGAACTTTGTGGGAGTGTCTTCGGGCAGATCCGTTTAGGATTCAATAGAATTCTTTACTAAGAAAACATAATGAATAAGAATTATTGTGTTTCCTTTTTATTTATTAAAAGCAAAATTGAAACAATTACATTAAATATGCAGTAACTGAATATCACGTATATTTTATGTGCAATTTTGTTTGTTCAGAACAGCATAAGCTGAGTGCAGCCAAGTATATCAGTGTGAAACTGACTGGTGCTGTAAATGTTTACCACAGAAAGTGTAATATGAAATGTGAAAATATCAATAGCACGACACAATGGGAATGTTCAAACACAGAGATTAGAGATTTCAAAATAGTCTAGATTTAAATTTTAGGCAAATTGAATTTAATGAAGTACTTTACAAGAGCCCAACTCACAGTGGCTATCTGTTTACCTCATGTCAATACAGACTGATAAGCAGATTGCTGTATAAAAAATGTATATGATTAATTAATTTTAAACTTCTAGGAAGCAAACAGACCGTTTAAAGGAATTCAAACCTCAAAACATCCCATTTTAGCATGTTTATCTATCAACAAGCCCATGTCTCATTGCAGATTCTGAAAAAATGCCACAAAAAATGCATTATTATGTAGGTATTTGTGTTATAGGAAAGAATATTGAAAATGCCCTGCCACCATTAGGATTCAAACTATACATCCTTTGGTCTCTAGCCGGACAATATCTACAGCTCCACTTAAGGGAAATTTCCACTAGCTGAAGCTAGTTAGGCAACCTGTACTCTCAACTTCTTCACTACTACCCCCTTCACAAAGTCTTTGACCCTGAAGACAACAACAACCCTGATTCAATATCTCTAAGGAAGCATCTAAATATTCTATAGCTTCTAGCCTTGGAGTGGCCTATGGCATCAAATCTGTCATGAGAAAGAGTACCACTCGACTAAAAAGAAATTCCCACCACCCAAGGTCAGTAAGGCGACCTGTACTCTTAACTGCTATATTTAATTACTCCCAATGGGATTATCTTAAGAGAATTACATCACCATTCATCACTCTTTGTTTTAAACAAGAGGCCAAATGAGCAAGCAGTGCTCACCTGGTATATATTTCATTTCTGAAATTAATTTGACAAACTTAAAAAGTGAGTATAAAATTCATTATGGAAAAGAACAACCACAAGGTAAACTGGTCTTAATGCTAATCTAAGAAAATAGAAGACTAGAAGTGAAGTATACAAACTTAGTAGCAATATGTTGCTGCTGAATATCACTTGTACTTATTGAAGATTGTCAGAAATCTTGCATGAATCAATGTGTACAAGAAAGTTAGTTTTATGATAATGAACAATTTGAGTACTGTATTGTGACATTTAACTCCATAACAATGAAACAGACAAATAAGTAAAAGGCCATAATCCTGCCGAAAAAACGTTGTGAGCCTTAAATTGATACCATAAACTATTTCTGAATAGGTATTGCATATCATATTTTATGAAATTTGTTTCAATTCATGATAATAATTTTAAAGGTTTTAACAAATTTGACCCCTGTGACACTGAACATAGGTTTAGGTTATTTCTTTTCATAGACTTTGTTGGGCTTCATACTAGGAACACACCTGCCAAATACCATGCCTCTATTCAGTTTAGTTCAAGAGAAGAAGCCATTTAAAGGTTTTAACAAATCTGGACTCCTGTGACATTGAATATGGGTCGAGGTAATTTCTTTTCGCAAACTTTGTCAGGGTTTATCCTAGGATCATACAAGCCAAATATCAAAATATTTGGTTCACTGGTTATTTCAAAGAAGTTGTTAAAAGGAAAAAGTTAACGCCAAATGCCAAACGAACGAACGACCAAGGATGCCGCAACAAGGTGTAAGCTCACTTGTCCCATCAGGCCAGGTGAGCTAAAATCTGAATTCACTCCAGTATCATAACCTATTTACTCAATATGAAATGAATATGATTCTGTATGATATGATTCTGATGTAAGTGCATTTCCTTTAGTGCATAAAACCTGGTCACCATGCAAACAGCAGTCACAGAGAAAAGAAACAGAAAATGTTGTTTTGACTGAGCTCATCTTTTATAACATGATGTAAAGACTAGTTTCTGATTTATTATTGATAGTGCTATAACAATGAATATGTCAAAGAAAAAGCCATAATGTAAAGCTAACTATAAAGGCGTTTTCTTTAATACCTTACTGACAAAGCATTGACAATTCATCAATATTGTATACAAATGTGTTTTAACCATCAAAGGGAATCAGATGAGACAACAGAAGTGATCATGGTTCTACAACATGGATTTCTCCTCCATAGTAAACATATGTTAAAGCCCCAATATACGTAACATTCACCAAAACTTTAGTGTAGAATCACACATAATTATTGAGATATTCTCTAAGATGTAGTTAAAATTAAGTTATTCAAACAATAGTTACCATGACTTTGTGCATAAAGTATTGATATATGAGCAATTGAAACTCGCTATTTGTAAACACACCTCCATTTTAAACACACCGCCATCGAAATTACGATTGTTGCCGAACGACATTGGAAAGTTCATGACCTGATCTCGCGAGAGTTGAGGTTTCTACTTATAGAGGAAGCACATGCAGATATGTCTACGTTAAGTTTTTGTTTACAAACATTGTTTGCGAAGTCTTGTCGTAGACTTGAGGTATTCCTGTGATAAACATTCAGTTTTTGGGAAATTATTAGAAGGAATATTTAGTTTAGAAATGATACGACGCACAATTATAACGTAAGAATTCAGAACTGGCCTGATGTATGATTGGAAAAAAAGGAAGCGACTGGTGAACGTCTGTACTGTGACTGCCATGTTTACACAATATGTGCATACGCAATGTTATCGCTACGAGCGGTAATGTATGAATTATTGTGGGTCCCACATTATTTATTTTCCGATTTTTTTCAATTTTTATTTAAATTGAAAACAGTCAGTTTTATTTTCTTAAATTAAAGGAAAGAATTTGTTTTGTTGCATATATTACGGGGAAAATAAGATAAAGTTTGTTTTTTTTATAGTAATTTTTACATATATTGGGGCTTTAAATATTCTTTAACATACAAACTAGCATACGGTAAAATAAATCTATAACTTATTACTATTATTTGGTAGTAGTGTAAATAATCATGTATATTGATCTTCCATTACACTTACACAGATAATCAATTACTCTGTATTTGATGGTATCTTGTACAGAGTACTCTGTCATCCTACAGCTTCATATTAAACATTCCAACTATACCTGCAGACATTACACCTGCTGTCTGCAAACTTTAATTAATTGCAGTGTTGACATAAAAATCTCATTAATACTTATATAAATATATTTAAATCTAATTGTTAAAGGCTATAGTGAAAAGTCCATGAGTTGTCCATACCTGCCTTTACTTCTCTTTAATTCGGACTCTAACATACATCAGTGTCAGTCCATCTAATAATACCTGTGAATGTTTGTGAGTTTCTTCTTCTTCAATCTGATTTGTTAGTCCCGGTACAACCATTTACCTCACCAGAATCCTTATAACTTCTTGTGCACTTGAGTGACGGTATTTATCAAAATTTCCAGATTTGTCAATCTTTGACACTTCCCTGAATATCTTTTACCTTTATAATTACCTGTCTACATATACGTACAAAGGATAGGATTTCATTGTTTAAAGTAACAATAGGAAAGTTGAAATACAATTGGTTCCAATTATAAACCAATGAGAATGGGTGAAGTCCCTTGAGTGGTTATTTCAATAAAGTAATCCTATGTAATGTTTTGTGAAGAATTTGATTCTTGAATATATTCTCCAAATATAAGTTTCCGTTTTACCTGTAAGTTGTATCATATTCCTGCCTGTCTGTCCCAATTTGGTTTAGTCAATACATTGTATATGTTCCAGATTATCCAAACTGTTTTACAACTATCTATAGGCCTTATAACAATTTGTTCTAAAACATCTCTTCCTTAACCATTTTTCTTTATTCATATTTTCTGTGTCCCTTTCATTAGTCTGTGTCCTATGGTAATTGTCCTGAGAGATTTTCACCTGTCTGGTACACCTGAGTATAGTCCCATCTTACCTACATGCATATGTATATCAGTCTGTGTCACGAAATAGACAATCCCAGAGAAAATGTTCCCCATACCACTGAAGGAACGAGCCCAATTTCTTAGGCAGTTTCCTATATATAAAACATTCTATTATACTTCGGAATACTAAATGTCCCTAGTGGCTGATATTCAAACCTGTATGTCTCATTTCACCTGTATCCTCTTCCTGACCTGTAAGTCAGTATCCTTAAATATCCTAACAGGAGATCTGTCTCCTGCCAGAATCCATTCCCCTGAGAATTTTCCTATTACAATACACAACAGCAACCAGCAAACCTCCCAGTATCACCTATGGATCCTCGGTATTGATTTTACAGTTAAATGGCTGTTGAACCGAGTTGTCGTCATACCTGTATTAATCAGCTTTTAATCAACATTCCACTACCACATTTAAATATAGCTACTTCAGTCAATAATACTGTTACAAAGCCTTCAGTGGATTACAACAGATCTATATACTATAGAAAACATATACACACCTTGGCCAAGGCTGTAGATTTCCTTAAAACACCTGGTGATATTTACAAATATTTTCTAATCTCACACTATCTGATGATGTATCAGGTCAAAAAACAAAAGGATTAAATCCTGATTTTACCCACGGACTGAGGAGAGCCAGGAAACTTGAACTTTAATCACTTTCTGATGTTATACTTCCTCAACTGTGTGGTCACCACTGTTACATTTCCAATATTTGATTTATAAATACGACTGTGTCTACTTTATGCACTAGTGGATGTAAAGAGTAACTTAAAACTGTATTCTCCCAACAATCAAAAGACCTATTGGTATTTAACAAACATCAACGTCAGTATGACGACTTCTTACTTTTTCATATGCTGTTAATGTAAATGTTCAGGAATGAGCAATCCTTCAAAGTACTTACAATTATTAATGCTTATATTTTTTTTTGTATTTTTAACATATATTTCAACCTCAAAATTAAAGGTTCTAACTTCAGTGTATGCTATTATATCACATACATACTGAAAACTCTTATGTTGCCCTAACAGGAAGTACTTTTAACAATATACATGGATAAAATGATAAAGCTATACTTTACTGTCACTTCCTTGACTATCAAGTCTTCCTATTAAAATGCTTTGATGCATTGCGTCATCGTTTAATGCACATCACTAGACTGTTCTGCAGTTATATCACTACCAGTAAATGGACATTTTTGAGAAAAACCTATCATTAGTTAGACTAGACTAGTGACATTTAATTGTATCCATTCACCTGCAGGATAACATTTATTCCCAGCAGATTATGTTTGAAATATATATATACAAAAATGCAGGACATTTAACCCCATTCATGACATACATGTACATCGTATTATATAACTTGCTATGAGAGATGAATTTACATAATGTGTTTATAATTCATTTATTTGATATATGCTGTTAAAAATACATTTTGAAATTCTTTCTCAGGTTTCTGCTATTTTACCAAATATATTGGGGTTATAAAATTTTTATGAAAGCTTGATGTCAATTTTAAACCTTAATATCAAAATAATTGAAGTATATCATCCCATATAGTGAGTTTGTCTAGCATTGAATGAAATGTTCAAAAAAACTAATTAATTCATTGTTTTGTGCACATATAGGTGACACATATATATACAGAAAAGAGTGATCTGCATGAGAAAATAAAATGCTGATGCACTGAAGTTTTAATATCCTTCATGAATTTGTATGGCTGGTGTCTTGAACTAACACTGATAGCAGATGGTGAAATTTTCCATAAAGTGGCAGCTACTTTTCTTGTCCCAATTTCATGAATCTTCCTTAACTTAAAGACTTTTTTCTTAACTGAAAATCGCCCACAGGAAAGCATTGCATTAAATTAAGGAAAGGTATTCAAATTTCACTTTTTTTCCTTAACTTATGTAATGATTTTCTATGTGAGTTAAGATTTCCTAAAGTTAAGGAAGATTCATGAAGCTGCAGCAAGATCACTTACCATATTGTGTAATGCAAAACAATGTACTATGAAATGTTGAAGATCGTTTTGTTACAACAGTGAGATTATTGATAGATGAAGATTATGACTCTGAATGTGGTTGTTTGTTAACCAAATTATACCTTTAACAGCTTTTAGCTGCAATCAGCCGAGAAGATATTTTGAACACAAGCAGTAGTACACAATGTTTGTACCTTTAATCCTAATTATATGGTATTCACATGGTAAATTCACAGTGACCAATGCAGGACTTTTGTCCACATTGATATCACTTTGACGGTCTTTAGTTGTACAATCAGAGACCTGCACATCAAACATAATCTGTTGGCAAGTATAGTGATACATGATCATATATGATCATATGGGATGTACCCAGCAGGATAATTAATTTTAACATGTACAGAAGACATAAACAGGTAATTTGTAAGCAAATTTATCCTAATGAATACACATTAATTATGCATTATGTATACTTTTTGTAACCAACGTGAGAGAAAACAGTAGGTCTAATGCAACTAAACTTACTGCAATAATTCTATAGACTGCTACAGTGACATGCCATACGTCTTTCACATTATATATTTTTTTTTTATTTTTTTGAGATATTTTTTTTTATTTGTAACTATTTTTCAATGAATTTTCTTGACTTCCTTTAGGGATGGATTTTGACAATATTTCGTCATTTTTATACAATAATATCCGTAGTTTTTTCTCATATTCATTAAATCATCCATTGTTTATTTCAGGGATAATACAAAATTATCTTCACTGCATATTTCCATATGACGCCATTTTCCTAAGCTTACACCAAATTCTCGTGAAAATAGCACCCTGAAAATTGCATGTTGCAATTTTGATTTTCTGAAAACCGCATCGCTCATGCTTAATTAAAAGCGAAAGTATCCTCTTAGTTACCGACATCAAGGTGACTTCAATAACCTTCCAGTTACAATTGTTTTTAAGAATAACAATGATTTGAGACAAAAATAAACAAAAACAAAAAACATGTTACCTATATATCCTTCCATTTAGCCTTTAGGTCAATTCCCTGTCATTTTCCTGGTTTATTGGAAGAACATTCACACGCTGTTTCGTTTCATCAACTGTCGCAATCGAACTCTTCGGAACTCAACGTGATCTTCTACTAATCTCCATATATAACCAAATAATTCCGAATGATTTTTTTAAGCTAAAAATATGTTAGATTTTTGGATTAAAAATGATAGAATGAGCCAATTATTTTAATTTTCAAAGAGATTGGAAAATTTATTAACAACGAAAGGTGTCGATCAATTGAAATACGAGACACACCACGAGCATGAAGAGTTTTCTTGCATTGAATTTCCGGATTCTGTTCGTTCCAAAACTTAAAACATAAAAAAGCGCCGAAACGATCCAGAGTGTTTCGCGGTAAAATCAAAATTGATAGTAGGCATTTGAAGAATAATCGATCTAGTTTTTAACACAAGGTGGACTGTTTATAAGTACTTATCCAGAACAACTTTACTCTGCAAATGCCACACTGAAGAAGGTGATGCAGTGACACTAGATAGATTAATAGATAGATGGTTGTTCATTACTTGATATATCAAGATTTTTTTTCATTTAGTCAATTTTAGATTCGTTATACCGCTCTAGAATGCAGCTACAATTATGTATAACGTGCCACAGGTACTTGTAAACTCAATTTCAATAGCATTTGAAAATAACAAACCACACAATAGTCTTGTCCACGAGTACCTGTGTAACCTACGGCCGCGATTCTTCCAGTCCGTATATACAATTTGTAAAGAACCCATGTGTTCAGACTCGAGGGAGGGAGTACATTAGACCCTGGGAGTTAGCATAAGGTAACAGTACTCTTAATGTGTGATTTTTGTAGAAGATTGAAAACTATCACATATCACATGTTTTAGGATAGGTTGTAATCCGTAGAACACAGATTAAAGATTTCGGATGTGTTTCTTGCACGAGGGAAGAACATGTTAATGAATTCTAATCAGTTATGGTCCAGAGGCAGAAAAAGAATTTGTTAAAATGTGTTTTGTCTCATTCTGATAGATATTTTGGTAGGGCAGCGAAGGAATGGAAATATTAGTATTTAAAATTTCCTTTTTGACTTGAAATTGTGGGATTTCTCACATTATCAAACTTGTAAATAATGATACTCTGTTTTCTTAAAACTGCACAATGTTGCTGAAAATGAAATGATATATGTGGCTATTAATTATGTTCATCTGGTATTATGTTCAGTCAATTAAAAGTATGGTAAACTGTGGCCATAAATTTAACTGTACCCAAAGATGTACTGAATAAACACAGGTAATTAGTTTTCGTTTTTAAAAACAGGCTGATATCAAAATTTGTACAGGTATTTAAGAATAAGTAAAGGCTTCTAAATGAGCATGGATGAGAACTCCATCACACCACCTCTGTCACCAGACAACCCGTACAGACTAGATATTGAGGACAGTGATATGATGTTTGCTGATGACTTGGCCAGGCAATTCCCATCTACCCCTATACACTTTCCAGATGAGGGTACAGTATACTTTGTATTAACTACAAATCTAAACACATACTGTTCTGACAGTCAAGTTATCAAACACTGTGTGTACATAGGTTATTAATGTAATAACTAATAAAACTACCATTTACGTGGCATTACTGCCCAAATCTGTTAATTATTTACAAACAAATTAAACTCAAGCATAACTGGAAAATGTACATGTATTACTATCCAGTAGAATTTCCGACAAATGCCATTAAATTGTTCTTTTGTTGAGCACATATATATCTGGCCTAGATCCTGTGACTTTGAGTTAGTGATGTGTTTCGATATGGACTTATTGCAAGAATGTCGTATGTTTTTGTAATCTGTTGGTGAATGTATATGTAATTAATGCTTTAGCAATAATCTAATTATTGATTATACATGTAGTTAATATTTATTCCTGATAAACTTCATGGCGTACCTGTAATTAATACATTCATATAAATCTTGTAGCTTTAAACATAGGTGTAGATTATGCTTTATAGAGTTAATTTCTTCAGTCGTAAATTCAGGTGAAGTAAAGTTAGAATAGATGAAATATAAGATGTATGCTATTATTACTTTGAATACCATTGAATAATCCAATGCTGGACAGTTCCATCAGGCGATGGATCCTCTTTCTTCAGACACTTCCGTGCATTCCAGGACGTCCTCCAGAGGTGTGTTGGCTAGGTTGATCACGTCAAACCAGGGACTGGTTGGCTCTCACTGCTTTATGTTGTTGTTACAGCCTGATGCCCAAGGTGTTCTTGCACCGTCTTTGCTTATCTTGCAGTATCATTACACACAGTGAAACCTAACTCTTTCCTGTCACCATGTCCCTAGCACTGTATGGTGACTGCTCCACCATTCTTCCCTCTCCCTCCATATCCAGCTTAAAGCAACCTCTGCCTGTCTACTTGATACATGTTTCTACCTGTTTCTTCCAATCTGCTCCTATGACCCCTAGCAATCATAAGGCTCTCCAAAATGACTGGCAGGAAAACTCCCTGCAATCAACCTCAATAGGCAGACATGAAGTTCTCCATCCCTGTTGTTGACACTCTTCCAGCAGATGCTGGTGTTTCTGTCATTTATGTTCATTTACCTCCATCATCTTGTCTTCCCCAGGCAAGGCTAGGTCCACCATCACTAACTGCTTGGAACCACAGGATCAAAGTACAATGTCTGAACAAGGTGGTGTTGGAAATTTGTCCTCTGCAAGATGTATGCCATAATTTCCTAGTCTCCTGCTGTTGCTAGTATTCCTTGATATCCTGTTCCAGATTTCATGAAATTGACAAATTTCGGTGCCTTTGAAACTTCTTTTGTCTTGCACAGTCAAGACTTGCTGCTATCTACTTCAGGACCTAATTGTGTCTGCATGTGTATCTGTCATCTGTTATCGGTGCTACCTGGCTTGATGTGAGGACATGAGTCAAGTTAGCTGATCAACTGCACACTGCACATTCCATGTTATTTTTAATGTCCGAGGAAAACAAATATGAAGGACTTAGTAGAACATCATATGTTGACTTCAAGAAAAAACTAAACCTTAAATCTTCCATGTTTCATATGTTGCCCAAGTATATTTTCAGCTGCTTAACACCCTCCCAACAGGTCCAGCTCCCTTGCTGACTCATGCCAACACCTTTTACTTCAGTTTATGCTGATGTTAGGTTATTTATGCTAAATTTTCTTAGATTAGATAATACAAAGTACAAAGTGAGTTTTATTTAAAATTGATTTGAGATATTAAAATGTCTGTTTATATACTAGGCCAGTTGATGGATGTCCAGGAACCAGCACCAACATACTCAAACCAGCGACCATTCACTTGTCTTAACATCGAATCTGTGCCAAAGCAGTTAGAAAGGTGTGTGTGAAGTATGATATTATCTGATAGTGTACATACACTATCTACAAACAAATGTTGGTGTGGTAGATTTACCATCTACAAACAAATGTTGGTGTGGAACCATCTACAAACAAATGTTGGTGTGGTAGATTTACCATCTATAAACAAATGTTGGTGTGGTACCATCTACAAACAAATGTTGGTGTGGTAGATTTACCAACTATAAACAAATGTTGGTGTGGTACCATCTATAAACAAATGTTGGTGTGGTAGATTTACCAACTATAAACAAATGTTTGTGTGGTACCATCTATAAACAAATGTTGGTTTGGTAGATTTACCATCTATAAACAAATGTTTGTGTGGTAGATTTACCATCTATAAACAAATGTTGGTGTGGTACCATCTACAAACAAATGTTGGTGTGGTAGTTTTACCATCTACAAACAAATGTTGGTGTGGTACCATCTACAAACAAATGTTGGTGTGGTACCATCTACAAACAAATGTTGGTGTGGTACCATCTACAAACAAATGTTGGTGTGGTACCATCTATAAACAAATGTTGGTGTGGTACCATCTATAAACAAATGTTGGTGTGGTACCATCTACAAACAAATGTTGGTGTGGTACCATCTATAAACAAATGTTGGTGTGGTACCATCTACAAACAAATGTTGGTGTGGTACCATCTATAAACAAATGTTGGTGTGGTACCATCTATAAACAAATGTTGGTGTGGTACCATCTATAAACAAATGTTGGTGTGGTACCATCTATAAACAAATGTTGGTGTGGTAGATTTACCATCTATAAACAAATGTTGGTGTGGTACCATCTACAAACAAATGTTGGTGTGGTACCATCTACAAACAAATGTTGGTGTGGTACCATCTACAAACAAATGTTGGTGTGGTACCATCTACAAACAAATGTTGGTGTGGTACCATCTACAAACAAATGTTGGTGTGGTACCATCTACAAACAAATGTTGGTGTGGTACCATCTACAAACAAATGTTGGTGTGGTACCATCTACAAACAAATGTTGGTGTGGTACCATCTACAAACAAATGTTGGTGTGGTACCAAACAAATGTTGGTGTGGTACCATCTACAAACAAATGTTGGTGTGGTACCATCTACAAACAAATGTTGGTGTGGTACCATCTACAAACAAATGTTGGTGTGGTACCATCTACAAACAAATGTTGGTGTGGTACCATCTACAAACAAATGTTGGTGTGGTACCATCTACAAACAAATGTTGGTGTGGTACCATCTATAAACAAATGTTGGTGTGGTACCATCTACAAACAAATGTTGGTGTGGTACCATCTACAAACAAATGTTGGTGTGGTACCATCTATAAACAAATGTTGGTGTGGTACCATCTATTGTTGGTGTGGTACCATCTATAAACAAATGTTGGTGTGGTACCATCTACCATCTATAAACAAATGTTGGTGTGGTACCATCTATAAACAAATGTTGGTGTGGTAGATTTACCATCTATAAACAAATGTTGGTGTGGTACCATCTATAAACAAATGTTGGTGTGGTACCATCTATAAACAAATGTTGGTGTGGTACCATCTACAAACAAATGTTGGTGTGGTACCATCTATAAACAAATGTTGGTGTGGTACCATCTATAAACAAATGTTGGTGTGGTAGATTTACCATCTATAAACAAATGTTGGTGTGGTACCATCTATAAACAAATGTTGGTGTGGTAGATTTACCATCTATAAACAAATGTTGGTGTGGTACCATCTATAAACAAATGTTGGTGTGGTAGATTTACCATCTACAAACAAATGTTGGTGTGGTACCATCTATAAACAAATGTTGGTGTGGTAGATTTACCATCTATAAACAAATGTTGGTGTGGTACCATCTATAAACAAATGTTTGTGTGGTAGATTTACCATCTATAAAAAAATGTTGGTATGGTAGATTTACCATCTATAAACAAATGTTGGTGTGGTACCATCTATAAACAAATGTTGGTGTGGTACCATCTATAAACAAATGTTGGTGTGGTACCATCTATAAACAAATGTTGGTGTGGTACCATCTATAAACAAATGTTGGTGTGGTACCATCTATAAACAAATGTTGGTGTGGTACCATCTATAAACAAATGTTGGTGTGGTACCATCTATAAACAAATGTTGGTGTGGTACCATCTATAAACAAATGTTGGTGTGGTACCATCTATAAACAAATGTTGGTGTGGTACCATCTATAAACAAATGTTGGTGTGGTACCATCTATAAACAAATGTTGGTGTGGTACCATCTATAAACAAATGTTGGTGTGGTACCATCTATAAACAAATGTTGGTGTGGTACCATCTATAAACAAATGTTGGTGTGGTACCATCTATAAACAAATGTTGGTGTGGTACAAATGTTGGTGTGGTACCATATAAACAAATGTTGGTGTGGTACCATCTATAAACAAATGTTGGTGTGGTACCATCTATAAACAAATGTTGGTGTGGTACCATCTACCAAATGTTGGTGTGGTACCATCTATAAACAAATGTTGGTGTGGTACCATCTATAAACAAATGTTGGTGTGGTACCATCTATAAACAAATGTTGTGGTACCATCTATAAACAAATGTTGGTGTGGTACCATCTATAAACAAATGTTGGTGTGGTACCATCTATAAACAAATGTTGGTGTGGTAGATTTACCATCTATAAACAAATGTTGGTGTGGTACCATCTATAAACAAATGTTGGTGTGGTACCATCTATAAACAAATGTTGGTGTGGTAGATTTACCATCTATAAACAAATGTTGGTGTGGTACCATCTATAAACAAATGTTGGTGTGGTACCATCTATAAACAAATGTTGGTGTGGTACCATCTATAAACAAATGTTGGTGTGGTAGATTTACCATCTATAAACAAATGTTGGTGTGGTACCATCTATAAACAAATGTTGGTGTGGTAGATTTACCATCTATAAACAAATGTTGGTGTGGTACCATCTACAAACAAATGTTGGTGTGGTACCATCTATAAACAAATGTTGGTGTGGTACCATCTATAAACAAATGTTGGTGTGGTACCATCTATAAACAAATGTTGGTGTGGTACCATCTATAAACAAATGTTGGTGTGGTAGATTTACAATCTATAAACAAATGTTGGTGTGGTACCAGCTATAAACAAATGTTGGTGTGGTAGATTTACCAAATGTTGGTGTGGTAGATTTACTATAAACAAATGTTGGTGTGGTACCATCTATAAACAAATGTTGGTGTGGTAGATTTACCATCTATAAACAAATGTTGGTGTGGTACCATCTATAAACAAATGTTGGTGTGGTACCATCTATAAACAAATGTTGGTGTGGTACCATCTATAAACAAATGTTGGTGTGGTACCATCTATAAACAAATGTTGGTGTGGTACCATCTATAAACAAATGTTGGTGTGGTACCATCTATAAACAAATGTTGGTGTGGTACCATCTATAAACAAATGTTGGTGTGGTACCATCTATAAACAAATGTTGGTGTGGTACCATCTATAAACAAATGTTGGTGTGGTACCATCTATAAACAAATGTTGGTGTGGTACCATCTATAAACAAATGTTGGTGTGGTACCATCTATAAACAAATGTTGGTGTGGTAGATTTACCATCTATAAACAAATGTTGGTGTGGTACCATCTATAAACAAATGTTGGTGTGGTAGATTTACCATCTATAAACAAATGTTGGTGTGGTACCATCTATAAACAAATGTTGGTGTGGTACCATCTATAAACAAATGTAGATTTACCATCTACAAACAAATGTTGGTGTGGTACCATCTATAAACAAATGTTGGTGTGGTAGATTTACCATCTATAAACAAATGTTGGTGTGGTACCATCTATAAACAAATGTTGGTGTGGTACCATCTACAAACAAATGTTGGTGTGGTAATCTACAAACAAATGTTGGTGTGGTACCATCTATAAACAAATGTTGGTGTGGTACCATCTATAAACAAATGTTGGTGTGGTACCATCTATAAACAAATGTTGGTGTGGTACCATCTAGAAACAAATGTTGGTGTGGTAGATTTACCATCTATAAACAAATGTTGGTGTGGTACCATCTATAAACAAATGTTGGTGTGGTAGATCAAACTAAACAAATGTTGGTGTGGTACCATCTATAAACAAATGTTGGTGTGGTACCATCTATAAACACATGTTGGTGTGGTACCATCTATAAACAAATGTTGGTGTGGTACCATCTATAAACAAATGTTGGTGTGGTACCATCTATAAACAAATGTTGGTGTGGTACCAACAAATGTTGGTGTGGTACCATCTATAAACAAATCATCGTGTGTTAGTTTTACCATCTACAAACAAATGTTGGTGTGGTACCATCTACAAACAAATGTTGGTGTGGTACCATCTACAAACAAATGTTGGTGTGGTAGATTTACCATCTATAAACAAATGTTGGTGTGGTACCATCTATAAACAAATGTTGGTGTGGTACCATCTACAAACAAATGTTGGTGTGATAGATTTACCATCTATAAACAAATGTTGGTGTGGTACCATCTATAAACAAATGTTGGTGTGGTACCATCTACAAACAAATGTTGGTGTGGTAGATTTACCATCTATAAACAAATGTTGGTGTGGTACCATCTACAAACAAATGTTGGTGTGGTACCATCTATAAACAAATGTTGGTGTGGTACCATCTATAAACAAATGTTGGTGTGGTACCATCTATAAACAAATGTTGGTGTGGTACCATCTATAAACAAATGTTTGTGTGGTAGATTTACCATCTATAAACAAATGTTGGTGTGGTACCATCTACAAACAAATGTTGGTGTGGTAGTTTTACCATCTACAAACAAATGTTTGTGTGGTAGATTTACCATCTACAAACAAATGTTGGTGTGGTACCATCTATAAACAAATGTTGGTGTGGTAGATTTACCATCTATAAACAAATGTTTGTGTGGTACCATCTATAAACAAATGTTGGTGTGGTAGATTTACCATCTACAAACAAATGTTGGTGTGGTAGTTTTACCATCTACAAACAAATGTTGGTGTGGTAGATTTACCATCTACAAACAAATGTTGGTGTGGTACCATCTATAAACAAATGTTGGTGTGGTAGATTTACCATCTATAAACAAATGTTGGTGTGGTACCATCTATAAACAAATGTTGTTGTGGTAGATTTACCATCTATAAACAAATGTTGGTGTGGTACCGTCTACAAACAAATGTTGGTGTGGTAGATTGGGAAATAGTTAAATATTACCTGATACTATAGATACAACATCCATTAAAAACATTATCTGACCTCTGCTTTATTCCCTGAAGATAGCGATGATTTTATTGATGAACATAGCTTCACCAGATACTGCACAAGGTTATGTATGGAAAGATTATGAAAGAATTTTGTCACATGCAGGTACATGTGTCAAAAGCATTGCGGGTTGAAATCTTGTAAACGACAACCATGAAGTTATTTGTTTTAAAATCGCATAAAACAAAAGTTGTTTGCGGAAATTTGACAATATTTATTTTAAGTATCAAACTGGAATTTTGAAGAACTTCATGACATGATTTTAAAAATCATAATTTCAATTACTTTTCATTTTTGAATACAATTGTCAGAGTATAATGCCTGACTGGTTAAGTTAATTATTTAATTAATTTTAAACCACTCCTCTCTACAATATGACTTGTAGAAGTATCATATACTATTTGAATGAGAAAACTAGCACATTTGAAAAATTAATAAACTAAAAAAGAAAAATTAAAAAAAAAAAGCAGGCATCAAACTTTAACCACCTTAAGATCTTAACACTTTGCAATTTTTACCAAGGACTTTTATGTAAATTCTATGAATATCAGAGGTTTAATCCCGAAAAAGGGAAAGTAAACCAAAAGTTGGAACAAAATGGTTATATATGGATTTTGTTTAAAGGTAAATACCTAATTTCCTAATCAAGTCAAAGGTATGAATTTATATTATTCATGTCCCCAGCTGTCTGGTCTCTTAGTTAAAATCATCATCTACATTGTGACAGTTCTCTTAAACAATTTTGGTGTGATGGAAAACTAATAATAGCTTTATGGTACTGAAACATTTAAATCAATTTCTTTAGGACTCTGTGATAACAGATGGTGGCACACTTTACCTGAAAGTAAAGATATGTATCATAAGGAATTAAACGTCTGATGTCTCATTGTAATTCTTTGTGCTTTTATATGATTGAACGGGTGTAGTTTGCTGAAGACAGTTGAGGCGGCCTATGTACCAGATCTAGACAATGTTGTGGAATTGTTTGGCTATCAGTTTGTCACTTGCCAACTGGAGCAGAACATGAATAAACTGTTCTTATTTCTCAGGTATGTACTCGGTAGAAAATTCAAAAAGATCTCAAAAAAAGGTTTCAAAAAACTCCTTCAGATTTTTGTCAAGTTTCTCTTCAATACTAAAGTATACTTATCAGCTTCTTTGATAAAAGTCTTAGAGTCCTTGATAAGTCTTCAATTTGCACTACATCTATTCCAGTGTTGATATTATTTCAGGTTTCAGCATTTCCATTTACTTCTTTTTTTCTTTTTTTTTTCAATTTTATATGAGTGGTTTTGTGTGCAAAAGAGTTTGCAGAGTGAGACATAAAAACCATTACTTTTAGTGTTCAGCATCATTAACATTTGTGCGAAACTCAAAATTTTCCAATGATTGCAAGTGCTACTATTTCCAAACCAGTCTCTCTAACCTGCACAGAAAAGCTTACTTTTACCTAGGTAAATACCAAATGCAGACTAAGTGATAAGACACTGACACATGGTTAATTGATTTTGGCCTATACTTGATGGTAATTATATAATCAGTGGTAAAGTTTGTGTTCAGCTTGATGTTGAGCTTAATTTCTCTCCTAGATTATGTATTGCCATAACCAAGCCTGGAAAATATACTTTTATCAATGTCTGATCATCCCAACACTGAGCCCAGCTAAAGCCCTCTATGTCTGATCATCCCAACACTGGGCCCAGCTAAAGCCCTCTATGTCTGATCATCCCAACACTGGGCCCAGTGAAAGCCCTCTCTGTCTGATCATCCCACCATGGAGCCCAGTGAAAGCCCTCTATGTCTGATCATCCCAACACTGGGCCCAGCTAAAGCCCTCTATGTCTGATCATCCCAACACTGGGCCCAGTGAAAGCCCTCTCTGTCTGATCATCCCACCATGGAGCCCAGTGAAAGCCCTCTATGTCTGATCATCCCACCATGGAGCCCAGTGAAAGCCCTCTATGTCTGATCATCCCAACACTGGGCCCAGCTAAAGCCCTCTATGTCTGATCATCCCAACACTGGGCCCAGTGAAAGCCCTCTATGTCTGATCATCCCACCATGGAGCCCAGTGAAAGCCCTCTATGTCTGATCATCCCAACACTGGGCCCAGCTAAAGCCCTCTATGTCTGATCATCCCACCATGGAGCCCAGTGAAAGCCCTCTATGTCTGATCATCCCAACACTGGGCCCAGTGAAAGCCCTCTATGTCTGATCATCCCAACACTGGGCCCAGCTAAAGCCCTCTATGTCTGATCATCCCAACACTGGGCCCAGCTAAAGCCCTCTATGTCTGATCATCCCAACACTGGGCCCAGCTAAAGCCCTCTATGTCTGATCATCCCAACACTGGGTCCAGCTAAAGCCCTCTATGTCTGATCATCCCAACATGGAGCTCAGTGAAAGCCCTCTATGTCTGATCATCCCAACACTGAGCCCAGCTAAAGCCCTCTATGTCTGATCATCCCACCATGGAGCCCAGTGAAAGCCCTCTATGTCTGATCATCCCACCATGGAGCCCAGTGAAAGCCCTCTATGTCTGATCATCCCAACACTGGGCCCAGCTAAAGCCCTCTATGTCTGATCATCCCAACACTGGGATCATCCCAACACTGGGCCCAGCTAAAGCCCTCTATGTCTGATCATCCCACCATGGAGCCCAGTGAAAGCCCTCTATGTCTGATCATCCCACCATGGAGCCCAGTGAAAGCCCTCTATGTCTGATCATCCCACCATGGAGCCCAGTGAAAGCCCTCTATGTCTGATCATCCCACCATGGAGCCCAGTGAAAGCCTTCTATATCTGATCATCCCAACACTGGGCCCAGCTAAAGCCCTCTATGTCTGATCATCCCAACACTGGGTCCAGCTAAAGCCCTCTATGTCTGATCATCCCAACACTGGGCCCAGTGAAAGCCTTCTATGTCTGATCATCCCACCATGGAGCCCAGTGAAAGCCCTCTATGTCTGATCATCCCACCATGGAGCCCAGTGAAAGCTTTCTATGTCTGATCATCCCAACACTGGGCCCAGCTAAAACTTAAAATGTCTGATCATCCCACCATGGAGCCCAGTGAAAGCCTTCTATGTCTGATCATCCCAACACTGGGCCCAGCTAAAACTTAAAATGTCTGATCATCCCACCAAAGGGCCCTACAAAAACCTTCTATGCCTGATCATCCCAACACTGGGCGCAGCTAAAACCCTCAATACTGGGCCCAGCTACAACCTTCTTTGTCTGACCATCCCAACACAGGGCCCAGCTGAAACTGGTTGTCTGATGATCCCACTGCAGAGCCCTTCAAAAACCTATGTCTGATCATCCATTCACAGGGCCCTGCAAAAGCCTTCTTTGTCTGACCATTACAACACAGGGCCCTATAAAACCTTTCAGAAGTGCTTGTCTGTTAGAATTGTGGCCTGGTTAAAATTACATATGCAGACAAGAAATTCACTAGGTCTGGAAATTTTCAAATCATGCAGAGTGCTCCCATATTGTGTATCAGGCTTTAATTCAGTAATGTTCAGTTGTAAATCAGTTGTTGATATCTGGCAAACGTTTTGTAGCTTACCTAACGTGTAGCTAAACATGATTAAACGTCCATTGATTAAAATAGGGTTAAAATCACTGGGTAAGTAATGTTTCATGACAAAGGCAAATATATACGTTTTTGAAGAACCTACAGAAATGTAATGCTGACATAAGACAAGGAAATATTTGCTTAAGATTATTTTGGTCAAGTTCTCTATCACAATAGATGTCTCAACTGTCTTTTTTTGATTATGGGGTAACTAGTAAAAATATAGAAATATTTTTTCACTGAGACATTTTCATTCAGCTAGTCATAGATATGACCTTATACAGGTCCTTACATGTAATGTGAACACTACAGATGTATGTACTGAAATCAATGTCACATCTGTTTCCTTGTGTTCATTCTAGGAGGCACAAACTTGCCTGTTGGCATGCTGAAATTTTGCTATTTTGAATAATACTGTCTCACTAGTGGAATGCTTTAAAACCAGTTGATAAGTTAAACAATTTTAAAAAGTTTATGGATTAATGAAAAACGAATCTCTTTTGATAGACAAATTACCAATAAAAATCACTTGTACTTCAGCAAAATCCTCTGGTCAGGACAAGTGGTTTTACTGGACACTGTTGATAAACATTTTAGATTCTGAATTCACAGGTTTAGGTTGTATTCACTTGATTTATTATACCTCTATATATTAAGCACATCAAGTTGATGTATCCCTGATATGGACAAGCAGGGGGCACACAAGACATATAAGTACATGTAATTCTTGTCCTGTCAAAGGACATGTTGGTCTTGGAAGACTGCCTTCTTCCTTTAAGTAGTTTTGTTGTATTTTTTCACCCAGATGAAATGGCTTCATTAATTATTATGTGACTTTTTGCACAAAATAGCAACAAATTCACAAAACCTTTAAAACGATATTAAAAAATACATGTTAAGTAATGTTCTATCAATTGTTACCGTAGCGATAGGACAGAATTTACCAGAGCTTGCCAAATACATGCTAAGTAGTGTATTATTAAGCGTTAACTTAACAATTGGACAAAATTTAACAGAGCTTCCCTATATTCATGTCCATAATGAGCATTATTTGTTTAAAGCAGGAAATGATATTTTTTTAAGTAAAATGATAAATAATTAACTCACTAGTGCATAATATGTTGATGATATGATCAATGTGTGATTTCTTTTGTATAGTCAGTGGATTTGTCGGATACAGAACAAAAACCCACCACCAGGTAATCATGAAATTTTTCTTAATGCATTATTAACACCTGCCACATTGAACTCTATTAAGTGGCCTTTTGATTGGCCAAGTGATGGTCATACCACAAGGTCCAGCAGCAGTGTTTCTGGGGCAGGAGGGCTTGTATGGTATACTATAACTAGTAACAGTCCTCATCGCCAAGAAACATTGTCACAGGCCCCTGTGAGTCATACCCTGGTTTGTCATATGTTTAGTATTGATAACAGTGTTCTTGTTTGTATGAAAATTTGTTGCTTCTGCTTATCATTGGCCTGGAAACAATGCATTTTTGTTATTTGTTTTCTTACAAAAAATTAGTGATACACCTGCCGCTGTTGTCTGCAAACATAAATAGCTAAGCATGGATATCTATGAATATCAGTAAACAGTGTATCATTTTTGTTAAAATGTAGACTAAATGATCATTCAAAAGGTTGTTGTTTTTGTGTGGTTTTTAAAGAAAAAAAAAGGATATAAATACTAGTATGCCCACTTTGATATAACAAGTCCTCGGACATTTGACCAATTGACTCATATCACGACTGTCTGGCAGATAAGGGTGTAATGTGGTCACATACCATAATTATTGCTAAAATATATCTATCATTGTCAGATTTTTCTATAAAAAGTTACAAGTTCAGAAAACCTGGAGAGCTTTATATACAATATTAATATTTCTGCTGTTAACTGGACTGATAATTATATGTAGACTCAATTCTATATATACTCAACAAAAAAAGAAAGGTTAAAGTGTTTCCTTGGCGAATACCTGTAAATGAGTGAAAACAAAAGGACGTTTGTGCAATATTAGAAAATGGTAATGTTTTACATTACAAAATACAACGGGGTTACCAAAATCATTCAAGCGTGAAAGTCTGTATTAGCGAAAGAGCTGCACGAGGTTTTCTGCCACTAACTTGTATCTTCGCTTGAATTTCATAAACATTCGAACTGACAACTGTTCCTTAGATCATTAGGACTTAGAAATCACCGAATCTCGCTATCTATCAACTTTATCATTATGCCCCGGCTGTCACAAGTACAAAGAGAAAGGGCTGTAGGCATGATCCAGGTTGGGGAGTCTCGCCGTCAAGTTGCACGGCATTTTGGTTGCAGTGTTAAAACAATTTGCCAGTTGCTGAGTTGTTGAAATCAAACTGGGTCAACATCCGATCGTCCCCGAAGCGGCCGACCCCGTAAAATGACCGCAGGGATGACCGTCGTATACGATTGATACAATTGCGCAATCGATTCGTAACCGCAGTAGAGACTACAAGGACATTGTTTGGGCGTCATGTGTCTCCCCAAACAGTCCGCAACAGGCTGAGGGCCTACCAATTGAAAGCGTAGCTTCCTGACACTGGACCCAATTTGTTGCGATGTCACCGTAATAATCGGCGTAACTGGACCCGTGTTCACCGTCGTTGGGCCTTACGACAATGGAACAATGTTCTATTTTCAGATGAGTCCAGGTTTTGTCTGCAACACGGTGACGGAAGGCGCAGAGTGTGGAGGCGATGAGGGGAGCGTTTTGGGAACTGCTGCGTCGAGAACGCGACTGCTTTGGCGGCGGAAGTGTAATGGTTTTGGGTGATATTTGTGGGGGGGAGTCGTATCAGGCTTGTTGTGTTAAATGGCAATTTAACCGGCATTCCATATCAGGATGAAATTTTAAGACCAGTGGTTCTGCCATTCTTAAGAGGCCACGGCGTTGGCGCCATTTTTCAACAGGATAACGCACCAGTGCACACCAGTCGCGTCAGCAGAATTTTCTTGCAGCAGAATAACGTACAGGTGTTAGATTGGCCATCTAAATCACCTGATTTGTCACCGATTGAGCATGTCTTGGACGACGCGTGAGAGAACGTTAAAATCAGCCGTCAAACTTGCAGGAGCTGGCCCAAGCCTTGATCGCTGAATGGAACAACATCTCTCCTCGAATTATCCGCCACTTTACGAGTTCCATGCGACAATGCTGCCGTTACTAATGTGCTACCTTTGAAATTGACCCCAACGTCCTTTACAGTCGAATAAAATCAACTGAACGCAAAGTTTTATAATGAACCATGACTGCGGTTTTATCAGAATTGATCAACTAGATTATTCGTACATGATTGGTAAGGATTTATGAAGGGGTTAATTAATTAATCACAAAATAAAGTAGTGTTGCCTTTCTTTTTTTGTTTAGTATATATACAAAACATTGTGTGGAAAATGTTTTTCTTTATCTTCTTCATTTATTACATAAACTGTTTAAAGCCAACCTTATGGGGAGACATGCGAGACATTTGAAATTTTTATGCCCCCTCCATTTTATGTGTGTGTGTATGTGTTAGGGGGTGGGGGCTCTAGTGTTACCCTTGGCTGTCGTCCCATTGCGCTCTTTTCTGAGTCATTATCATCCCTTGAGAACCTCTACAAATTTAGTTCATCATGATTATTTCATAATGTCATTGTATCGATTTCTGTATAATACCATTGTTAAGGTGATGTATCAGTCAAGGTCAATAAGTAGAGACAAAAGTCACAATGGATGACCTATAAATATTCATCAAAGAATTATTCTTATATGCCTGGGAGTTAGGATATCTTGTCTTAAATGCAGTTTCTAGAAATTTTATGGAGATTTTTGTTTTTATTATTTTCAGTGTCAGAAATACGAAGATGGAGACAAGATATTGTCAATTTCTATGTTTTCTTAAAATCGTATGTTTTAAGGTAAGTTTTTCTTCTTGATCCAAGGTTACATATAATTTGAAATGTTTATCTTTGATGCATTTGAAAAAGGACAGTTAAGCCTTGTTTTGACCACTGTTTCAAACCCTCAGATTATTAAGGATACTCCCCTTCAGATAGCACAGATAGTTTAATATAGCTCGCAACAAATTTCCAAACGAGGGAGCCACATTTGTTTGAAGCAAGAGAGGTGATTTGGCAACATAAAGATAAAGATTGTAATCACAAGTTTGCTTTAGGTATAATTTTTTTAATGAATATTACATATGAAAAAAATAGCTTAAACTTGATTCAGTACATATATTTAAAACATTTGTCATTTCAACATCATCATTTTCCCTTACTTGTAAACTTGTTCACTGGAACACTTGGTGTTTCAATATTCATACACAATTGTTCCATTGCTTGAAATCTTTCCGTCGGTCATACCAAATTAGTATCCTCCTCCTCTGTTTGTCCTAACACTGTTTGGCTTTGTTGTTAATGTAATGGCTTTTGATTATTTGCCACCACTTCACATCTGACACTATATATATTGTTTGTTATTTTCTCCAATTGCCAGTCGATTCTTTCTGAGCTGTGATGGTAGTGAAAGTCCAATTGTAATCGATGATTTATGAAAAGGATTAGTTAATTGGTTTGTTAATTACTCCAAAAATTCTGTTTGCCATTCCTCATTAGGACCTTTATGACATCTTATAATATAGAAAATGGGAGAAAGAGAGAAGTATGGTGACAGGGTTATAATATAGAACCTGGGAGAAAGAGAGAAGTATGGTGACAAGGTTATAATGTAGAATCTGGGAGAAAGAGAGAAGTATGGTGACAGGGTTATAATGTAGAACCTGGGAGAAAGAGAGAAGTATGGTGACAGGGTTATAATGTAGAACCTGGGAGAAAGAGAGAAGTATGGTGACAGGGTTATAATGTAGAACCTGGGAAAAAGAGAGAAGTATGGTGACAGGGTTATAATATAGAACCTGGGAGAAAGAGAGAAGTATGGTGACAAGGTTATAATATAGAATCTCAGAGAAAGAGAAAAGCATGGTGACAGGGTTATAATATAGAATCTGGGAGAACGAGACAGGGTTATAATGTAGAATCTGGGAGAAAGAGAGAAGTATGGTGACAGGGTTATAATATAGAATCTCAGAGAAAGAGAAAAGCATGGTGACAGGGTCATAATATAGAATCTCAGAGAAAGAGAAAAGCATGGTGACAGGGTTATAATGTAGAACCTTGGAGAAAGAGAGGTGTATGGTGACAGGGTTATAATATAGAACCTGGGAGAAAGAGAGAAATATGGTGACAGGGTTATAATGTAGAATCTGGGAGAAAGAGAGAAGTATGTAACAGGGTTATAATATAGAACCTGGGAGAAAGAGAAAAGCATGGTGACAGGGTTATAATGTAGAACCTTGGAGAAAGAGAGGTGTATGGTGACAGGGTTATAATATAGAACCTGGGAGAAAGAGAGAAGTATGGTGACAGGGTTATGATGTAGAACCTGGGAGAAAGAGAGAAGTATGGTGACAGGATTATAATGTAGAACCTGAGAGAAAGAGAGAAGTATGGTGACAGGGTTATAATATAGAACCTGGGAGAAAGAGAGAAGTATGGTGACAGGATTATAATGTAGAATCTGGGACAAAGAGAGAAGTATGGTGACAGGGTTATGATATAGAACCTGGGAGAAAGTATGGTGACAGGGTTATAATATAGAACCTGGGAGAAAGAGAGAAGTATGGTGACAGGGTTATAATGTAGAACCTGGGAGAAAGAGAGAAATATGGTGACAGGGTTATAATATAGAACCTGGGAGAAAGAGAGAAGTATGGTGACAGGGTTATAATATAGAACCTGGGAGAAAGAGAGAAGTATGGTGACAGGATTATAATGTAGAATCTGGGACAAAGAGAGAAGTATGGTGACAGGGTTATAATGTAGAATCTGGGACAAAGAGAGAAGTATGGTGACAGGGTTATAATATAGAACCTGGGAGAAAGAGAGAAGTATGGTGACAGGGTTATAATATAGAATCTGGGAGAAAGAGAGAAGTATGGTGACAGGGTTATAATATAGAATCTGAATCTGGAAGGGTTATAATATAGAATCTGGGACAAAGAGAGAAGTATGGTGACAGGGTTATAATATAGAATCTCAGAGAAAGAGAAAAGTATGGTGACAGGGTTATAATGTAGAACCTGGGAGAAAGAGAGAAGTATGGTGACAGGGTTATAATATAGAACCTGGGAGAAAGAGAGAAGTATGGTGACAGGGTTATAATATAGAACCTGGGAGAAAGAGAGAAGTATGGTGACAGGGTTATAATATAGAACCTGGGAGAAAGAGAGAAGTATGGTGACAGGGTTATAATGTAGAATCTGGGACAAAGAGAGAAGTATGGTGACAGGGTTATAATGTAGAATCTGGGAGAAAGAGAGAAGTATGGTGACAGGGTTATAATATAGAACCTGGGAGAAAGAGAGAAGTATGGTGACAGGGTTATAATATAGAACCTGGGAGAAAGAGAGAAGTATGGTGACAGGGTTATAATATAGAACCTGGGAGAAAGAGAGAAGTATGGTGACAGGGTTATAATATAGAACCTGGGAGAAAGAGAGAAGTATGGTGACAGGGTTATAATATAGAAACTGGGAGAAAGAGAGAAGTATGGTGACAGGGTTATAATATAGAACCTGGGAGAAAGAGAGAAGTATGGTGACAGGGTTATAATATAGAACCTGGGAGAAAGAGAGAAGTATGGTGACAGGGTTATAATATAGAATCTGGGAGAAAGAGAGAAGTATGGTGACAGGGTTATAATATAGAACCTGGGAGAAAGAGAGAAGTATGGTGACAGGGTTATAATATAGAACCTGGGAGAAAGAGAGAAGTATGGTGACAGGGTTATAATATAGAATCTGGGAGAAAGAGAGAAGTATGGTGACAGGGTTATAATATAGAACCTGGGAGAAAGAGAGAAGTATGGTGACAGGGTTATAATGTAGAACCTGGGAGAAAGAGAGAAGTATGGTGACAGGGTTATAATGTAGAATCTGGGACAAAGAGAGAAGTATGGTGACAGGGTTATAATATAGAACCTGGGAGAAAGAGAGAAGTATGGTGACAGGGTTATAATATAGAACCTGGGAGAAAGAGAGAAGTATGGTGACAGGGTTATAATGTAGAACCTGGGAGAAAGAGAGGTGTATGGTGACAGGGTTATAATATAGAACCTGGGAGAAAGAGAGAAGTATGGTGACAGGGTTATAATGTAGAATCTGGGACAAAGAGAGAAGTATGGTAACAGGGTTATAATGTAGAACCTGGGAGAAAGAGAGAAGTATGGTGACAGGGTTATAATATAGAACCTGGGAGAAAGAGAGAAGTATGGTGACAGGGTTATAATATAGAACCTGGGAGAAAGAGAGAAGTATGGTGACAGGGTTATAATATAGAATAGAACCTGGGAGAAAGAGAGAAGCATGGTGACAGGGTTATAATATAGAATCTGGGAGAAAGAGAAAAGTATGGTGACAGGGTTATAATGTAGAACCTGGAGAAAGAGAGAAAGCATGGTGACAGGGTTATAATATAGAATCTGGGACAAAGAGAGAAGTATGGTGACAGGGTTATAATGTAGAATCTGGGAGAAAGAGAGAAGCATGGTGACAGGGTCATAATATAGAATCTGGGAGAAAGAGAAAAGCATGGTGACAGGGTTATAATGTAGAACCTTGGAGAAATAGAGGTGTATGGTGACAGGGTTATAATATAGAACCTTGGAGAAAGAGAGAAGTATGGTGACAGGGTTATAATGTAGAATCTAGGAGAAAGAGAGAAGTATGGTGACAGGGTTATAATATAGAACCTTGGAGAAAGAGAGAAGTATGGTGACAGGGTTATGATATAGAACCTTGGAGAAAGTATGGTGACAGGGTTATAATATAGAACCTGGGAGAAAGAGAGAAGTATGGTGACAGGGTTATAATGTAGAATCTGGGAGAAAGAGAGAAGTATGGTTACAGGGTTATAATATAGAACCTGGGAGAAAGAGAGAAGTATGTGACAGGGTTATAATGTAGAACCTGGGAGAAAGAGAGAAGTATGTGACAGGGTTATAATGTAGAACCTGGGAGAAATAGAAAATTATGGTGACAAGGTTATAATGTAGAACCTGGGAGAAAGAGAGAAATATGGTGACAGGGTTATAATATAGAACCTTGGAGAAAGAGAGAAGTATGGTGACACGGTTATAATGTAGAACCTGGGAGAAAGAGAGAAGTATGGTGACGGTTATAATGTAGAACCTGGGGAAAAATAGAAAATTATGGTGACAAGGTTATAATGTAGAACCTGGGAGAAAGATAGAAGTATGGTGACAGGGTTATAATATAGAATCTGGAAGAAAGAGAGAAGTATGGTGACAGGGTTATAATATAGAATCTCAGAGAAAGAGAAAAATATGGTGACAGGGTTATAATGTAGAACCTGGGAAAAAGAGAGAAGTATGGTGACAGGGTTATAATATAGAACCTGGGAGAAAGAGAGAAGTATGGTGACAGTGTTATAATATAGAATCTCAGAGAAAGAGAAAAGCATGGTGACAGGGTTATAATATAGAATCTGGGAGAACGAGACAGGGTTGTAATGTAGAATCTGGGAGAAAGAGAGAAGTATGGTGACAGGGTTATAATATAGAATCTCAGAGAAAGAGAAAAGCATGGTGACAGGGTCATAATATAGAATCTGGGAGAAAGAGAAAAGCATGGTGACAGGGTTATAATGTAGAACCTTGGAGAAAGAGAGGTGTATGGTGACAGGGTTATAATATAGAACCTGGGAGAAAGAGAGAAGTATGGTGACAGGGTTATAATGTAGAATCTAGGAGAAAGAGAGAAGTATGGTGACAGGGTTATAATATAGAACCTGGGACAAAGAGAGAAGTATGGTGACAGGGTTATGATATAGAACCTTGGAGAAAGTATGGTGACAGGGTTATCATATAGAACCTGGGAGAAAGAGAGAAGTATGGTGACAGGGTTATAAAAAGAATCTGGGAGAAAGAGAGAAGTATGGTGACAGGGTTATAATGTAGAACCTGGGAGAAAGAGAGAGGTATGGTGACAGGGTTATAATATAGAACCTGGGAGAAAGAGAGAAGTATGGTGACACGGTTATAATGTAGAACCTTGGAGAAAGAGAGAAGTATGGTGACACGGTTATAATGTAGAACCTGGGAGAAAGAGAGAAATATGGTGACAGGGTTATAATATAGAACCTTGGAGAAAGAGAGAAGTATGGTGACACGGTTATAATGTAGAACCTGGGAGAAAGAGAGAAGTATGGTGACAGGGTTATAATGTAGAACCTTGGAGAAAGAGAGAAGAGAAGTATGGTGACAGGGTTATAATGTAGAACCTGGGAGAAAGAGACTGATATGTTTACAGGATTATGTTCTGAAGTCCATAACGTAAGGTTTTGAGTTTCAGGTATAATGGAGGTGATCAACAGTTACCGCCCCTGCTGAATTCTCTGCTGTCACACTTACACAGTACCTTATTGTATGTAGACACACCTACCAAGATACATTACAACTCCATGTGCAGGGTGAGATATCATAATTTCTTTAATGTTTGTGAGAAAGTTTCATTGATGTACATCAGTATTTTCGAGTATCATTACCTGGTATTCCTTAAACTATGAACATAGAGCCTAGGATTTCGAAGTTATGGGGTGTTACGTGACTTTATTAGTCCCCACTGATACTCTGTAGGGGACTTTTAGTTCACTGAAATAGGATCTAGGTCCTCACATACTTACAGTTCTGGTCCTTTTATTTGGCATGTATTTATTGATCCTGATGAAGCCCAACTAAGTCCAGGTGAAACCGGTCGACAAACCAAAAAAAGATCCCACCTATTTATATATATATTGTCCCCAACAATTGAGATTGGTGATAACGAAAATTCTTTTTGTCTTCCATTATAAGTTTACAGACATGAGACCATGCTTTTTTAATACCAGATTTAATAAAGACAGACGCCTAACAGACAGTACTGTTATTGCTTAATGCATTTCTTTATTTTTACTTTGTGTCCAGATCTTGAATTTACCACGTGTTATCAGTCTTAATATTAAAGTCTATATCAATATTAAAATCTAACTGTAATAAGATGTGTAGGTTGTTAAATACCTAAACCTGGAGGGCCTGTAATTCCTAATTAATGTATCATCTAGTGTTATTTACACTCTTTAACTCACTACTGCTTTCCTGAGTAATTTAAGACTTAATGAGACTTGAAGATACACATTGAGTCTGATTGGCTGATAACATATGTGCCACAACTTTATTATGTCCTCCCATTGAATGAAGCAAGACTACTGAGGTTTGTCTGATACAGTCTTGTGTGGACCATAACTACAGTAACAAATCTTACACCATTTATGCATCATTCCGAAAACACTATGTCCTGCCATGTAATTAGGTCACTGTGACCTTCATCTCAAGATCAAAGGTCAAACAAGATAATTTTTCATAACTTTGGAAACATTAAATAAATACATTAATGTTTTTATTGTCTCTTCCAAATCTACAATATTCACTTGAGTTTATAAAGGAAGACATATGTTAATACAAAAGTAAATTTTTAGACTCTCATCTCGTTTTCAAATTACATGCATGTGTATGAGTGCTACAGGCACTTTTGTTTATAGGTAACCAATATGTGTTTATATTCTTTAGGTTGACAGTGATGAGTACAATAGTTTCCATCTATGCCTGGATGTGTACTGGGAAACTCTCGAACTTCTTTGTCTAATTGTTTACAAATTTCAAGGTAATTCAAAATAAAACAAATTTCCTTGACATTCACTTATAACAAAAACCACAGCATGTTGCAAAACATACAATATTGTAAATGTCCATATTTTTGTGGAAATGTTCTAACACCAGATTAAGTACCTTTTCAATATCTTATATTGACTTGATCACAAATAATTGTTAGTGTTCATCTGAAGTGCTTTTTTGTCTAGTCATGACAAAAGACAACAGAAGCTGCATTTGGATTAGTTTTTCAGAAGCCATAACTACTTAGTGTTTTAGTGAGATAAAGCAGGGACACAAGACATGAAATTTTGCAGAATTCTTTTGATGAAATTATCCTCTACTTTTCACTAGTTTGATATAATCACACTTTGTTTTAGTTACAGAAGCATGACTTGTTTGGATGCCAAATCTAAAAACATGTGAAATAATGAAACAATGAAATAATGAAACTTGTTAGAGTTGCTGGGAAATATAGGCTAATCCTTAGATTTCAATAATGTTTGTAATTTGTAATTTATAAGCAAGTCAGCAGCTTAAAACAAATCTATTTACCTGTATAGTATATCAGGCCCTAGAAATATTGGTGTATTGTTTGCTACATGGTAAAACACAATTGATTATGTAGTAAGGTAGGAAAAAGATTTATTTAAAGTGTGTATCACATGGGATTGTCATAGATATGTGTCAATACAATGTAGAAGTATATTTAGTAAGATAAAGATTTTAACATAACTCCTATACTCATTATTTATATACAATGTAGAAGTACTATTTGTAAGTAAGCTAACATCTCTCTCGAGTCTACACCAAACTTACTATTTGTAAGTAAGCTGACATCTCTCTCAAGTCTACACCAAACTTACCGTTTGTAAGCACGCTAACATCTCTCAAATTTATACCAAACTTATAAAGTCATTTAGAATAAACTGGGAGCTCCCTTTTTTAAGCTGAAGTGTTTACCTTCTTGATCAGATATAAGTAAACCTAGGTACCCTGTAATTCACCATCTGGAACTGTTGCCATATCATTTTACCTGTGAAACATCAATATATAAAATACTATACAAGTAGTCAGGCACTACTATTGATAGTAGTCACAATTAAACTAACCTATTTTTTGTTGACTCTTATCAAGACTTTTTAATTAATTATTGTTGTTAAAATTAAATAATGTTAACTATGCCATGATCCTACATTTGATGGGAGGGGTGTGGCCCAGTAGGAGCAATAGTACATAAGTCCTTCTTCAATATAAATGCCTGGATTCTGTCCCAATTTGGTTTCCATAGTGTATGAACTGTCAGTGTCATTTTGGATATTTTTAGATTTACCCTGTCGACAAAATTTGATCCGATGCTGTCACAGGAAGGAAGAGGACCCTACCTCAATGTTCACACAGGTGGTGGACCTCGTCCTGTGGGAGTTAGTCACCCTGGCCCAACAGGTGTACAGCAAGGTAACATTTGTCTGTCAAAGTCACCCTGACCCAACAGGTGTCACCCTGGCCCAACAGGTGTACAGCAAGGTAACATTTACCTGTCAAAGTCACCCTGGCCCAACAGGTGTACAGCAAGGTAACATTTGTCTGTCAAAGTCACCCTGGCTCAACAGGTGTACAGCAAGGTAACATTTGTCTGTCAAAGTCACCCTGGCCCAACAGGTGTACAGCAAGGTAACATTTGTCTGTCAAAGTCACCCTGGCCCAACAGGTGTACAGCAAGGTAACATTTGTCTGTCAAAGTCACCCTGGCCCAACAGGTGTACAGCAAGGTAACATTTACCTGTCAAAGTCACCCTGACCCAACAGGTGTACAGCAAGGTAACATTTGTCTGTCAAAGTCACCCTGGCCCAACAGGTGTACAGCAAGTTAACATTTACCTGTCAAAGTCACCCTGGCCCAACAGGTGTACATCAAGTTAACATTTGTCTGTCAAAGTCACCCTGGCCCAACAGGTGTACAGCAAGTTAACATTAACCTGTCAAAGTCACCCTGGCCCAACAGGTGTACATCAAGTTAACATTTGTCTGTCAAAGTCACCCTGGCCCAACAGGTGTACATCAAGTTAACATTTGTCTGTCAAAGTCACCCTGGCCCAACAGGTGTACATCAAGTTAACATTTGTCTGTCAAAGTCACTCCGGCTCAACAGGTGTACATCAAGGTAACATTTGTCTGTCAAAGTCACTCCGGCTCAACAGGTGTACAGCAAGGTAACATTTACCTGTCAAAGTCACCCTGGCCCAACAGGTGTACATCAAGTTAACATTTACCTGTCAAAGTCACCCTGGCCCAACAGGTGTACAGCAAGGTAACATTTACCTGTCAAAGTCACCCTGGCCCAACAGGTGTACAGCAAGTTAACATTTGTCTGTCAAAGTCACCCTGGCCCAACAGGTGTACAGCAAGTTAACATTTACCTGTCAAAGTCACCCTGGCCCAACAGGTGTACAGCAAGTTAACATTTACCTGTCAAAGTCACCCTGGCCCAACAGGTGTACAGCAAGTTAACATTTGTCTGTCAAAGTCACCCTGACCCAACAGGTGTACAGCAAGTTAACATTTACTTGTCAAAGTCACCCTGGCCCAACAGGTGTACAGCAAGTTAACATTTACTTGTCAAAGTCACCCTGGCCCAACAGGTGTACAGCAAGTTAACATTAACCTGTCAAAGTCACCCTGGCCCAACAGGTGTACATCAAGTTAACATTTGTCTGTCAAAGTCACCCTGGCCCAACAGGTGTACAGCAAGTTAACATTAACCTGTCAAAGTCACCCTGGCCCAACAGGTGTACATCAAGTTAACATTTACCTGTCAAAGTCACCCTGGCCCAACAGGTGTACAGCAAGTTAACATTTACCTGTCAAAGTCACCCTGGCCCAACAGGTGTACAGCAAGTTAACATTTACCTGTCAGTCACTCTGGCTCAACAGGTGTACATCAAGTTAACATTTGTCTGTCAAAGTCACACTGGCCCAACAGGTGTACAGCAAGTTAACATTTGTCTGTCAAAGTCACCCTGGCCCAACAGGTGTACAGCAAGTTAACATTTGTCTGTCAAAGTCACCCTGGCCCAACAGGTGTACAGCAAGGTAACATTTGTCTGTCAAAGTCACCCTGGCTCAACAGGTGTACATCAAGTTAACATTTGTCTGTCAAAGTCACCCTGGCCCAACAGGTGTACAGCAAGTTAACATTTGTCTGCCAAAGTCATCCTGACCCAACAGGTGTACATCAAGTTAACATTTACTTGTCAAAGTCACCCTGGCCCAACAGGTGTACAGCAAGTTAACATTTGTCTGTCAAAGTCACCCTGGCCCAACAGGTGTACATCAAGTTAACATTTACCTGTCAAAGTCACCCTGGCCCAACAGGTGTACAGCAAGTTAACATTTACCTGTCAAAGTCACCCTGGCCCAACAGGTGTACAGCAAGGTAACATTTGTCTGTCAAAGTCACCCTGGCTCAACAGGTGTACAGCAAGGTAACATTTGTCTGTCAAAGTCACCCTGGCCCAACAGGTGTACATCAAGTTAACATTTGTCTGTCAAAGTCACCCTGGCCCAACAGGTGTACATCAAGTTAACATTACTTGTCAAAGTCACCTGTACAACAGGTGTACAAAGCCTGTCAACACCCTGGTGTACAGCAAGTTAACATTTGTCTGTCAAAGTCACCCTGGCCCAACAGGTGTACAGCAAGTTAACATTTGTCTGTCAAAGTCACCCTGGCCCAACAGGTGTACAGCAAGTTAACATTTGTCTGTCAAAGTCACCCTGGCCCAACAGGTGTACAGCAAGTTAACATTTACCTGTCAAAGTCACCCTGACCCAACAGGTGTACAGCAAGTTAACATTTACTTGTCAAAGTCACCCTGGCCCAACAGGTGTACATCAAGTTAACATTTGTCTGTCAAAGTCACCCTGGCCCAAGAGGTGTACATCAAGTTAACATTTACTTGTCAAAGTCACCCTGGCCCAACAGGTGTACATCAAGTTAACATTTGTCTGTCAAAGTCACACTGGCCCAACAGGTGTACAGCAAGTTAACATTTGTCTGTCAAAGTCACCCTGGCCCAACAGGTGTACAGCAAGTTAACATTTACTTGTCAAAGTCACCCTGGCCCAACAGGTGTACAGCAAGTTAACATTTACCTGTCAAGTCACCCTGGCCCAACAGGTGTACATCAAGTTAACATTTGTCTGTCAAAGTCACACTGGCCCAACAGGTGTACATCAAGTTAACATTTGTCTGTCAAAGTCACCCTGGCCCAACAGGTGTACAGCAAGTTAACATTTGTCTGTCAAAGTCACCCTGGCCCAACAGGTGTACATCAAGTTAACATTTGTCTGTCAAAGTCACTCCGGCTCAACAGGTGTACATCAAGTTAACATTTGTCTGTCAAAGTCACCCTGGCCCAACAGGTGTACAGCAAGTTAACATTTGTCTGTCAAAGTCACTCCGGCTCAACAGGTGTACATCAAGGTAACATTTGTCTGTCAAAGTCACCCTGGCCCAAGAGGTGTACATCAAGTTAACATTTACCTGTCAAAGTCACCCTGGCCCAACAGGTGTACAGCAAGGTAACATTTGTCTGTCAAAGTCACCCTGGCCCAACAGGTGTACATCAAGTTAACATTTGTCTGTCAAAGTCACACTGGCCCAACAGGTGTACAGCAAGTTAACATTTACCTGTCAAGTCACCCTGGCCCAACAGGTGTACATCAAGTTAACATTTGTCTGTCAAAGTCACCCTGGCCCAACAGGTGTACAGCAAGTTAACATTTACCTGTCAAAGTCACCCTGGCCCAACAGGTGTACATCAAGTTAACATTTGTCTGTCAAAGTCACCCTGGCCCAACAGGTGTACATCAAGTTAACATTTACCTGTCAAAGTCACCCTGGCCCAACAGGTGTACAGCAAGGTAACATTTGTCTGTCAAAGTCACCCTGGCTCAACAGGTGTCACCCTGGCTCAACAGGTGTACATCAAGTTAACATTTGTCTGTCAAAGTCACCCTGGCCCAACAGGTGTACAGCAAGGTAACATTTGTCTGTCAAAGTCATTCTGGCTCAACAGGTGTACAGCAAGGTAACATTTGTCTGTCAAAGTCACCCTGGCCCAACAGGTGTACAGCAAGTTAACATTTACCTGTCAAAGTCACCCTGGCCCAACAGGTGTACAGCAAGTTAACATTTACCTGTCAGTCACCCTGGCCCAACAGGTGTACATCAAGTTAACATTTGTCTGTCAAAGTCACCCTGGCCCAACAGGTGTACAGCAAGTTAACATTTACCTGTCAAAGTCACCCTGACCCAAAAGCTGTACACCAAGATAATACTTGCCTTTCAAATTGTACTGGCCCAATAGGTGTACAGTAAGGTAGCTTTTGCCATTCAAAGTCACACCAATGTAACTTTTCAAGCCTTCAAAGTCTAACTGAACAAACAGTAAAGTATCATATCTTAATTGTTTTTATACACCAAGGAGAAGGCCTGATTTTTGTGATGCCTGTCATTGTATGTTTTGAATGTCTCATCATCTTTTATTTTATTATGGCTATTTGAAAATTATCTCTGAGGGAGGGATGTTAAGCACTTGTATAAAAATTTGATGGGTGATGGGATAATCACCATTCTCTCAGTATTCGTTATACTAAAGATACTTTAATAATTGATTAGTGATGGGATCTCATAAAAAATGCCTCCCACTCCAAATGATTTTGAAAAACCATTAGACCTGGACATATCTTTACTAAACACTGTCATGTAAGTCCCTTTCTTTGTGTTTGAAGATGATACTATAGATATATTGATATTATTTAGTTGTCTACAAAAGAAGCCTTGGGGGCAAGTCCATACCCATGTCCTTGTGTGGAAGAGATGTGGACTTTGTGTTTAGTTCTCCTCAGACACAAACACGGCTCTGAACAGGTCAGTACATCAAAAATAAAATTAATATTCCTGTGTATTTATTAAAAAAATTGTGATATAACTGAATATTTATAGATATCGTATTAAATATTGATGGTGTAGATTGCAGGTAATCAAAACTTAAAGCCTTAGAAAAATGTATCATTAACTTTTGTTTACAAACTAATGCTCAAAAGTAACCTACTGTATCACGTCTAACAAATGTCTGCTTTTCGCATTAAGATTGCGTTGTGAATTTTATTTCAAAAATGATAAATTTTAATTGAGAAACTTGGGAATTTTAATTGATAACTGAAACTGATAATTTTTATTGAGAAATCAATGAATTTGATTGGGAATGTGGTGAATTTTGCCTGAAACACTAAAACTAATGAATTCTGATTGAGAAATTGATTGATCTTGATAGAGAATTTGATGAATTTTAATTGAGAAACTGGTGTGTTTTGATTGAGAAAACTAGGGAATTTTAATTGAGAAACTGGGGAATTTTGATTGAGAAATTGTTGAAATTTGATTGAGAAAGGCAAACTGATAAATTGTGATTGAGAAGAAATTGATGATTTTTTATTGAGAATTCAGTTAATTTTGATTGAGAAGCTGAGAAAGTTTGATGGAGGAAGAGTTACGTTATATATTCTTATTCCGTGTTCTTCAATAATTAAGATTTAAAATTAGATATTCCTGTTTTGAAATTAGTGGGCCTTCAAGGAGTTATTAAAAGTGCTTGATTTTCAATAGGCTACATATGTGTACTATTATATTATTCTTTAATTTGTTGTCACACAGCTGTTCTGGTTTCACATCAACAACATTCTACAGATCTTACAAGAGGAGGAAGTCCCAGAAAACTCCATGGAGATAGGTACTCTCATTTAGGTGTCCCTCTTCTATATATTTTGTTTTCTTTTGATTCCTTCAATATAGTTGAGTTTGGAACTGCGTTGTGACTCTAGAGAAGGAGGTGTACTTTATATGTGTCAATTTATATCTACAGATTCTGGTGTTTTTGTGTATCCAGCTGCTTCTCCAATCCTAAAAGACAGAACTGGCTTCTGTTTGTGGCTATTAACCAAACTAGCCATGCTTCATGATGACTCCTCCAACACTTTGTCTCGGCAGGTGAGAGAAGCTCCAATACAAAAACTAATGACGTCTCAGAATGACTTCCTATATTTTTTGTATTGGTATTATTTAACCATAATTTTTTTCTTTTCAAAAAATCGAAAATTGTTGTTTGTTTTCAGCGTACAAGTGACTGCAATTACCAAGAAGTGATGGCAGCTCTGAAAAAGTCTTTAGCAAAGGTATTGTGAATATCAAGTCCTGTCCACTAACATTGTATTGAAAATACCCGAAATCTGTGAAATTGGTGCAAGCAAACTCATAACAGTATTAAAATTAATTTTCAAGCTTAGTAAAGGTATGTCTTACACCTTATAGCCAGTAAATTTCAATAGGATGATCTATTTGCTATTCGCCTTCAACATGAACTGGAAAATTTGATCCATGCCATAATAAGACATGTTAATTTCATCTTCATCCATCCCCAATTTTTTTAAGGTATTTTTAGTTACAGTTGACAGGAAAGGTGGTAAAACTATTCATTTTATCAAAAAATTCTTGCATTTATAGTCGTAAATCAGTGCTTAATATGCTGTAAATAAATTTAATTTTGCAAAACTTTATTTTGCAAACTTACCTATGCAGATATATTTGCAAAAACATGATTTTGCAGACACTGATCTAGAAATGACTTGAAATTTGCGAATGATGAGCTATTAAAGACCTGGACTCTGTTAGACTCTGATAGCGGTAACCATATCAACATGGACGCCATCCAGAGTCATTGTTGTACAAATAATTGCAAGGGATTTTATGTCGTGATTGACGGTACCCGTACATTAATATGAAAAGAAATCCCAAACAATACATTTACAGTAAGTTGTATAGTTTGCTTTGCTGTTGTTGAAAAATATATAAATTTACTTATTTTATAGACAGATTTATCGGAGGTGGACCTGAGATTTTACCTGCAATGCTGTGTTACTCTTGCTGAGCAATGGAAACCAAATGTATCACTCTTACTTCTCCTTTGGGATCACTTCTATCGCAAGCTGGTAACGATCACAAACAGCCAATGATAATACATATATAGAAATTGTTGAATCTTTAACATTAAAGGGACATTCCACACAAGTTAGGATTTCATGGGATGCTTTTTATCAAAACTATATAAAATTATACACCTCAATTTACCATTTAAACAAAGATATATTTCATTGCAAAAATTCTTTATAGATCTAGCTAGATCAATTTACAAATGTTTGCACGACCCTTATTGTGGCATAATAAATTTGCAATGTTTTAAGCTGAGTGGAATGAATTGTTTGTGTAAATTATAAAATCAGCAGAAAATAAGCCTGATAAAATAATAAAATCGTAACCCCAGCAGAAATTTAAGTGAACACCATACACACTTGAGTATTTGCCCAATACATAAAATCTATCTCTAAGTGAACCTTCAGTCCCAGATTTCCTGATGTGCTATATATAGATAATTAGCTTTGTGTATTCCCAACAATTTTGGCTCTCCAGACTGACCACAGAAGAGACATTTTGATGCTAACAATGGTTTTAAAAGTCATTAAAATGAATTCTTGAAAAATACAGAACGGCCAGAAATTTTGCAACTTGGGCAGAATATCCCTTTAATATTTTCATGTTTAGTATATGTTATCATGTATGACATGAAAAGACGTTTAAAATTTAAGGGGTTTAAAATGATAGCATTCTGCTGCCTTTACTATTTCATGACTGTTTTATGAAGAAATGAAACAATATGAATAATGGTATTGGCAAACCAACTACCCAAGAAATATTTTATGGAAAATTGTTGAAGTGCTCTTATTACAATTAATGCTGCATTGAAATGAATAATTCAAGAGGGATTTGAGGATACTTTTAGAAATCTGTAATGAATATTCTTAGATCAAGTAGATAATGTTGTTAAATGCAACACATTCTTGTAAACATATTCTGACATTAAAACTTATGTTTTTATCAACAGAACAGCAGTTTTATGTTAAACATGGCCACGGTGGAAGGTCTAGGGACTATCAGGTTAGATCACTATGTTTATGTTTTTCAAAGAAAATCTTTTTTGAAATCATAATCACAGTCAATTTTTCTCAGTTTTTAAAGAATAGTGCAAAGTATCTTAAGTTGGTGTGTGTTTCAGTTCTGATTGAAACGAAAAATTCTTATACGTTTGTTGAATGAGTTTTGGAGATAAATGCATGCATACTGATAAATTTATAGATAAAATAAAATACTTATTTTAGAATAAAGAACTTTGAAACAATAGAATGATACATACATTCACTGCCTCTCTTTTGCTTTAGATACAACCCTGGGTATTCAATCTGAAGTCCTCAGTATATTTGAGGAAGACTTTTATGTCAGCCAACTTAAACTTTCATAACCGATCTGCATAGAACTGAGAGGAAATGCGACTCTGAAATTTGATTGTCTTCTTACATGAAGTTGTCATATCAAGTATAGTCCATACACTTAAAATGATTTCTCAGGTTACTTCATAATTTGTGTAGAAGTTTGAGACAAATGTGCTGATGTCTAAATAACAATAAACAGTCAATATGTTTATTTGTTTACTTCCAGTAAGAGCTCGTTAACCTTATTAGAACTGTGCAATCGACTTGGCTCTGGTCAGTACAAATTGTAAGTATAAGTTATATATAAAGGCATGTATTAGTACAGTTAGACTTAGATATGCAGCAAAGTCTACACATGTTGTAAGAACAAGGGAGGTAATCAAATTTAATGTAAAAGTTGTGTTAATCTGTGCAGCATTGTACTATATATTTAATTGTAAGTACAGATATCAAAGCTATTAATACTACTTTCATAATATCTGGCAGTTAGATACTGACATTACAGACCCATGCACATTTTGTACCATAGTATTTCCATACCATCCCTATCCCACTACCATAGTAACGCCATACAATTTCCCTGGTATTTCCATACCATCCCTATCCCACTATCATAGTAACGCCATAAAATTTCCCAAGTATTTCCATACCATTTTGTAGTACATAACAACGGCAGAATTTACAGCTTCCACTCAAAAACCATTTGTTAAACGTTCAGTAAATAGATATATGCCTTTTAATTATCAAATAAAGAACACTGTTGAGGCTTTATACATGAAAACTCATCTTTAAACTTTCAGTAAGCCCCAGGACACTAGTTTCCAGTTATATCTTGGTCTCCTTGGTAACAGTCTCCACCAACTGCTTGACTCTGGCTCCAACCAGGAATGGAGACAGATGAAAGGAAGGTAAAGGCAATCATTGATATGAAATTAAAAAAAAGGGGGGAAGATGTTAAGTTGGAATTCAAATGTTTCTTGAAAAAGTAACACATCTTGAAATTTCAGGAAGGCTTATTATGTCTTGCACAATACCTTTACCAGAAGCATTGTGACTCAGATGACTATTAAGGCCCTTGGGTCTCTTGTCTTTCTCTATCACAAAATTTTATTTGAAATAAATTTATATTGGTTTACTGGATCTAATATGTTTACAGCCTTGGTACATTTACTTACATCACCTTTTAAGGGCTCTTAAACTTGAGTGATCAAGTTCACACCACTATGTATATCTATATGGCAGTTGAAAGGTGGGGTGTAGAGTTTTGTCTTTTCAAAACACCTTCTTCAAGAAAGCAAACCAGCACTTTTGGATCATCTGCTAGCTGCAACGAATGACCATAATCCAGTCTTATTGGCATTATCAGTGGTCAATATGTTTTAAAATCTTTCAACCATTTCTTTTTCATATTGATCAAAAGACCAAATATTTTGATGTTGGCTTTATTTGATGTTTTGAACAAACTAAAGACTCAAGGTCAGAACATTAGTCAGGGTTATGTAGTAAGGGATCCACATAAATGACTTTTATCAATTTAATATAAACATATATGCATAATCCTAATTAATCTGAAAGTTGATGCGTTGTAAACTTGTATTAATCTCTCTTTATAGGGTATATTCTAAGTTCCACAAACGGAGAGTACAGGAGTTGACTGAGAATGGATTTTATAACTTTACATGTCTGTTCCTTTGTCTCAGCTTGGCTGCTGACACCGAGGATGTGGTGAGTATATGGGACAGTAAAGACTGAGACGATGAAGTCATTGTAATTTCAGTTCATAGTACTGATCAATCTTCAATTTATTTTCATGAGTTCTTTTCATTTTCATTGCTGAAAATTCAAATGTTTCCAGAAATCTGAGTCCCATCAAAATTCTATGATTACAGGACCCAGGCCTCACATTTACTTTTATCACTGTCAGTTTTTCACAAATATGATCAGGTGAAGTATGGCCAACTGACAAAGTCACAGGTGTCAAATATGTTAAATTATTCCAGGTCACAGGGGTCAAATGTGTTAAATCATTCCAGGTCACAGGGGTCAAATGTGTTAAATTATTCCAGGTCACAGAGGACAAATGTATCAATCTTTAGATAACACTTGTCAAATCAAGAAAATGTATTAAATTAAAAAAGAATTGATATTTGCCCAGTAACATTTTAAAACACCTTCAAGATCTTGACTCATGGTCACATGTACCGTGCTGGAAATAGAGACTCTTTACTTTAAAGTATCAATGTCTCCCTCCATTTATTTCTTCTACCTCTAGACTGGAAAACTGTGTGACTTTTACAACATGGTGGATATGTCAAGTCTTTCTCTGGGTACATCTCAAGTGATGTGGATGGGAATGTTCACTATGGTGCACCTTTACCAGCAGAAAAATCTAGATATTTCCATCCTAACAGACAGACTCGGCCAAGCTTTCAGTAATACATGTGTGTAAGTTTCACAACAACTTCTTAACAATTTTTAGTCTGATAGTCTTCCCAAAGCACTACTTAGAAGGTGATAGACAATCGTGAAGTGTTTAATCTCTTTGTATATATACATTGACAACGGGTATATTCTAATTTTCAGGGAATTTTCCAGTGATGACCTTGACCCCAGACGAAGGCATCTCTTGTGGAAGCTAATATCATTCTACATAGAAAGTGTACAGGAAGTGTTTGAATCCAGTTCCAAACTAGGACCTGCCCATTCCCGACTGATATGTTAGTTTGATTTCCTGTTTGATACTCATTATGTGCAGTTCTCTTTTGATTTTAATTTTTCTACAGCACAATTCAAAATCACCTGACACCTCATAATGACATGTTTGTACACGATAAGTGCATGAGAAAATGAAACAGTTGCCATTTATCATTGAAAATTGCAAATAAAATTTGTGGTTTCAAAAAGGTATTGCTTCATCTGAAATAATTGAGAGGTCAGAGAAATGGGCCTATTTTCAAAAGCATTAAGATCTTCATAAAAATATATTAACTTCATGCCATAATGTTCCTCTGAAGAAGAACGAATCCTACCAACAAATTTTTTTTTTTTTTGGTAAATGCTAAAAGTGAGTTGTTTGATGTGCAAGCTAAGTTTTTGTACTGCAGCGTATCAAAATAAGCATTTCACATCAAATGCACCATCATTTTATCATTTACTGGTCCGGATCCTGTTTCTGTTGATGGACATTAACACCAGGCATAGCAAACCTTTGGTTCGGCCTTTAATAGGGCTTTGAATGGTTTATATGGTGATATGTAAACTACATGTATAGGCTTACCAAGGATATAATATAGACCCTATTAATGTATACTGTACTGTTGATGTTCGTGATATTTCATGTCTAACAGCAGAGGGATTTGCCAGTGTTCTTCATGGATGTAGAAGTAATGAGCTTGGTCCTGTCTTAGGTACCCTAGAGGCTGTCATCACACGCATCAGGTATTCATTTGTTCTACTCATGTGTTAGAGTCTGTTTCCTCCTAAATCTATGTCATCTCCCTGTCTTCTTCATTACTTAAGATATTTCACTGTTACATAATGTCAGATGAATTCACATGTCAACCAAATTCACCCTTACTATTTGAAGAAAATGGTCAAGTACTCCTATTTAGTAATTCACCTGGCCCGGAGGTGATGAAGATGGGCTTCTTCTGTTTTGTAACACTAAAATGTTAAAATTGACCAGGTTTTGTCTTTCCTTAAACTACATAAATGTGTGTTTATATCCTTAACTGAGTTAAATGTACAGTTTTTGATATACTATATGCTATGAATTTATTGGAAATTATGGTTAAACCTGTCCTTCCAATGTTCACTTCTGTTTGCAAAGAGACACCCTTCCAGTTTTCAACTCATTTCTTTGAAACTTGGTAAGCCTCACCACCATAACAATAATACATGTTTTCCTGTTTAGTGAATGGCATTTTGTCATGGGCTACCACTATTTATTATCTTTAAAATTACAATCTCCCATTCTTTGAACAGATCTTGTTTTAAAATGTGTTGGCTTTATCACTGTAGCATGGAAGTTGTGTTTTTCTAAACAACATTTCTGGTTTCAACATTTTATGCTTCACGAAACTTAACTTTGCCCAAAGTTAAGCAAGGATCATGAAACTTGTTGTATACATTGGTCATACAAAGGTGATGTGCTCCAAATGCAGGGCCCTCAACCCCTCAATTACAGAGTTATTGTGCATTTTCTTGATCTTCATATCCAGTACATATCTTGGCTTGTATTTAAACAAGGATAATGAAAGTTTATGTATACATTGGTCACACTAAGACAGTGTGCAATGTACCAAATTCAGAGCCTGCAACTTCTTAATTACAGAGTTATTGCACTTTGCTAAATGTTTTGTGTCCAAGAGCGTAAAATATGCTTACATTTAATCTAGGATAAAGAAACTTGTATTAGAATTTTGTGCTCAGGTCATTAACTTTGCTCTCATTTAAGATAGAATGGTGAAACTTTGTGCATACATTGGTCATATTACGAGGATGTACAGTGTACCAAATTGAGTGCTCAAAATTCCTTAATTACATAGTATTATGTCTTTGTTTAAATTTTGTGTCCAATAAGGCTGTTTTCGAGGGGCATTCATCACTTTCACTTTTAAAACTCTGCATTTATTATGCATTTTACAGGAAAGCAGTTACACAAATGAATTTCATCTTAAAGTAAATATTCTATAACTAAATTATGATTTAGGGAAACAAAGAAGAAGACTGGAATGGAGAAGACTGTAGAAGACATGTACAATGTTCTACAGACAAGTGTCTTACCAGCTATAAAAACACTGTCATGCAGTCAGTCAGCCTCACCCTTACTGGCCGATACACTGGCTGGGCTCTCTTTGCTGGCTTTTGACAGGTACTGCACACACTGCAGAAAATGTCTGTCTACCTGGACCTGTAAAGTTGTTTGGGTTTTATTGAATTATTGCAATTTTATGTTTCTGTCCAGTCCAGATTTAGAAAAATAACCATTTAGTATCTTCTACTACAAAGGACAAAGCCATTATGTAATGTTGCACTACGTAAAGCAAAATCATCAACTGTGATTATAAGGCAGTATGTCCCGCAGATAGTCTGTGGCTAAAGAAATGGTTTGTCATGATTAAGTTAGGTGAGTTCAATATATAACATTCCAAAATATTTAGGCAAAATGTGAAAACCTTTTGAATCAAATTCTAAATTATAGGTGGAAATCAAATTTGAAAAAAAATTGGATTTATTAATGTGTGATGATTACTTTGTTCTGTTTGTAGCAAAAAGGAAGACTTTATCTGTTTAGTGAAGTTTGTACACGGTGGAAGTATCAACAGAAGGTATAATGATTGAACATTCAGATATAGTTAACTACTTTTTGGTAATAGTAGTACTATTGGACCATAGTAAGAACCATCTCCCCCCACCAACCCTCCACCCCCACAAATGTTTACTATCTGACTTTATAACTAGCTGTAGTGTCATTTTTTATATGTGAAGATATCTTTTCCTGACTCGTCTACTTTCAGGTGTTTCACATAATTATTTAGTATAATGTTTCATTGTTATATTTCGTGGATATTTAGAGTTATGGCCCTTGATTTTTTTCCAGTTTACATTTCTATAAATATATGATGGCTGTAGCTAACACTTCAGATATTTTCCCTACCATTTCAAATCTGAATGTATGTAACTGGTGAGTTATGTAACCCTGGTAAAATACTAGCCACAATATACCACTCGGCTAGAGAGAACTTCTCTGTAGCTCTGTAACCCTGGTAAAATACTAGCCACAATATACCACTCGGCTAGAGAGAACTTCTCTGTAGCTCTGTAACCCTGGTAAAATACTAGCCACAATATATCACTTGGCTAGAGAGAACTTCTCTGTAGCTCTGTAACCCTGGTAAAATACTAGCCACAATATATCACTTGGCTAGAGAGAACTTCTCTGTAGCTCTGTAACCCTGGTAAAATACTAGCCACAATATACCACTCGGCTAGAGAGAACTTCTCTGTAGCTCTGTAACCCTGGTAAAATACTAGCCACAATATACCACTCGGCTAGAGAGAACTTCTCTGTAGCTCTGTAACCCTGGTAAAATACTAGCCACACTATATCACTCGGCTAGAGAGAACTTCCCTTTAGCTCAATTGGTTGAGCATCAGACTAGTAAGCCAGGGGTCCCGGGTTCGATTCCTAGCAGAGGCATTGAAATAAATAATGACCGCTGTTACAGTTATGTTCCTTAAGGTAAACTGTCTGGATTGATTGCACATATTACACCTATCACATCAACCTCATTCTGTACTCATCAGCTTCTTCCTTTTATACCAAAGATACTTACTTCATACCTATTGTTTCTTAACCTGTAGTGTGTGCTGTCGTTTCTGGAGCCACTTGTTGCCAGCTGACGGCGTGATAACCGCCATGTCCAGTATGGTTCCAAACTACCAAACTGAGCTGATCCAAACGTGGATCAGTAGCACTGTGTTCTTACCAGCTCAATCTCAACACCTCATCACCATGAACAGGTCAGTCTGCAGTGATTCACTACACAGCAGGTGTGTAGAACCAATTGGTACAAGAGGTCAATCTCTCTGTTATCTATAAGAGAAACTTAGGTAGCTAGGACCAAAGATTGTCTAGAAACATGTTGAATTACCATAAAAATTCTCACTGGAAAAAATTCTCTGTGATCTATAGCCGATAAACACCTGTGTATACAAGTATAGTTTATTTACTCGATTTCAGGGAGATCCCTAGGTGTATACAGACACTCTTAAAATAAATAAGTTAAAGTAGCTTGTATTCTTTTCTGTTTCAATTCTAGTAAAAAATTTATGATTTTCGCAGAGACTGTTTTTAGCTGCTTTCCAGGATGGAAAAAATAAATCTACATTCCAGTGCTAAGTCATGTACTCATAGAATTTTCATGGGACTGACAGAATTTCTGGAAATACTTAAATTTTACAATATGGGATTCATTGTGTTTAGCAATGAAATTTAAAAGGACTCAGGAAAATATGTAAAACATTGATCACTGCCTGAACAATAAAATGAGTGGAGGAAACTTGATTCTGTTTCATGAAAACTGCAATAATTAATATTCATCAGGGATTTGTTTTTAGGTCATCTGACCGAAAGGTCTGCTGACCTATTGCGATCGCCTTTTGTCCAGCGTCCGTCGTAAACATTTTCAACTTCTTCTCAAGTTCTACATGTCTCATTGAAATGAAACTTACCTGAAATGATCATTGACATGATCCTGACCAAAGTTTGTTAATTTCTGGTTGGTCCGAAATCCAACATGGTTGCCATGGCCGCCATCTTGAAAACACGTTTTCGACTTATTCTCAAGTTCAAAGTTTGAAATCTTATATTTAATGTCAGATGACTGTTAAGGCCCATGGGCCTCTTGTTGTTAATTTTTATGGGTACACTTAATCCAGTAATTGATGTGTGGACAAAATGATAAACCATCTCAGATATGTGTTATCTTGAGGATTTATTCAGTACATGTATAGAAAATCAAGTGTCAACAAAATTGTATTTTTTATTGAAAACCAGGAAATTTGATAAAACAAAAACAGATTATTTTAAAGGACTTTGAATGTGTTATCAATTAAAATTTAATTCAGTGCTCTGATATTAACTGTAGGGCATATTTATGAATTATAATGATGTAAATAGTGATTTTATGATCTGTTGAGATTTTCTCTCTTATAAACTAATATTGACATATGTACAGTTTTAAAAAGAGATTATTGAACATGTCTAGTGCTGCGAGAGTAGATATAAATGTTTCGGTACCAGTCCCAAAAAATTTTGATACCCAGAGCATATGAATAAAGAGACTGTTTTTCTTCAGATTGTTTTTCTATTACTATTTTCATCACCAGGTGTATGCAGGCTCTTCCTGAAGTAAGAGACATGATGAAACAAGCTGGCATTAATAACAGTGAGATCACAGAGAAGTCAACTTGTCTGCACTTCATAAAGGCTATAGACCTAGTCTACACCAAAACAACGGTACATATCTTATACAGGATGATATGTACTGTCAAAGAAATGAAACAGTTTCACTTTGATAAAAAAAATTGTTCTGCAAGAATGATAATAGAAATTTGTTTTTCAAGAATTGTAGATTAACAATATGTCTTTATTTAGCACAAAGCTGTTATATTGGTGGCCACTGAATTTTTTATTGACATTCATAAAGTGCTTACAATGACGATAAAAAATGGTGCCTACAAAAAAAAAATTGCATACCCTGTGGTACCCTATACATCTTTTTTAGTATTCTGAAGATGTCTCCGAGACACTCAACATCAAGACGGCCATCCTCAGTACTCCAGTGGTTACACTCACTAATGCTCTCTGTACCCATGAAACATTACCTGGCAAAATTTAAGGTTTATGTGCAATATCTTGTATATAAGACAAGAAGACTAGTTTGATCCTTTGATGTACATCAAATGAATCTCCAGGTTGTGTAATGGTTTTGAAATTAGGTGTCTCTTTTCTGTAATCTTCAAAGGAGCATATCAGTCTGTGATTGATCAGTTTCTTTCTCCTCAAACCCACTCTAGACCAATCAGATTACTTCTGTGTACCTTCAATTTTGCCATAAATTGTTACAGAGGTGCAGAGAGCAAAAGTGATCATAACTGCCGAGTATTGAAGATGCAAGACGGTGTGCCATTGTGAATTGGCTACTCAATTTTATTCAACAGTTTGTGATAAACCAAAATGTTCCAGATTATTACACCTTATGTACCTATTAGTGATTATCAATTGAAGAGGTGTGGCAGAACAATGTTATCACCTTTACCTGTACCTGTAACTCAACTGAAAATAATTGTATGCAGTAATTTTATATGATAGTATCCTAAAATACATATGCCTTGATGTTCCCACCCATATTTGACTTCTATGTTCTTCTTACAGCTTTTGTAGTCACTCTAGCTAGAGTTGAAGATTAAGCCCCTATCAAGTTTTATCCTTCATCTTATGTCAAAATTTCACTGTGTTTAGGGCACCACCAAGCTATAAGTGTATCCCTTTTCCAGCTCTTGCGTCTAAGTTTCACCGTGCTTAGGTTACAACTAAGTTATAGTGGTTAAGTGGTTTGTGAACAAGATGTGGTATAAATAAGTTTTCCGCATCTTGCTCTTGTGGTGATAAACATAGCAACATCCTGCCATCACTCAAGCTACACCAAGTCAAGGAATAATTTAGGTTTATGCAAATTGATTTTAGTTAGCTGAGTCTGCTCAATATGCCAAATATGTTTATATTGTAACTGTAATAATAGGTTTAAATTTTGTGTGAATGTGAAAATGACCAGAATCTGCAGATATATATATGACATTATTCTCTTTTGATGTGTTTTGTGATATAAACTTTAAAATCGAGGACTTTTAACATAATTTTGGACCCAAAATCAGCAACATATATGTAGTACTCATATTCATTGCTGTGTTATTTGTTATAGCATCAGTTATATTATTGATAGTACTGTAATGACAACCAAATGTTTTTATTTTCAGATGTGGAAGGATCGAATACAACTGCGTGAGAAGGCTATGAACTACTTTTCTAACATACTACGACAGTTGTCACCGATATTACAAACCCTAAAGCCGGCAGAAACTCTTGCTAATGCGTATGCAGTGATGGGGTACATTGTGAAATGTTGTGCCCAGCTTCTCTTTATTCAAGTGAGTTTGTAAATACTGAATATGAATGATTAATCAAGAAATAAGGTAATACACACTACCTGAATTTATAGATCAACAGAAATTTGTCAAATAACAGGCAGTATTTGATCCCATCAAAATGGTGTCTGTGATTCATCCTTTTAGAACTAGTTGAACCCTGTCAAGCTTTTATTTATAATAATATGTAATATTGATATAGTGCTCTATACAGTTAAAAAGGTCATCTCTAAAGCACTTTCAAGCCATGTTTTAAAAATCTTATCTCTACTGTAAAAATTTACAAAAGACATCACATATATATCTATTATGATACAAATAAGTATGGGGTAAATTTTGGAAGAGTGCAAACTAATCAAGACACAGTTAAAACACTATTTACACATCAAATGCAAGTTTGAAGAGATATGTTATCAGTCTGGATTTGAATACTGTGAGTGAGTCACATTGACACAAGTGGCAAGGTAGATCATTCCACAACTGTGCTGCCTAGTGGTCAAAACAGCACACTCCGTATGTAGCAGTTCCTGTTTTAGGGACAATCAGCATATCACTAGACTGATCTCATTGTCCTTGCTGGAACATATGGAACAAGCAGTTCTTTAAAGTAGTCAGGAAAGGGTCCATGTAGGGCATTGTAAACATGTACTAGAAGTTTATACTGGCATCGGAACTCTACAGGCAACCAATGAAGTGACACAAACTCCAGTGTAATGTGGTCTCTCGTCTTTGTTCTTGTCACAAGTCGAGCTGCAGCATTTTGAACCTTTATACAACTTGAATTTTGCCTTTGGCAGCTCTGTTGATGTTGGATTTTAGATTTGTTTATATATTGGATGGTTTATATAGTGTAATTTTTATAAGCAGTTCTCTATCCCATGCAGAGGTTTTTCATTACATAAATTTGCCGTAAGTCCACAGCCTTATTTGGATTTGAATGATATATTTTTCTATGCAAATGAAATTAATTACGTGAGAATAAGGTAGATAGAGTGATACATTTTAAAGGTTGCATATTAGAAAGTTAAAGGCTTTTTTCTTCAATAAATTACAAACTTTTGTGTTGATGATTCATATAGTTTTCAATGTTTTAAGGTTTGTCAGTTAAACTATTCATATGAGAAAAGTGAAACCGCCACAGTATTTAATGTAAGACTGTTATAAGCTCCGACTCATTACCTGTGTCATCGGGTCTGGAACATACCTAGAGTATCCAAAGGTACATTTTCACCATGGGAGTCCCTCTTGGAAGAGTTGAATATTATATACTGTATTCGACTCAATAAGCGCCATGTCCTTATAAGCGCCCCCTCCCCCCTTCAGATACCTAAAAGTCTAGATTGACATACCTTTTAGTCAGGATCAAGAATTGTTTTAAGTCGGTTTTATTGCATTTAAAAAAACCAGTGATTTTATAAATACATGAAACCGTACAGTAGATTGCAATTTTTTAAGCACCCTGGGCACTTATTGTAACGAATATGGTATATGTAAAAAAAAAAAATGGAGTATGTGTATTAGCATTTTCACCTTTTTTGGTCTTCAAGGAATCTACAAGGTATATGGAGATGCAGATGGCTCTTTGTACAGTTGTTTGATGGAACCTTATAGAGAAAATATAACTTATTTATGAAAAGCTGATCCTTCCAACATAGATAAATCACCACCAAGTAATTTTATTCAAGTCTAGTTTATATGTTTCAAACGAGATTCATCAACGAAATCAAAAATATCTGACTGAATTTGTAGAAATTTCGATTTGACTTATTTGGAGTGTTAGGGTCGGGCCAGACATGTAAGATCCAGTTAAATATTACAAGTTTCCTTCCTATGGCAGTATATATCTATATTTTCACATACTCGTGAACAATATATATATTCTGCCAAACTGGTGAAAGATTTTTTATATTGAACAGGAAACTATTAAAAATCCTGCAGAATTATATTTTGTCATATGTGTGTGTGCCTGACATGACCTTGAGAAACAAAGAATGGTGTAAATATCCCAGAAGTTCTTTGTATTGAAATATTTGTTTGAAATATTTTGATTAAAATATTGTTGTTTTGTGTTGCTGTAGGCCAAGCCAGACTGTCCCCTGCCTAACATCATTAGTGCAATGGTTGTGCCTCACTTCCTCTTCAACTCTGACAAGGCTGTCAGCCCAGTTTTCCTGGCAGTAGCAAGGGATCACTTACATTTAGTATGATCAACTCTTCACACTAACTTTCATAAACAACATCAGATTAAAACAAACATAGATACCAAAAATGTAACAATAATTAACAGACCTTTTGATACATAACAAAGTTAAGCTTTGTTTAGAATTCTTTGAACTGTGCTGAAAAATTTCACCAAAACATTAGTTGAATTTGTATATCTTCCCAGTGTTACAACTCCTTTTATACACTCCTAACAAAACTGAAATCTAGATAATTTAATATACTTTAATATAAATAAAATTGAATTATGATTTTGATTTATAAAGGGAAGTTTCACTAAAATAACACTTATTTTATATGGTAATTATTGTGGAAATCAATAACTTTTAATTTAGATAATACAGTAATACTGTTGTAATACATACACAGGCAAATATTTGAATTTCTAACTATTTTTTCTTAATTCAAAACAATATTTAATGATAGGTTAAAAAGTTTAATCTTCTCATGTTCCATGCTTGCCTCTACTGCCTCAGCTAGCACATCAAAGCAATATATTGTATGTAATGATAGATAAACACAAAGCTGTTCAAACCAGACCTTATGATGATTAATTTTTCATGCCCTTACCTTATCACGGTCAGGGGCATATTTGGTTTTCCTTGACCATCATTTCTCATGGTTATGTTACCACCCATTTTCCCAGTAGTTGATACAGATATAGAACTGTTATTTTTCATGTAGTCATATAATGATAGTATGATGTGAAGTTCTGATTTACTTGGGTAGGACACTTTATTTTTATTTGTTACAAACATTCATCTTTAATAATTATGATTAAAATTTTTACTTAAACAATAAAACAAGAATCACGAAGTCTTGTCCGACTCTGATGAGAATTAAAAACTCCTGAAAATCTTTAAGCAGAACTTCGGTTTCCTTTCAAATTCTATTGTGCAAATTCTTCAGCCGGAACAGAGAACTAGTGATAAGTACTCTTACCAAAGTCAATAACCCAAAAAAGCTGATTGCGCATTTATATCACTCCGTCACTAATAAAGTATGTCAAGATTTCTCACTGCTTTATCAGTTTTTAGGTCATCTGACCGAAGGGTCTGATGACCTATTGCGATCACTTTTTGTCCGGCGTGGTCCATCGTAAACATTTTCAACTTCACCTCAAGTTCTGCATGTGTCATAGAGCTGAAACTTACCTGAAATGATCAGGACATGATCCTGACTAAAGTTTGTTAATTTCGGGTTGGTCCGAAATCCAACATGGCCGCCATCTTGAAAACACATTTTCGACTTCTTCTCAAGTTCAAAATTTGAAATCTTGTATTTTATGTCTCATAACCATTAAGGCCCGTGGGCCTCTTGTTTTATTTACACTTAATAATCATAGAGAGGCTATGTTAAAGACTAATTGATTCTGGTCTGAAGAAAAAACATTTCATGCAATCATTGGTTTTATTTCCATTGTTTTCTTCAGTTTGTGCGAGGTTTGGGGCGTCTTGATTATAAAAAAGCTCCATATGTACAGAGAAGGTTAAAGGATATTGTTTCAATTTACATTCCAAAGTTTTGGGTAAGTGTTTATACATATTTTATTTACATATATAGAAATGGTTTTTTTCCTTGACTATTTTCATGAGTTTTAAAAGTTTTAGTACAATGATATACTGACTTAATGTATCATAACTTAAACTTTGATTGGTAATGCATTGACTGCTAGAGGCAGCTTTACTTTGTATTCAATTTCTGTCAGTAATTGATGTCAAAACGTCAAACCAGTATTGACTAACAACTTCATATCTCACTTCTGTAGACAAGCAGCAGCTCTCTGTCGGTAGGAACAGCGTCTTCTGTACACCCTCTCGTGGTATGTGTTGATGCTTTTAGGCAAATGCTTTTTTTATCAAATAATTCAAGTCTAGATGCAAATTTCTTCATGTCACAAATTGTATAATATTGCCTTAATGAATGTTGTATAGCAGATTTTTAAGTCTTACTGAAATATCACATCACAGATTTTATAGTGTTGTGTTACTGAATTGTCACGTCACAAATTTATAGTGTTGTTTTAATTTGAAATGGTATGTAACTTTAATAGTGAATGGCTGAAATATTAATGCTTTTATAATGTCTCTGATATATTTCAGACCAACTGATAGTGATGGATATCATGTCATAGCTGTAACTGTGTTTTCCCTATTACTTATTGTCTCAGAGCTTTTAAATAACCATTGTGCAGGTGTCCTTGAAGGAGAGTTGTGTTCGACAGCCTATAGAATCTGCACTGGAGTTCAGGAAATTTCTGTTTGAAGCTGTACTTGAGAAGTTTCTAGTCCCCTCCCAATTCTCACTTCCACCAAACCACCACTTGGTATGTAGTATAATATCATGATTTTAACTTCAAAACTTTTCACATGTATGAAATTAATATTAGCTCATAAATTCAAATTTGGTTTTGGATTTTCCACAAAATTCAAAAGTTGTAGAGGATGGAGAGCAATGTATTACTTTATTGAAAGGTATACAACACATGAATTGTGATGAACACAATGAGCTATTTTGGGGTAAAAAAATTGAAATGTGTGTGAATTTTGAAGATGGTTGACATGTCCTCAAGTAATTAAAGAGATCTTGTACTTTCATATTAACCTTTTGTATCATGATCTCCCATTAATTTATTGTTAGTCTGCATTGTATTAACAGGAGTGCAGAATAGATATTCTAAGTCATACAACAATGATGTAGCGTAATGTTGGTACCATGATGTTGACCAACATTACATCAACACTTCCCCTGAGATTGCCTAATCAGGATATCCACATTTTTCATGACGCCATCGAACTGGTTTTGTTCATGCTTCCTGTCATGTTCTTCATTGACAATCATTTCACATCTGTTGAGCAATGTTCGTACAATGCCCAACTTCTGGTGTAAGGGGTGGTGCTGTTGGAAGTTGAGGTATTTTACCATTTCGTCACACTAATTTCGACCTTAGTGTACGAAGGATTGTAGTACTGCTTATTCCTTACCATCTTGTTCACTAAGTACATCAGTGCTAGTATGATCCACACTGGTCATTTGTCTGATGAAGGTGACTGTGCTGCACACTGGTCATTTGTCTGATGAAGGTGACTGTGCTGCACACTGGTCATTTGTCTGATGAAGATGACTGTGCTCCACACTGGTCATTTGTCTGATGAAGGTGACTGTGCTCCACACTGGTCATTTGTCTGATGAAGGTGACTGTGCTCCACACTGGTCATTTGTCTGATGAAGGTGACTGTGCTGCACACTGGTCATTTGTCTGATGAAGGTGACTGTGCTGCACACTGGTCATTTGTCTGATGAAGGTGACTGTGCTGCACACTGGTCATTTGTCTGATGAAGGTGACTGTGCTGCACACTGGTCATTTGTCTGATGAAGATGACTGTGCTCCACACTGGTCATTTGTCTGATGAAGGTGACTGTGCTCTACACTGGTCATTTGTCTGATGAAGGTGACTGGCTGGTCATTTGTCTGCTGAAGGTGACTGTGCTCCACACATTTGTGTGATTTGTGCTGGTCATTTGTCTGATGAAGGTGACTGTGCTGCACACTGGGTCTGATTGACTGTGCTGCACACTGGTCATTTGTCTGATGAAGATGACTGTGCTCCACACTGGTCATTTGTCTGATGAAGGTGACTGTGCTCCACACTGGTCATTTGTCTGATGAAGGTGACTGTGCTCCACACTGGTCATTTGTGTGATAAAGGTGACTGTATTCAACAAAATGTCACATTCTAATCTTCTACTGGTTGTGTTATTATAACTTCTGTTCTATCAACATGTGTATTTGTTGTTGGATTCTCACGAATTTTGGTATGCGGCTTTATTTATGTGAATTTATGTACACAAGACATCGCATGGATTTGATAAGCATTGGAATCTGTCCATTTCTACAAGAGTTGTAAGACTCTGAACGCTGGTACAAATGATCATTATGACATCCTCTCACAAGCATTGTTGATTTTGGTTTAGATATGAAAATCCAGTATGGCTGCCGTGACTTCTGATTGGCTGAAACATTTTCAACTCCTCAGAGCTTTTGGTGCCATTGACTTCTAACTTATGATAATCGTGACATTCCTCACAAATTTTGTTGATTTTGATGTGGATTGGAAAACCTAAAATGGCCGCTGTGGTTTCTAATTTGAAAAGATCTTTTTTCGAATGCTTATAAAGAAAGGCTGGTGCCATTGACTTTGAATTTGGTATAAATGATCCTTATGGAGTCCAAAATCAGTATTTTTATTTTTCATGCTGATCAAAAAATTCAAAATGGCCACTGTGTCTTCTGATTGGCTGAAACATCTAAATTTATTTTCAATAATGGATGGTGTAAATAAGCTGTGTCTTATTTTCAAATTTTAAGGGTATCTTAAATTAGTATCTGAAATGTAAATTTAGCTATTAAAATGAATGTTTTTTATCTTAAATTTGAAATGAATTTGAGTGATAGATGAATATCCATGATAACTTATCAGTCACCAAGATGGCATTCATTTTGACAATAAACCTGATTGATTTTCAAAGAAAGGCACATCTTACAAAATAATACATTTAGTGATGCTATATATCTTGCACTTTTCTGATTTTAACGTATTTTGTTCCTGTATATAAGGCTTTGCTGTTCCTCCGAGAGGTAATTGGTAGGACTAATAGTAAAGAGGTAGCAGTGAGGTGAGTATAGTTATCTACCAGTGTTCAGACTTGCCTTGATTTAACTGATCAGTATTCCAAGCAATTTAAAAAACAAAAAACTAGTTCAAGTAAAAAAAATGTAACTTAATTGACCTAGTACAAGACTTGCTTGTTTTTGTCTACCTGGAAAACTTATTACAAGTGTAATATGAATTGAAAACCTGGTAAGTATTCTGTCATAATAGTTATCACTACTTCATTGAACAGGGATACATTGACTGTGCTAGGCAGTGTCCTTACAGTGATGGTATTGTCTGACGTACAGTCAACGCACCAATGTGCTCAAAAAATAGCTACAAGACTACTGGAGGATTGTAAAGTCTTGCCTACCAACTCACCGTAAGTTAATTTTATTTAATTCTGTTTGTCTGATGCTAGTCAGCTTCAATAAATAAAGAATTTAGGTTTATAGTAATGTAAAAAAGATGGGAAAAAAATCTTTAAAAAAAATTCCATCTTCATAAACAATAAAAAATACATATATTTTCTGCAAAAATATGACAAAATCTGAAATTTTTGAAAACAAATGAAACATATTACAAGGATGGTGTTAATTTTTGCACGTTATACACATACATTGATTTGACTTATAATATATCAATGCAGTATTTCCCTTTAGTATGTGGGTCTTCTAAAAACCCATGAAAGTTTGTGCATGCTTATGTCAGTCAAGGTGCCTTCAACTTGACAGTGTATGTAAATTTTATTTGCACTTTCAAGACAATACAGAAATATTCATGTGACTGTGTGAATTATCTGCTTTTCTCAGAGCTGCTGTAACTGCTACATTAGAAGCATTTGTAACAGTTCACAAGAAAACTCATCTTGACCACTGTATTAAAGTACTGGACAAGGTGTCAAAAGCTGGGGGCATTTTTATCAGTAACCTACTCCCAAAGCTACAGCACTACATCGTTGACCACGAGTCTCACAGAGGAATTGGGTCCGACTCCAAACTCAGGTATGTCATTGTTATCAGAGTCTCACAGAGGAGCAGGGTCTGACTCCCAACTCAGGTATGTCATTGTTATCAGAATCTCACAGATTAGGGTCCCACTCTTAAATTAGGTATGTTATTATTATCAAAATGTAAAATCAGGTATGTCATTGTTGTCAAAATCTAAAATCAGGTATGTCCTTGTTGTCAAATTCTAAAATCAGGTATGTCATTGTTGTCAAAATGTAAAATCAGGTATGTCATTGTTGTCAAAATCTAAAATCAGGTATGTCATTGTTGTCAAAGTCTAAAATCAGGTATGTCATTGTTGTCAAAGTCTAAAATCAGGTATGTCATTGCTGTCAAAATGTAAAATCAGGTATGTCATTGTTGTCAAAATGTAAAATCAGGTATGTCATTGTTGTCAAAATCTAAAATCAGGTATGTCATTGTTGTCAAAATCTAAAATCAGGTATGTCATTGTTGTCAAAATCTAAAATCAGGTATGTCATTGTTATCAAAATCTCACAGGTGATGAGATCTAACAAAAAGCTCAAGTACACCCCAGCAACACTTTTGCATAGGAAAGGGGGTTTACTGGAAACTGTTTGTGTATGCATGTGTTCTTTCAGGTGTTTGCCCATAACAATATTGTGTATATAATTCCTCATAAACAGATTAAGTTCAGATTCACACCATACATACCATCACCACACAAATGTCTACATTTGAATAGATTTTAGTGGACATTGGTCAAGGTCATAGGTCACCATTAACCATTTTTGATATAAAAAATGCTTGTTTACAAGAACCCCCTGAACAAATTTAGGGTCATAAAAAATAATCATCTCATTATAACAACAAACACTTATTTTCTGATCCAGGGATGGAGGGTATATCTATATGAGCACCTGCTCAGCATGACTTACTGATCCAGGAATGGAGGGTAGATTTATTAGAGTACCTGCTCAGCATGACTTACTGATCCAGGGATGGAGGGTAGATTTATGTGAGCACCTGCTAACGATGACTTACTGATCCAGGGATGGAGGGTAGATTTATGTGAGCACCTGCTAACTATGACTTACTGATCCAGGGACGGAGGGTAGATTTATTAGAGTACCTGCTAACGATGACTAACTGATCCAGGGATGGAGGGTAGATTTATGTGAGCACCTGCTAACGATGACTTACTGATCCAGGGATGGAGGGTAGATTTATGTGAGCACCTGCTAACGATGACTTACTGATCCAGGGACGGAGGGTAGATTTATTAGAGTACCTGCTAACGATGACTTACTGATCCAGGGATGGAGGGTATATCTATGTGACCCCTTGCTGACTTTGATTTCCTGGTCCAGGAGTGAAGGGTATATCTATGTGACCCCTTGCTGGCTTTGATTTCCTGGTCCAGGGATGGAGGGTAAATCTATGAAAGGGACACTGCTGACTTTGAGTTACTGATCCAGGAGTGGAGGGTATATCTATGTGACCCCTTGCTGACTTTGATTTCCTGGTCCATGGTTGTGGGTAAATCTATGAGACGGACACTACTGACTTTGACTAATTCAGGGGTAGAGGGTGTATTTACATCAGCCCCTGTTCTCTTTGTTTGTGTTATTGTTTGAATCTCGTCGAACCTTATATTCCGACTCTGGGATCAGGTATATCAAGGCATCCTCAACAGAATCTATCATTCAGAGACAATACCAGACAACACACATTCTTTACTAACCACTGATGACTTATCCATTAGACTCAAAACTTGTGGAGGACCTCATTTTTCAGCCCATCTTCATGGGACTGATCAGATAAACAAAATAGTTGACAGGCAGCCATCATAGATTTTGACAATAAGTTTGTTATTGCTGTTTATAGAGAAATACTAGATGTATTCTCAATTTGCATTTGTAGGTGCCCCAATGAACCCTAGTATTGTCATTTTAATTATTAGACTGGTCAGATAAGCAAACAGACAACCATCTTAGATGGAATAGTTAAAGATTAATACTACTTTTTCTTGAGAGGTATTTTCAAATAAATTAAGATCAAACAATTTTGGGCACCACAAGTCCTCTGTAAACTCTTGTATTTGACCCTGCAAAGTTACATTCAAATGTGTTTACATGTACATTCCCAGATACATCTATGAGAGCTTGTGGAACATGGCTGTACCCTAAGACATTAAAACCAGAAAAGCATATTTCTCTCCTTTTGTGTTCATATTAATCATATTAGATTTATTCTTTTGCTTCAATATGCATTTCAAAATTCAAATTTGTTCTACTAACAAGTCCATTAGCCATTTTTGTTGTCTTTTTTTTTTTGTAAAAATCCAGTTGAACAGCATGTTAGCTGTAATAATTACAAGTAATGAAAATGTATAAAAATGAATGTATAACATGTATAATTGTCTTGTATTTTGTTTGTTTCTTTCAGACAAAACTACATCAGCCTATCAAAGAATGTTAGCTGTAAGCACACAGATGACATGTGACAACAGTTGTTTTAGGAGAAATGTTTTATTTATTCAATTATTGTCAATGCTTGTCAGAAACGTTATATGGCCAAGCTTGAAGGTACTGTCAGTATCTATAATGTTAATCAGCATTTGTAGAGCTTTTACTGTTGCCATGGGTACCTTCATACTTATTTTCATTTGTTTTGAAAATTGATGTAAGTCAAGCTTCCTACCAATGGAATGGCACCTGAAATGAAGTGATTGTGATGTCAATTGTTTTATGATTTTTAAATAAATCCCATGAAACAAAATATTCAAACTTATTGTTTTGCATTTTTAATATTATTTTCAAGTCTCCATTTTTCAGAAGAAATGAGACATCAGTTTCTGTGACCTCTTTATTTCAAAGGCTGTTAATAATGGCCAAGGATATGTTAAATGATTTTTGACATAAAGCATTGCTTCCTTCAGAAATTCAGAGTTTCAAACATGATGAGATTCAATTGATTGGTAGGGCTTTTGTTAGAATAGGGGGAAAAAAACATATGGTGATAAATGTGGTGAAATTGTATATATGTGAATTCAGAAATTGTTAGCTTACCTGGCCCCCAGGGCAAAGTGAGCTATAGGGATACCCTGTCACCTGTCAACTTTTACTAAATATTCATGAACAACTGAGCAGATTCTTATTAAATTTGGTCTGAAGAATCCCTTGGGAAAGCGGAACAAAATTTTTGTATGCGATGGGTCTGGGCCCATACTTTTTGGACATTCTTACTGAGGTACCTAGTAGAGACCAGAGTAATTTAACCGGACAAGGAAATATATACCTAGCCATTTCGTTTGGTCATAACTTGCTATGTACTTGGTCAATCTAAAGCATATTATTGGATTCATATAATTCATTAAAAATCTGACATGTATAACTCAACACAATTTTGAATAATTTCATTAACTTACATATTAACTTTTACTTCATTGATCATATATCTATCCCAGTAAAATGTATCCAGTACCAATATTGAACCACACTGTCGATATTACTTTCAAGATTCTGTGTATGCTATGCCATACACCTTACCATTAATCAAAATTACACAGACACTAACTTAATTGAAATTTTGTAAATATTTTTCACCAATACACTTCTGTATGTTTGAACTGTAATGGTATTGTGGTATATATACATCTTACTTTGGAATAAGAAAGTTCTTTGTCAGAGTTTAGAAACTATACATTGCTGTCAGGTTTTGTTACACTTGAGTCATTTCAGTTAAACTCACCAGTAAATAATCCTTTGTGTACTTGTGTTATGTCTTCACTACCTTTTTGTAGTTTCAGCTTTTTACCATTATTAAATGAATACTTTTAAATAAAATTTCACTAATTTGAATATTGCGTTCAATTTGGATAAAGTTTTATCTGGAATTCCTCATCTTACTTCAAAGGTTGACAAATGTTGACAATAAATATGTTTCGATAGATCACTGTCTTAAAATTCTGGCAGAATTTATATAACTTGATAACATCTACAAAACATTATCGTCAGAATTATCTAATCCTCCAAACTACACAATATTCATATGAAATCTGACGTTGCAAAGCGTGGCTATTCTCAATCTCGATTATTCCTTTCCTTATGGCTGCTAGCTACCAGCCATTGAACATGTGATTAATAGTGGATCAAAGACAGGTGAAAATCGTAAACTTCACACATCAAAATCTTGGTATTGATTTTGATTCCATACTCATTTCTATTTTCACTCTGGGTACACTTTAAAGTATTTCAGAATTAACACATAATATTACTGTTTTATTATGAATTATGTACAATTTAGTAATTATGACATATTGCATTGCCACTATCAGTGTATTTTAGGAATGCCTGCATCTCTTGAAAAAATAAAATTATTATAAACATTAAAGATATAGAACCACGGACTTAACACAGCATTAGTTTGTTTCTCTGTGAGAAGGTAACACCTGGTAAACACATAATCATTTTGCTGTTGTTAATTATGTACAATATGTTTCTGTTCTGATATGTTGCTGCTACTCTATGTATATAGTATAAAGTGTTCCTTAGAGCAGATTTTGATCAAAGTCCCTGAGAGGCCATCCCATGACTCTTGTGAATGAAGAACATTGAACAACAAATCACAAGTATGAAGTTATTGCCTTTTTTGTAATGAAATAGTGCGCTGGTCTACGTGACATAATTAAGAATGCCGTGTTCCTGACACTGGTTTTCTGTTATTGCAGCAGCAGTTCGATTTAATACGAAAAATAATGGATGCAGACTGACAAGTCTCCATACCCACATCCATGATAATATATTATAACTTGTTCACTTCCGATGTGTACTTTATATTTTTAACATTTAACTAATAATTAGATATATTAATTAACTAATTAGCAGAGATACTCACGCGCCAAACATTGGATATTGGATTTTTTACGAGTAAATGAACACTTACCTTGTTTAAAGAAATTAAATCCCAAACAGTTTAACACAAAGATAAATTTATAAAAAATCTCCTGCTTTCATAATGCAGGGTAATGCATCACTGTCCAGCTTAGAGTAGACAATAACTAGATCTCTACTTCCATTGCTCCTATAAAACGTTGCCTAATTATGTAATTCTCTGCATCCTCCAGATTTCTGGCCACAAGAATATCCAGAGTATCAACAGTTACTCAACTTTAAACACAAACTAGCACCGGACGATTTCAAGAGCGATATCGTCATGCTTGGATCATGTTGGTGACGGACCTTTCAGTTTCACTAGAGCTAATAGCACATTTAGTGCAAGCGAAGTCATCGTCAGACCTCCAAATCCTGAATCAACTGTGTCTGCAAACCCCAACGGTGCCCTTACTTCAGTATTTGCAGGTCCTATTCACGGTGGTTCATTCACAATAAACATTAACAATATAAACGTCCCAGACCAAGGGTGCTGTCCTCTGATTCTGACAGTGATTGAGTTTGAAGTTTCCGGCGGGAACCAGACGACACCACTATATGTGTCTGTATAAAAGCGCGCAAAATAGAGTCCGCGATTTTCTACGATTATATAGACAGTTCAAGTTTATAAGACAACTAATCGTCATTGTGTTATTATGTGTAAACTTTAAAATTGTGAAAATAATGAAGAAATAAATTATTTACCACCATATATATTTTTGAATATTAATTGGAGCCTTTTCACTCCGAGTGATATCTCTACGCCACATTTGCATATTTCAGCAAATTGTTTACATACGTATACATGTATTGGTCTTCGCCTACCGCCTGTGATCTCGAAATAAGAATGGTAGAAACAGATTACACAACGAGTGGTTTTAAATAAACGCCGTATCCAACAACCACTCGTTGTGTAATCTCTATATAACCAATGACAGGCGGATACGTCATAATTAAAGGGCTAACGTTAAGCTAACCAGTCAAGCAGCAGCTTCGCAAATTCCGAACCGTATTCAGTCCAAGATCCTCCTTCATCTTTCGGCATCTATCGATCTCCTGTCTTATATAAATTCTTGTCTGTCCTCTTTTCTGGTCTGCCTCCTTCCTCTTACGCTTTCTGGCACTTTCTGTAAGGTAACTTTTAGGTCCTCGTGGCCTTTTGGTATTACGTGTTACGAGCGGTAATGTATGAATTCGGCAAAGACCGACCAATATACCCGTATTACTGATATTTCAAAATCTTAATATTTCGTGCAAGTGTACCACATAATTATGTGGAAAAGAAACTGTTCTAAAATAATTTGACCACACATTTTCAAAGATACCGGAACAATGATGTAGAAATAAAATAGTTTTTCCCCTCATATCAATATAAAAAGAAAGTATATTGAGTTGCTTTGTTTCAAGGTGAAAATATACACTACTTACAAAAAAAGGACACTCAGCCACGGATAATGTTTTACTGGTTGTGCATTAGTTACTGTAATATCATCGCACAATGTGTAAAATCTTGTATTTGAAGCAGACAAAACTTCCCAGACATGATACCAGTGTAATTGCCCTGTAATTATCCAGCTATCTATGACCACATTTATTATAGATAGGTTTGATCAATCCTGTAGTTCCACCTTCTGTTGTTATGATAGTATCTTATATAAGGTTAAATACATCCTCATATGTATGCATCATTACGCCAACTCTACTCTTCATATACTCATTTATTGTATTATCTATACTACTACATGTTTTATTATTATTTTTTTTTCATAGCTAGAATAATCTCATCAGTAATTCTGCTATTATCGGAGAGAAAAATCACAGCATCGTCACCTCGTCAGGTGCACTTTTTTATAAGCGAGATCAGTGTTTTTCACTCTTAAATTTAATCATTCTTATTTTACATTATAGCATATAAATTTGAATAGATAAATAAAAAAATAAAATGGAGCTTAAGAAAGCGGGGTCCGCGTTACCAAGCCTTGGGTGCACGCATTGTGTAGCTAATGCTTCCAAAATATACCTTTTTATTTATATGTGCATTATTTATCTATATTTATGAAATAATTATTTACGCGTATTTTCATTTTCATATTGTTTTTGGTTTATTTTATATGAACAAATCTTATTTATACAAAAATTGTTTTTACGTGATGTATTTCATTTTTTTATATAAATCTTTTATTGTTTAACTTTAATGTTGTATATCAAACGGTTTGTAATTATATTTATATAATAATTATTTCCGCATGATTTTATTTCAATATGCAAATGTAAGTTGTTTATTTTGTAATGTTAAAACGTTGGATTTTCTGTTGTTCTCGTTGTCTTCTTTTTATCCTTGCCACAATCAACTTTCACTATCTTTTTGGGGAACTATGAGAATATGCCTTGCATACTTTGTCTGAGAATTCAGAATTTTGAGAAAGTTTCGTGCAAATGGGACCAGGATGCTGCTTTAGAAAAAAATGTATGTAAATTGATAGAGTGAATAATTAAACACATTAAAGGATTTGCGTTAGTCATTTTATTAAAACGAAAGATGCATATAACCAATATAATTTCATGTTATATATCAACAATATATATACCGTAATTCTATAACAAAGCGTAGAAGTGTATTTCACAGTTTATAACGGGGCGTCCGTTTCTGCACGTTCCCGCTTCATTTTTGTCCGTGTTTGCTCGTTAGCCTATATGGCATTACGGAATTCATATGAATTGCCTTAGTAAAAGGAAGCTGAAATAAGACAAAGATAGTCTATTTGATCATGTGTATATCGTTTATTAGTAATAAAATATAATACCAGGAACGTATATATAACAGATATAAGTCCCTGATAATACAGGACCCGTTACGGCCCGTTCCTGTCAATCGTCGGGCCGTTTTCTCTCCCGTGATGAATCGTATTCAGTAGATTTGATAATATTTGGTGCAGATTTGGGTATATTTGGTATTTGGGTATATTTCGGTAAGATTTGGCTTTATTTGGGTAAGATTTGGGTATATTGGGTAAGATTTGGCTTTATTTGGGTAAGATTTGGGTATATTGGGGAAGATTTGGCTTAATTTGGGAAAGATTTGGCTTAATTTGGGTATATTTGGGTAAGATTTGGCTTAATTTGGGTACATTTGCGTAAGATTTGGCTAAATTTGGGTATATTTGGGCAAGATTTGGGTATGTTTGGGTAAGATTTGGCTTAATTTGGGTATATTGGGGTATGTTTGGGTAAGATTTGGCTTAATTTGGGTATATTTGGCTTAATTTGGGTATATTTGGGTAAGATTTGGGTATCTTTGTGAAAGATTTGGGTATATTTGGGTAAATCGTCGCGCCCGGCAAAGACCGCAATGTTTACATTCTTTATTTTTTAGATATCAATAAAAAAAACTAAAAATGCTTGCAGAGACTTTTCATTTTAGTAATTAATTGAAAGTCTTAGTTTTGTAACATACTATTGAAAAATAGAACGCACGCTTTTCCCACAAATTTACGATTGGTTCTCAGAATTTTACTAATAATGCTATTTTAAGAACGGAATTTCCGTTCGCAACCGAGGCCTTCTTTTATGTTGGCAAGCCTTTTTTTTAATGTTAGAAAATATGTTTTCGGAGAGATATCCTGCCTGACCATAAGTTATGTAGAGATTCTTATGTGTTTCCTGTAACTAACTCCTCATCCCATTGCTAGTTTGACCAATCCGGCTACCGTAGCGGCCTGAGGAGATAAACTCCAACCGGCACATCTCAGGAAGCCGTTTGGACCGCAATGCGATGTAAATAAATAGCAAGAAGCGTCATTTGCGGAAGTAGATACAATGGAGAACTGGCGAGTTCAATGTGCCCTTTTTTTCCCTATTTTAGCCATCGTTTTCGGCCAAGGTAATTATTATACCTATATGTATTATTAATGTTTACGCATATATATCATAAATTTTTCACACTCGTCTCATGGTTAACTTTCAGATCGTTGCATGAATCTGCGATAAGCAGCTCTCAGAAATATTGATTAAATCCTAGTAATCTCACTGGTTGATAAGACTTTAATCTGAAATAGGTTAGATCTGCATTCTACTGCAACAGTGTTTGAGGTTTACACGACGAGAAAATTCTGACAGAAGCCAGTCAGCACATTATATGCCCTGGGTCCCCTAGGCCAGTCGGGGTACCGTAATTATGAAGTCGGTTACAAACATTAGAACCGGAAGTCCGGATTTGGTTAAATTAATTTTTGTTTTCTTCTATTGAGGATATGTATATATATATGCCAAAGATAATATTTTTTTTCAGTTATTGAAGTTTCATTTTAAGGACCAAGATTTACATGATTAACTATCTTTTCTTACATGTATTATTGGTTAAATGTCCCTTTCTATACCCTAAGTATTTACTTTTTTCCCAAATTGGTCTACAGAAATATCAAGATAAAACTTAACAGTTACACTGTATGATGATAGCATTGGCTGTCCACTAACATTCCATCTGTTACAATAACTGAAAAAACATACATCATAACTGAGTTTTAACTTGCTGATGATGCTATAGAGAATGCCTCTAAAAGTATGTATTTGTCTCCTGATTTTGGATTATTTCTTTGTAAACACTAAGGCTGACCTGAGGGGTCTGAGGGTCAGGGCCAAAAGGGTAAAGTTTGGCTATATTGATACAAATGACTTCTCCAGAACAATGCATTGATATATTGAATCACAATGATTCTCTGAAGGAAAACAAAGAAGATGTATTCATATATATAATTTTCAATATAATGATAATAATAATAATATAATATTTTATCATATGCCCCATTACAAATATCACTCACTGTCAATATATATATATGATGAAAATATAAATCACATATAAATATATGAATAAAGTAGACAGCACTAATTATAAATTAAGTTTAGACCTACATGTATCTATATAGATATATTAGAAATTTATTCAAAAGGACTGATATTTATATCATCAATGAATTATTAGCAACACTATGGACAATAAAAATGAAAGCAGAGCACCTGTCTAACATGCATGCAATGTATTTGTATAAATATGTATAATACAATCATGGATCTATAAACAACTTTGTGTATCATTTGAGTATAAACAAATCAAAATGTCAGATTAACAAAAAGAACATGAAATGATAAAACAGAATTGGTGTGTAACTTTCCCATTTCATACCATTTTATCAATGATAGTGTAGAAAACATTAGCTACACCTCATATCCATATAGTTGTATTGTGTACGGAGCGATGACCCTTGTTTCAGAAGTCCCATATTTTATTAGTATAACATTTATTTACAGTAAAAACATATTTTAATGATGTAATATCACTATATTCATTCAAAGAAATATTTTGAACAAGTTTTCATAAACCTTGTGATGAGGTATTTAAGCTGTTGTTCATAATAGCCCGTTTTGTTCTTGATTTAGCAAAGATGGATGTAAGATTCATTAAGAAAATACAAGAACTGTCTACTTATTCCTTTAAATTGCCAGCAACTTGATAAACAGAGGTGAATAATATATGTTTATTTTTAGGCCCACTCTGGATGAATTTTTAAATGAGATATGGGTAACAATGAATATAGACTACTATAACTTATATACATTCTGTTATTTATATTTGTGTCTATCAAGAAGGCAGTGTTCCAGCAAATGACCCCTACTGTCTCCAGACAGCATCCTAGGTATGAGCCCTACTGTCTCCAGATAATGCCCTATGTATGAGCCCTTCTGTCTCCAGACAGTGCCCAAGGTATGAACCCGTCTGTCCCTAGACAGCGCCCTAGGTATGAGCCCTACTGTCCCTAGACAGTGCCCTAGGTATGAATCCTACAGTCCCCAGACACACCCTAGGTATGAACCCTACTGTCTCCAGACAGTGCCCTAGGTATGAGCCCTACAGTCATCAGACAGCGCCCTAGGTATGAACCCTACTGTCTCCTGTGGTCCGATTGAGTATAAGCACAAAGGCATTGCTTCTTCTTTCATGTAGTTTATTTAGGTACAAGCAGAGTCATAGTTTGTGAGAGATGGTGTTCATTTCTCCAGCGCTCCTCGACCTTCTCCGACAAACCTCAATATCTGTCGTCTATTTAACCCCACTGCCAAAAATGACCGTTGATCAAACCCCACTTAATCCATGTATCTTGAATCATGAATTTTTCGCTAATGTTAGCTAAATTATTGCTGACCAACACAACCCGTAAATCAATACATACTAACTTTACATAGGAATAGGTACATAGATAATATGTATATAGAAATAGATACACATACAAATGTATACTGCGTAATTTAATGTGATGAAATCTTCCTGTTTGTAAAGTAATCCTACTTCACCTGCTTATAGTGTCCAATGTCTTGCCACATCAGCGTAAATCTTATTAACTAAAGATACACATTAGGTCTGATAATAAATATTAGATCAACGGTACATTTATTACCTTAATGAAATCAATAATTGATTCTATTTCTGCTGTATTTTTTTATAATTTGATAGTACACAATTTCCCTATAAGCCATCTGGCTAAACTCCAGACAGCACCAGGTTGTACGACATTATAATATCCCTGATGGAACAGATTTCCTAGAATTACCTCCCTTTGTATCGCTCTATCAGATGGTGTAGCGATAAGTTTGACTGACCAACATCAACTGAGAGTATCTACAAAGGATGTTGTTACCAATGTGAATCCATTATCCACAGAAGAATTCTAGGTAATGGCTTAAATTTAGCTGTTGACCACTCAAAAATACAGTTCATATGTACTTAAAAGTCTCTCTTTTTTAACTTTGAAATGAAGCAATAAAAAGAAAGTCTTGTTATATGTTTTTGTGATGGTATTTTAAGTTTATTTACATATATGTAGATATTACACAAGAAAGAAGCATACATGCCATTATTGGTATTTTCAACCTGTGCAATTTTGAAGTATACTTCAATTCAATTTTCAATACTTATGCCATTTATTTAATACGATAAGAAATGTCAACCTTGATAATATCAATTTACAGTAAATTCTGACATTTGTTATGTCCAAAATGAAAATACCCTTTAGAAAACTCTGAAAATGTAATCAAGGCACTGCGAACTACAAAAACAAAACCATCAAAAGAATATGGCGTTCAAGGATGGACTTTGATCGATAACACAGGAAAAAAAATAAAATAACCGGAAAATGTGGCCTCTACAATTGCAAACACACAAAGAGTTAGAAGTTGATTCCTTATATGTTAATCATATTCAATGCATTAATGATGCTAGGTACTCAAATTTTAAGAATTATTACCTTTTTTTAACCTTGCTTAACATTCGTTCATCTGCTCTAGGTAAAATGTACTGACCAATTGATATTCTTCAAGGAGTATGACCATCAAATTTTTATTTATTTTTTTTTTCTTAAATTCTCTTCAATCTTAGTAAAACAGTGGCTATAACATTCACAAGAAAACATATCAATCATCACAAGTACTCTGTACTACTAACTACCCCTCCTTTGAGTAAGTTTGGTCTCTCTGGATTCTGAAGTTGGAAATCTCAGGATTCTTTAACAAGAAATTTTGTTTCATTATCTTCCTTCAAAAATGAACTTTGCTTAACTATCTCTTTAATGTTTCTTAATTGCATTCTAAAAAGTATCCATGCTATTATCTGTCAATTGTTAAATTGTCAAGTACTTAGATTATTACAAATCTTCGATGGTTTGTCTGCTTGTGGTGCTTATAATGAAAACCTTCTCCATTGTTCTTTCACTGTCCTCTTCATAATGATAAGTTGTACTAATATAAGGTTTCCTCTGGAATTCGAAACTACAATTTTGTGTTGTTTAAACAATTTAGAAAGCTTAGATATAATCAAGGTTTTTTTTCTTTTTATCAGATATCCCATCAGATAGAACGATGAAGGTATGTACTGGATCTTCTCTAAGATTGGATTTTGATGGTGCATCCTACAATGAAAAAGTTCTATTAAACTGGCTCTTCACACCAGTGGGAGGCAAACGAAAAGACATTGGCCTGAAAACAACTGAGAGTGCCTTCAGACCTGTTGGTGACTATGTTGGCCGTGGAGTAGAGAGAGTCGGTGTTATTGGAATAATTATCCCACATGTAACAGCAGCTGACAGTGGGCTTTATGAGTCCCAGGACCCAAACTTTATATACAACATAACAGTACAAGGTAAATGGCTGTAAAAGCCTCTATGTCATGGTTGTAAGGCAATGCCTAGCAATACTGACAGGAAGAGTCATAGAGAAATAGAACCTACATAACCAACCAACCAAAAAAGGGAAAACTTAGTTGATGGTTTAAGGTTGAATCACCCTTTTTGTATCATGCTGTTTCATGGGGATATAACTGCAATTTTCATTGGCTAAGAATGACACATTTATATACATATATATATATATAGAAAAAAACTTGATTTGACGAGATGCGAGTAAATTATAAATAAAAATGATTTTTGACAAAAGAAGAAAGACATTACATTTTGCACTAGCGCTTTCACTGTAATAGATCTTCAGGTGCATAGTAACTGTACATAATGGTGTGGCGTCACAACATGTTATCTGTTGATGACGTCATAATATAAAAGGGGCATAATTATATTTTGCAAACTTTACAATGCGGTTAAACATTAATATTCAAGTCTGGTTTTAAAATGTTTATAATTTCTGACTCCTTGGCTTCTCTTTGTATCTGACTCCTTGGCTTTTTTCTTCTACACTTCTAGACTTGAATATTAATGTTTAATGCTACCATCTTTCAAAACTATGTTATGCATTCATACGGTCTCAATGAGACAAGGAAATATTATACTAAAAACTGAATGAAAGTGACAGGCAAAGTGTTCCTGGAACTATTCAGTTTGAGATTTGTGTCAATCACAAACTAGCATTCCTCTGGTTTGAAGTTGATTCTCTGAGACGGGACAATACGGCAGAATACACAAGATTATGGGATCAATTACATCTATTCTACATTTTGTACCAAGTGTCATGTTGATAATTGTAAAACTGGTTGAGTAATGGAGAGATTAATTTTACTCAAAGTTTCTGTTTCACAGTCAGGATGATTTTACACTAACAAGATAGACAGCTTTGTACATGCATGTATGTTTAATACATATAGCATGAGAAAGGGTGAAGTGTCTCATGGCACTATTGCCTTAATACAAATGTACTCAAAAAGTTAGCAATGTGAAAAGATATATTGTTGATCAAAACTCATCTATGTACCAAGTTTCATGATAAAATTGGTCGAGTTACAGAGACATGGAATCCCATTGTTGAGTTTTTTTAGAAATAATTCATCCCAGTATCATTTTAAGACTTGTCAGTGATGTATATATAAACATCTCTGGTTTGGTAATCGTCATCACACAATATTATGCTTTATACTTTACGACTAGAATTGAACCATGTGCAAAACTTCCAAATTATAGATCCTGGAATACTGTAAGGTTGAAGTTGTAGTGATGATTAAAATCTCTGTTTCAGATCCATGTTTGAACATCTCACATGTTGTTTCTAGGGATGACAAAAAATGTGTAGATATACATTGTGCCACAGGATATGATTTCAATAGGATCGAGGTAAGACTGATAGAAGCATTGTATTGAATGTATATACCTTTATAGATATATGTGCCTGCATTAGATGGTGAACAGTTCATTAGTCTATTAATATATTTTGTGAACACTATTCTCCTAGAATCACTGAAGGGTTTGTGCCACAATTTTTGTAAAATAGTTGTACAATATTCAAAACATCTGCCTCAAAGCAAGCATTTTGGATTTTTAGCTCACCTGCCTTAAGGGCAAATGAGTTTATGCTGTGGTGCAGAATCTGTTGCTCATATGGTGTCAATTTTTTCCTTTAGGAATTTTCTTCTTAATAACCAAAAGGCCAAAAATGAAGATATTTGGCTGGTAGACTTCTTGAATGAAATCCTACAAGTTTGCCAAATGAAATGTTTAAGGTCACAAGTCGTACATTTTGAACTTCAATGGATATAAAGATGGCTGCAAATTGCCATTTTGTTGCTTTCAACAAGTATAATATATTTCACTTATATTTTATATCAAGAAACATGATAAGATGAGAGAACCAACACTCTTGAGGTTTAAGAAGGCGGCAATGTTCCTGAATGACACTAATGCAAGCTTTCTGCTGAAATGGGAACAAGCCCACATTCATTTTTATTTGGTTTGAAGAAGACCTATACCTCTCCTCTGATGACAATGAAGAAGAGCCATATGAAAACAGACATTACTCTCTTTTTAATTTTATGACTGAAAATACAGTGTTAAACAGTAACCTGAATGACACTTTCTGTCTAGATGAAAAGTCTGAACATTTGATAAACGAACAAGTATCTGTCCACAGAGTTTATGGCATATTTACGCCCACTTTGTAAATGTACTTGCGTTTTCAGTTATCACCATGAAGTATTGTTAATTATGACATCATCATTTGAACTGCAAATCAGCACCTTACGGGTAGACTGCATGTTCTTGGATGTTGAGATTCCTATATTTAACTATTATGTTATATTCTATATATTACTTCCAACATGTATGATATTATTTACACATTACTATTCTTATTAAAAAACTTTTGCTTGATTCATTCTCCCTTTATTATAAGTGGTCATACAACAAAGGTTGAGTGCCTAGATTCTTCTACTTTGATCTCTGTTGTATTTAACAAATGACAGGTAACTTCTAGGAGGTTAAGGTAAAGGCTACTACATCGTTGTCAGAACACAAGGTTTAATCTGTTAAAGGCACAACAGGTCTCTTAATCATTGTTTTGTTGTGATGATGAAAGATGTCATTTTGTGTGTTTACAGGTAACAGAGGGAGGTGACCTGCAGCAATTTGACACCGATTCAATTACATTCTGCAGTACTTCTGTTATCGCTGTGGCCTGCGTTGCTGATAATCAAGGTCAGGAGATGTCAGATACAACGACTGTTGTTCTGACAATCAAAAGTGGTGAGTTATTTCTCAAGATTAAGATTACGCCCCTCACCTTCAATAATTTTTCTCAAATTAAGGTACATTGTATCTTATAATTTATTTTGGCCCACAGTAACTAGGTGGATGATCTTTTTGTTAATGAGGTAAATTTCATATGAAGGTTCTGGTGAGTCTCTTTTATGCCCTTGAAAATTTTCGGGGGAGCATAATAGCTAGTCTCTGCATTGTTCGTCCATCCGTCATTCTAAATGTCCATTGGTGTCTGGGCATAACTTTGCCCAAAGTTAACAAGCAGGGGTCCGGAAAAGCACTCGTCCGGTCGTCATGGACGGGTGAAAATTGTCTCGGACAACCAGATTTATCTTTGTCAGTCGATGTTCGTCCATCCGTCATGACAAAAAGATCAAAATTACATTTAAAAAGTTGTTTTCTGGGATCCATGGTCAAGATCACTTATCACTTCATATTTAGAAATTAACCAAACAATTACTACTGGTAATTAACATACTGCTGAGACATTTTTTAATTGATATTATATTAGTGCATTAATGAAAATGGTTACCTTTTAAATTTTTTCTGTAACTTACTTTTCCCCTATCAAACAATAATTTCCTGTTGAACCATATCACAATCAAGGATCTGTAGTTTGTATTACTGCCACATTCTGTCTATTATATCAGAAATATTTGTTAAAAATTACAGATGATGACTATAATGAAAAGGAATCTGGTGAGTTTCTAACTTTATCATAGTCCCTTAAAGTATAGCTAAACAAGCAAATTCTTTTACTAAAAATAAATCAGTAGTGATTACAAAACTTACATCAGAGACGTATATATCACAGACGTGATATATACGTCTCTGCTTACATGTATGGAAACTTAAAACTTCAAAACCAAAACCAGTGCAGTCTTCATTTGTTAAAACACAAATAATAGCATAATAGCTAGTCGAGTACTTTTTTCCGATGAAATTAATGTTACAACTTAAATTTCAATAAAAATGTAAAGAAAATTTAAAACAAAGAAACATGTTCACGGTACTTCAAAAACAAAATATTCCAGTCTGCACTCTAACTTTTGATTACACCGGAACTCCCATGACGTCAGTCATTTACCTTAGTCATTTTCATGCTATCATACTGATGTCGGGTGCTCTCAGGCAGTACCAACATGTACCGGTCTGTATTTAGCAGCACCTAGTCAGTAGGATATAAACAAACTCAACAGCTAGACCTAAGTCGCGCACAATGTCTGATGCAAAGCAGCCATCACTGCATAGTTTTTTCACTAAAACTTTAAATAAAACTAGAAAAAAGTCACATGTCTCATCCTGGCTGATTAAGTTGCCATTTCATAGCTGAATTTGGACTTGTTAATTTCCAATCTGGACGAGTACATTTTTCAGTCCACAAGCCCTGTGCCTAGTGGTTTAAAACATTTTTCAAGACCCCTGACAAGGATCATGAAATTTGGTGTATACAATGGGCATACTAAGACAATGTGCAGTGTATCAAATTCAGGGCTCACAACCCTCAATTACAGAGTTATTGCCCTTTCTGTGTACCAAATACAGGGTCAGTGACTGCTCAGTTAGGATAATGAAAGTTGTTTTCAGGCAGCATTTACCAGTTTCACTGATACTCATGTCCTTTGAAATTAATTTGAACAACATGACAAAATGATCAAGAATACATTTAAAAAGTTGTTTTCTTGGATCCATGGTCAAGATCACTTATCACTTCATATTAAGAAATTAACCAAACAATTACTACTGGTAATTAACATACTGCTGAGACATTTTTTAATTCATATCATATTGGTGCAATGATGAAAATGGTTACCTTTTAAATTTTTTCTGTAACTTACTTTTCCCCTATCAAACAATAATTTCCTGTTGAACCATATCACAATCAAGGATTTGTAGTTTGTATTACTGCCACATTCTGTCTATTATATCAGAAATATTTGTTAAAAATTACAGATGATGACTATAATGAAAAGGAATCTGGTGAGTTTCTAACTTTATCATAGTCCCTTAAAGTATAGCTAAACAAGCAAATTCTTTTACTAAAAATAAATCAGTAGTGATTACAAAACTTACATCAGAGACGTATATATCACAGACGTGATATATACGTCTCTGCTTACATGTATGGAAACTTAAAACTTCAAAACCAAAACCAGTGCAGTCTTCATTTGTTAAAACACAAATAATAGCATAATAGCTAGTCGAGTACTTTTTTCCGATGAAATTAATGTTACAACTTAAATTTCAATAAAAATGTAAAGAAAATTTAAAACAAAGAAACATGTTCACGGTACTTCAAAAACAAAATATTCCAGTCTGCACTCTAACTTTTGATTACACCGGAACTCCCATGACGTCAGTCATTTACCTTAGTCATTTTCACGCTATCATACTGATGTCGGGTGCTCTCGGGCAGTACCAACATGTACCGGTCTGTATTTAGCAGCACCTAGTCAGTAGGATATAAACAAACTCAACAGCTAGACCTAAGTCGCGCACAATGTCTGACGCAAAGCAGCCATCACTGCATAGTTTTTTCACTAAAACTTTAAATAAAACTAGAAAAAAGTCACATGTCACATCCTGGCTGATTAAGTTGCCATTTCATAGCTGAATTTGGACTTGTTAATTTCCAATCCGGACGAGTACATTTTTCAGTCCACAAGCCCTGTGCCTAGTGGTTTAAAACATTTTTCAAGACCCCTGACAAGGATCATGAAATTTGGTGTATACAATGGGCATACTAAGACAATGTGCAGTGTATCAAATTCAGGGCTCACAACCCTCAATTACAGAGTTATTGCCCTTTCTGTGTACCAAATACAGGGTCAGTGACTGCTCAGTTAGGATAATGAAAGTTGTTTTCAGGCAGCATTTACCAGTTTCACTGATACTCATGTCCTTTGAAATTAATTTGAACAACATGACAAAATGATCAAGAATACATTTAAAAAGTTGTTTTCTTGGATCCATGGTCAAGATCACTTATCACTTCATATTAAGAAATTAACCAAACAATTACTACTGGTAATTAACATACTGCTGAGACATTTTTTAATTCATATCATATTGGTGCAATGATGAAAATGGTTACCTTTTAAATTTTTTCTGTAACTTACTTTTCCCCTATCAAACAATAATTTCCTGTTGAACCATATCACAATCAAGGATTTGTAGTTTGTATTACTGCCACATTCTGTCTATTATATCAGAAATATTTGTTAAAAATTACAGATGATGACTATAATGAAAAGGAATCTGGTGAGTTTCTAACTTTATCATAGTCCCTTAAAGTATAGCTAAACAAGCAAATTCTTTTACTAAAAATAAATCAGTAGTGATTACAAAACTTACATCAGAGACGTATATATCACAGACGTGATATATACGTCTCTGCTTACATGTATGGAAACTTAAAACTTCAAAACCAAAACCAGTGCAGTCTTCATTTGTTAAAACACAAATAATAGCATAATAGCTAGTCGAGTACTTTTTTCCGATGAAATTAATGTTACAACTTAAATTTCAATAAAAATGTAAAGAAAATTTAAAACAAAGAAACATGTTCACGGTACTTCAAAAACAAAATATTCCAGTCTGCACTCTAACTTTTGATTACACCGGAACTCCCATGACGTCAGTCATTTACCTTAGTCATTTTCACGCTATCATACTGATGTCGGGTGCTCTCGGGCAGTACCAACATGTACCGGTCTGTATTTAGCAGCACCTAGTCAGTAGGATATAAACAAACTCAACATCTAGACCTAAGTCGCGCACAATGTCTGACGCAAAGCAGCCATCACTGCATAGTTTTTTCACTAAAACTTTAAATAAAACTAGAAAAAAGTCACATGTCACATCCTGGCTGATTAAGTTGCCATTTCATAGCTGAATTTGGACTTGTTAATTTCCAATCCGGACGAGTACATTTTTCAGTCCACAAGCCCTGTGCCTAGTGGTTTAAAACATTTTTCAAGACCCCTGACAAGGATCATGAAATTTGGTGTATACAATGGGCATACTAAGACAATGTGCAGTGTATCAAATTCAGGGCTCACAACCCTCAATTACAGAGTTATTGCCCTTTCTGTGTACCAAATACAGGGTCAGTGACTGCTCAGTTAGGATAATGAAAGTTGTTTTCAGGCAGCATTTACCAGTTTCACTGATACTCATGTCCTTTGAAATTAATTTGAACAACATGACAAAATGATCAAGAATACATTTAAAAAGTTGTTTTCTTGGATCCATGGTCAAGATCACTTATCACTTCATATTAAGAAATTAACCAAACAATTACTACTGGTAATTAACATACTGCTGAGACATTTTTTAATTCATATCATATTGGTGCAATGATGAAAATGGTTACCTTTTAAGTTTTTTCTGTAACTTACTTTTCCCCTATTAAACAATAATTTCCTGTTGAACCATATCACAATCAAGGATTTGTAGTTTGTATTACTGCCACATTCTGTCTATTATATCAGAAATATTTGTTAAAAATTACAGATGATGACTATAATGAAAAGGAATCTGGTGAGTTTCTAACTTTATCATAGTCCCTTAAAGTATAGCTAAACAAGCAAATTCTTTTACTAAAAATAAATCAGTAGTGATTACAAAACTTACATCAGAGACGTATATATCACAGACGTGATATATACGTCTCTGCTTACATGTATGGAAACTTAAAACTTCAAAACCAAAACCAGTGCAGTCTTCATTTGTTAAAACACAAATAATAGCATAATAGCTAGTCGAGTACTTTTTTCCGATGAAATTAATGTTACAACTTAAATTTCAATAAAAATGTAAAGAAAATTTAAAACAAAGAAACATGTTCACGGTACTTCAAAAACAAAATATTCCAGTCTGCACTCTAACTTTTGATTACACCGGAACTCCCATGACGTCAGTCATTTACCTTAGTCATTTTCACGCTATCATACTGATGTCGGGTGCTCTCGGGCAGTACCAACATGTACCGGTCTGTATTTAGCAGCACCTAGTCAGTAGGATATAAACAAACTCAACAGCTAGACCTAAGTCGCGCACAATGTCTGACGCAAAGCAGCCATCACTGCATAGTTTTTTCTCTAAAACTTTAAATAAAACTAGAAAAAAGTCACATGTCACATCCTGGCTGATTAAGTTGCCATTTCATAGCTGAATTTGGACTTGTTAATTTCCAATCCGGACGAGTAGGAAAAAATCGAAAAATAAATAGAATCACACCGTAAAATTAACTATTAAGTAAAAATGCAACATTATCTGTATCTTCTAAAAGAAAAATTTGCTTTTGGCATGCTGTTGTTTCCATAAGATGAAATTTCTTTATTTCTAAATGATTCTGTAAATTTACTGTTTAATCTTCTGATACAAAAAACATCTATTATGACTTGCTCCATCCCAGATTTCATGATGCAGAAAACTGGTGCTTGAGAAGGGGATGAAAGTATGTTGCTATTCCTGTCTTTTTTTTTTTTTTTTTTGAGCTTAACGTCCTTGTTCTGGTTATAACCGAGCCTAGGACACTAAGGGGGAGGGGCTGGTAGGGCCGAGGCATTAGGGTGTGCAATTCCTGTTGTTCATCTGTCTGTACCTTTTTATGCTAAGAGCATTGCTCTTCAGCATGTTGCTGTCGCCCCCGAGTATCAGTATTTCGTTTTCATTGTTTCATAAATCGAAAGTTTACTCCTACTCCATCTGCCGGACATTACCGTAATCATTGGATTATCGCCCCTACAAGTTGCTGATGCGAGTCATTAAATGAAACAACCTTATCGACATTTTCTTCATTACTTGTACATCAAGAAAACGTTTTGTGTTGTGTATTAATGATAATCAGACATCGAAATTTGTAAATACAATGACAAAGACTCACGTTTTATGGTGGTAAATTTTGCGAGGCGATGCCAATATGGCGGCTTAACTTTCTTTTCCGCGCGATGCATTGTGGGTGTCATATACATTTGTATTACTTTCTTTTTTTTCTTTTTCGAAAATTTACCTCCCGTTTAATACTATTGAAAACTATTAAAATACTGAAATATGTAGTTGAAAATAAAAATGAAACTAAAATAAGAATGATTTAGAGTAGCATAGAATACTGTATCTAAAAACTGAATAAAACAAGATATAAGCATCTTTATCATATTTTTATTATTATTATTATCATTATTATTATTATTCCATGATGTCTGTCCACATGGAATTTGTAAGCACTCTTGTGCATTCTTATACCACCAAGAGGGTGGGTAAATCGAATCAAGTTGTCTATCTGTCCATCCATCTGTTTGTCTGTCTGTAGACACATCTTGTCTGGACAACTCTAATGAAACTTTATAGTAATATTCGGGACAATGTGTAGATGTGCATGCACCATTTCCCTCGAAATATTGATTGCCATGGCAACTGGTCAATATAGACAGGTTTTGCATGTCGGTCAACTTCTAAACCTGTGGGCCAATTTCAACAAAACTTCGCAGGAATGTTAGGGAACGTGCACATGCTGCTGTGTTTCAGAGGATGTTTCTGTGCAAAAGGTCACCATGGGGAGATAACTAAGGCTCTGGGTGTTGGGGGTATTAGTTATCATTTTGGATTACAGTTTCAGTTATCCCTGGGTAATGTGGAGAGGATATAGTAATGATTTTGAGGATTGAATGTACTATATGATTACCTTGTAAACGCATTGAGACCAAGACAGTATACCTTTATCAAATTTGGAACATGTATCCCTTATGAGAAGTTGGTTTCTTTAGAAATTCAGGGTCGGATGTCAAAGATCAAGGTCACAGTCAAAAAACGGATAATTGCATGGGGTGTTTTCCTTTGCATTACCCTCGTTTTTCTATCAAGTTTCACAACCTAAAAGATATTCACATCTTGCAAATTTCAAGGTTCATTGTCGCTGTAAGGATGTTAAAAAATGATAATACAAGAGGAATAAAATATCTTGCGACAAGTTTTAGAGAACAAAGAATATATAAACATGTCAACAGAATTGTAGAACCAGCAAAACAAGTGTAAAATTGAAACAAAGACAATATCTACTTGAAGATTCCCTGAAAAAGTACAAGGAGAATAAGACCAGGTGTTCCGGAAGAATAGGCATCTTCTATTTTAAGTTATGGTGACAAATCATGTTTGTTTTAGAAAATTGGCACTCTTATGCAGCCTTTTACAAACAATCTGGAAAATGAAGCTGTCCAAAATTTGTATGTAGCATGTTATTTGCATGATGGTCTAACTAATGGTCTTAAACCAATAAGATACGCAGTCTTTAAAGTGATAATATGGTGTCCAAGATCAACATTCCCTACAATGTATCCAAAGAAATGGACAACTTCCCTATCATTGCATCTTGGAGCCTACTTGGAACATGTATTACATAAGTAATACTACTATGCTTGTTATTTCTGATATCTGCTGGTCATTTTTTATGGGCTGCAATGATTTACTGCTTGCATATAGTGTAACAAAATGAGTAAAAAATGGGTTTAATGGTAATTTTGGAATGGTGTGTATCGTAGAGAGCAGCATCTTAGTTTAAAGTACATCAGGTCAAAAGTCAGTTAATCCCGTGAGTGATAGATAGTGATGCACGCCTGATAACGGGCGGGGTGTGTACCCAAGTGGTGAAGCACCATGGCAGAATATCGCCAGTATGATTGATCAGGACAGAAAGATGCTCTCTTTTGTATGCCTCGCGCTGGCGAACATATTTGTAAGTAAACAAGATAAGAAACAAGGTATAAGGTAGATCGAAGATGGGAAGTTGATAACGGGTACTCCTAGTCGCACGTGACTTCATAATTAGATGCTCCGGGGGCTAGGTTATTGTTGTCCAATTGGGACTAGGCTTAAATTAAGTATTTGGGTATTATGTATACAAAGATAATAGCCGGCAGAAGGTAGTCGAGTCTGGGATCGAGTAGCTAGAGAGAGTTGGGAGTCGGACGTGGAGACGGGCAGAGTCCCGTATGGGACCTGCTCCGCGATGGAGCGGGTCCTGGCCAAGTTGGCCCATGAAATTTTGTATGGAACTCTTTGATATGGACGGGCAGGTTTTTCATTTTTGTCTGCCTTACCCAGGTGTTTAGTTTTGGTGCCACGACATGATGCTGTATGTTGATTAGGAACTATCTTTTGTAATGGATACTAACGCGAAGTACTAACTATGGAAAACCACTATACGATGAAATAAAAGTTTCGGTCAACCCAAGTAAACACTGTGTTTAGTCATTGTGTTACAATAGTTGGTTTCACTATATAGCAAGCTAATAACTAAGAATTTATTTTTTAATGGTCTTAGCATACCAGTACTTTCAGTACTTTGATTATGTTTGCCTTTATCCATAGCTGCCTCCGAAAAGATGTTTACTTTAGATAACTGTTCAGGTCAAGAGGTCAAAAGTCATAGTCAATGTTACTATGATTAGAAAATCGGTTTCAGCTCAATATCTTCTTTCTGGCCATTTCCACTTAAATGTCATCCAAGTGCTGCCTCATTGAGAGTGTTTGTTTTGGACAGTGTCTATGATATGTTGTTGAGATGACACCAATGTTTTTGAGTAAAGAAGAGTATCTTACTACATTATGATAAAATAGTTACAGAAAAAAAACATCCTGGTTAAGAAATTGCTCTCAGGCCACTTAACTGTTACACAATTAAAATGTAAACTAAGAAACAGCATCACTTGAATGATTAGGAATTCAAGCTTTGTACTTTATTTTATTGTTTTGCAGGAGGACTCCGAGGAGAGATAATTGCAGTCATCGTTATCTCTAGTTTCGTTGCTATTGTTGCCATAATTGCAACAACTGTTTTCTTTGTCAAGAGACAAAGGGGCAACGGTAGAGGTAAGTTATCTTATTTGTGCTTACAAACATCAACTAAACGTATTCTCATGGCAGTTTACGGGAATTAGTCAGGCAGTAAACAAGTTTCACAATCTTACTTTATTACCTTGTAATTGGAGAGTTCCATTAGAAAAGGAGGTGCAGTCGGTGAAAACTTCCCTTGCATAAAGAAGTAAAATGTAGACGTGTGCAGATTGAGCATTGTTTTAAATGTGACAAGAGCACCATGTTTAAGAAGATAAGACTGGAGGCCCATTGAACTGATCAGTCACCTGACTAATCTAAACCAAACTTAAAAGTAAAGGGCAATAAGTCTGAGTTGCAATCAAATTAGTCTCATTGTCAAAGTCATCAGCATTCTTAATGATACAAGACCGTATTCCACATTTCTGAAATCTGTTCGTATTTAATGAGGATGTCTTGTTCAATAGGTCCAATGATAGAAAACCTGCAAAGAGCAATGATTCTGTAACTAATGAACAAATAAGTCCAATTGCTGAATTCCTCTGAGATATTATTGATATAATACAGCATACTACTAAGTTTCATCAAAATCTGGTCATAAAACTACAAAGGGCCATAACTCTATTATAATATACATCAGTCTGAAGTCCTGCTTTTTCAACAAAATGAAGACAAGTGTTCAAATTTGCCAATCTCATATTTACTTTTCACATCAGTTCTAAAACTCTTTCTCTGTTGTTTGGTAAGGAGATAGGATTGTGACTTGTCCTATGATTTGAAGTTGCTAAGCAACACTTATGTGATTATGACTTTCTCTGGAAAAGTAGAAGGGTAGAAAATGAAAGTAGACTTTATTTCACACGTATGATGCTAGATGTACTTGAATGGTTTAAAATGGATGGCCATACTTTTATGTTACACAATTGATTCATCATGTCATAGAAAAGCCAAGCAAAAAGTCAACAAAAAAAAAAACCAAATAAATGCAAAAAAAAGATTTTTTTTTTAAAAGCTGATCAGGATGCACGCTACCCATTTCCATCTTCATTCTCAACGAGCTTGTTTTGTTAATTGCAATAATCATTTTTCTCTGATTCGCAAATTGTGTAAAAGCTTTTCTTCACGTTCTCAGAGGTTTCAATTATGTTTCATTGTTACATTCCATTGAATGCCTCATGTTCAAAACCAGATACAAATAGGTTGGTTTTTCTTAAAGTAGTAAGCTAGACACCAGATAATTCATAGGTTAGCTTCTTATGTCTTATGGCACAAAAATGTCAATAAATTCAAGGTGTGGTATCAGTATAGATGTAAACAAAGAATCGTGGCAGGTCGTGGTGGCTGTGTAGATGTAAACAAAGAATCGTGCCAGGGTGTGGTAGCTGTATAGATGTAAACAAAGAATCGGTGCAGGATGTGGTAGCTGTATAGATGTAAACAAAGACTCGTGGCAGGGTGTGGAAGCTGTATAGATGTAAACAAAGATTCGTGCCCGGTTTGGTAGCTGTATAGATGTAAACAAAGAATTGTGGCAGGGTGTGATAGATGTAAACAAAGAATCGTTCCAGGCTCTCAGTTGAGTTGTTCAGTGCACTGTGTATGATACATATTTGTAGAAACAACATAATTTGCTGCTGGTATAATCAAGGATAAACCCAAAATAAGTTATTAGTGCAACACTAAATGAAGCTAATTCATCTGAATATAATTACCAACCAATATCAGTCTGCAAAAGGGACTCCTTTCCTTTGTGGCAGGATACTGGTTGGGGACCCAGTATCGTCATATGCAGTAGTGCTTTTGATGGTTCTGATTATTTCATCGATTCAACGTCAGATTCTTTTTGTGGTAGAATTAATTTTTAAGATAAAAGTTTTAATTTTACCAGCATTTTTGTAAATTGAATAGTCATTTGTGGAAAAACAGTAGCATTAGTTATATCTTGAAAACTGATTTTCTTGCTCTGCGTATTAGGCCTACATTTTGAGATAAAACCAGTTTTTGAAAACTTTACCTATGCATTTACGACATGTTCTTTGTTGATGCTAAGTTGAAATTACCAATGAATAATGACACAACTGAAGTTTCCTTCAATATTTTTGGTTGTTATTTATGTTGTTAAGTTTTATATTAAAGTTTATATATTGCTAAGTTAGATTAAAAGCTGTTATGATTAATAATAATTGTGAAATTAAGGCAAATAAAGAAAAGAAGGACCTGTCAGGAAACTTTTTGGCTCGTGATGTTTCAATAAAAGGTACAAAAATTACATTAGTTACACTCTATCGTCCAAATACAGACACGCCAACCTTTTATGATATTTTAGTTGATACAGTTGATGGCTTGGGTAATGAAAAGTTTATTATAAGTGGAGATTTTAATTTAGTCCTAAATCCAGAGTTAGACTATGACAGAAGTTATAAGAATGTTAATAATCGGAAAGCTAGAGATCATTAAAAGCCTTTGTCTTGTTGATATTTATAGGGAACTGCACTCCAATAATAGATGGTACACCTGAAGAAATAGGCCTGATTCGATTTTTTTCTTATATTAGAAAATTTGTTATCAGGTATTATTAACTCAGTAATAGAACCAGGGTACAGGTCAGATCATTCACTTCCTAAACTTCATTTAAAATTTAACGATTTTAAACGGGGAAAAGGATTATGGAAATTTAATTCATCTCTATTATACGAGGAAGAATATCTGAAATTGGTTAAATAAGGCATTTTAGATACAAAATTTTGGCACTGTTTTCCTGTTTATAATAGAAACACAATAGATAGTATTTCTGACATAGATATTGAGTTTGTTTTTGATGATCAGCTGTTTATAATAAAAACGCAATAGATAGTATTTCTGATACAGACATTGGGTTTGTCATTGATGATCAGCTGTTTATAATAGAAACACAATAGATAGTATTTCTTACACAGATATTGGGTTTGTTATTGATGATCAGCTGTTTATTGAAACATTACTGATGGAAATTAGGGGAAGAACCATAACTTATTCATCCTATAGAAAAAATACAAAATAGAAGTGAAGATATGCTGAAGAAAACGATATGATGCATGGAAGAACTAGAGCAGGTAGATAGTGAAGAATTAGAAATAAAGAAAAAAGAATTAGGAAAATTTAGAGTTAATAAAATTAAAGATAGTATAATAAGATTAAGAGAAAGATGGCAAGAAGAAGGAGAAAATCAACCAAATACTTTTTTAATTTAGAAAATAGAAACTTTATTTCCAAAATAATTCCCAAGATAGAAAAGGAGAATAATGTAATAACACAGCAGGATGATATTCTAGAAGAGGTTCATTTTTACTATGAAAAATTATATGATGACAGTTATGAGATATTGACTTCACAGAATTTTTAGACACTTTTGAAGTCCCAAAATTAGTATTGAGGATTATAACATTAGATGAGGCAGCTAAAATCCGGAAAAAAAACCATAAAGAATAATGAAAGTCCCGGTACAGATGGTTATACTGATTAAATTAAGTGTTTTGGAAGCAGCTGGGGGTTCTCATTGTTAGCTCTATAAGCTGTGGATATAAAAAAAAAGTTGACTTTCAGTAACTCAAAGACAACATGTTATTACATGTATTCCTAAGGGAGGTAAACCTAGGCAATTTTTTTTTAGATTGGAAACCCATAACATTATTAGCTGAAGTTTACTTTGATATTTTTGGTTGTTATTGATGCACACCCACTGTAGTTGTGTTGAGTTTTATATTAAAGTTCATATATTGCTAAGTTAGATGAAAGAAAATAAATAAGGTTTTGGCATATCATTTTCTCAATTGACCTCCAAGGAAAGGTCCAAACAAGATCTTGAAATGTAGAATGCCTTTAGACACTTAGTCACCCACAAGGGCCTGGCTGCACTTTTCCAGAAGGGTAGTGGGAAGTAGTATTTTTCATCCGCAGAAGCATCCTATCACATATAAAAAATGTTTGTCTCTTTAACTATTGTCTTGATGGAGAGAGCCTTATTGTAAATCAATATTTAGTTTTAGAATAATCAAGTCAAAAAGCTTTTGTACAAGGCGACAGAATTATTCCATATTTGTAAACTTTCTGAAAACAATGTATTTTCATAAATTCAGCAGAGTATGCTTAGAGACCTTAACATGTTTTATGGAGCTTTTTATGTAACAGTGTTATTACTAGGATATCAGTTTGATAGAAATTAATATTCAAATAAAGCGATAACTTATTACTGAATGAAATTCTTATTTGCTAAAGAAAAAATTGTGTGGGGTCCAAAAGGGGAAATTTTAAAATCCTTCTCCTCTTGTTGAAATGATTGGATTTTGCCCAAATTAAGTGTAACACGTTGTTGGGTCAAGGGGAATCTGTTTTGTATAAATGGTAGGTCTCAACCAGCTAGGGGCTTAGAGGTGATCCCAATAGAGGAAATAGAGCAAATTCTTTAAAATCCTACTCCTCCATGTTGAATGATTGGATTTCACCAAAATTTGGTCGGAAGCATTGTTAGGTGAAGTGGAATCAATTTTGTATGAACGATGGGTCTTGGGGGCCTCCTGGGGCTTGAGGGGTAGGGCCAAATAACGGTAATATAGCATTTTTTTTTTTTAAATCCTTCTCCTATAGGAATGAGTGGGTTCTGCCCAAATTTTATCTGAACCATTGTTAGATGAAGGGGAATTAATTTTGTGCAAACAATTGGTCTCATCTCCCTGGGGTGGAAGGGGTGGAGCCCAATTGGAAAAATAGAGCAAATTCCTTAAAATCTTACTTCTCCGTTAGGAATAAATAGATATTACCCAAATTTGGTCAGAAGTATTCGTTGACGATGGGGAGCATAGTTTGTGTAAGGATTGGTTCACAATGCCCATGGGCCATAAGGATAGGACCAGAAAGGGGAAATTTTGCAAGTTCTGTAAAATCTCACTTCTCCTATAATGATAATTGGATATTGCCCAAATTTGGTCAAAAGTAATTTTTATGAATAGTGAATCTGTTCACTGTTTGACCACAGGAGTGAAACCCAATAGGGAAGTTAT